AAACAGTGACAATTTGAGTTTGTAAACGAGTACTCGAAGCAGAGAAAATCCCTCAATCATTATTTGTAATCAAGGTAATCGAGGAATTGTTTCAGCCCTACAATACTGCGATACATGTTGTAGCTCACCACTCACCCCTAAAACTACATGCATTAAAACAATCAAATCTGTGTTGTTTTCTACATTAGATGGTATCAAGATGTACCAAAACATGTGAAAAAGACATATCTACAGTCATGTTTCAAACTTAAAACCAATGCTAAGAGAGAAAGCATCACTAATGACAACAAAGTAGTGAAACCAGCTGTGTATTCATTGTGGCCATACAAAAATGACATACATGACAGCCTTTCAGCATTAGCTCTGTCATTTCTTTTAACATCTGCTCTCATCATCCTCTCTTTATCTCAGGACACATGTTTTGGTTTGTTCATGAATATACAGTATATGTCATTTCGTGCCCTGAATGAAAGCTGCAAAATTAGCACATACTTGCTCTGAGGCATTCATTTACTTTTTGCATTTGTTTCAACATGGCAAATTAATTCTTGAGATAATTGATCGCATTTTTTTTCTGTAAAGTCCATTAACTTTTAGCTCGAGGCCAGACAAAACAGAAGCACCAGACAAATGCAAAGATCAACTGCTGCAGCCAATTTAAAACAGAGACGGCGCTGTTAATCAAACTGTGAGCAATAACACAACTAAAAGCATAGATCAACAGGGTTCAGCTCCACCCAATTCAATTAAATGTTGAACAAAAATACCACCCCTCTATGCTCTATAACATGGTGGTATTTCAAACTCATGTAAAAAAAATATGTTAGGTAGTGTGAAAGCGTTGTGAAGCAGTTTGGTTGTAAGGCTAAAGACATCACTTTCCCTGACAGGCCTCATAAATCAAGACTTGCCACGTCTGTTTTGTGTCTACCATATGCTTTCACTTTATCACATTCTAATGCAAGTGCTGAAACTTTTTTTCTTTTTAACTTCTGGCTGTATTGCATATATTCCCTCCACTTCTGTCCCCCCCCTCTACCTTTGGCTCCGCCGCTTTCATGCCCTTCATTCATCTCTCTCATGTTTCTCTTTCACAAGAATCTTCAATGAATGATTCCTGCCTCTGTGTCGGACATATCTGCATTGCAGTGCCGTGAGGGAAGCAGCGACAGAAGGAGCAGCGATGAGTATGAAAAGTGAGAGAAAGAGATGCGGTCTGACCTGTCATTTACAAAAAATAATGTATGTCTGAGTGACAGAAAACATCGCTTCACGCAACATTTGGTAAACTACACCAGTGTGGTATTGATATTCATTTCTTTTATGCTTTTGGACAGAATACTCTGCCCATTTTAACGCCCAAAAAAATCTAATACAAACACAACTATTTGCACCTAAAAGTGCTGTCACAGTGAAATCACAGAGAGGGTCATCCGCCCCACCTCCCTCCAAGCTTCTGAGCCTCCCTGTTATTAATGGCGTCATCATTTTTCCTCTGCTCACTCTATTTCCCTTCTGATAGTGGGGCCTGCTCCATCGTGTTCTGCCATGTTTCTGTAATTGCTCCAACAGCCTGCCTTATGCTGAGCATATAGTTTTTTTTTGTGAGTGTGTGTGTACGTGGGTGTGTGTGTGTGTGTGTGTGCGTCTATGAATGAGTGCATATGCGTGTCTGTGTTGCTCTGTGCCCCCACCAGGGCCGGCTGTGAGTTTGTGGGGCAGAACCGAGCCGCGGGCGAGCTCCACACGGAGCGAAATGACAGCCTCCAGGCCACCATTGGTTGATGACCGTGAAAACACTCGCGGTTAACGTAAAGTGAGCAAGCGTCTGTCACAGCGAGGCACCGCGCTTATGTGCAGCCCTGACAACAGCACAACAAGAAGCCCCTCTATGACTAAACTCTGCAATGCTGCAACCGACAAAGAAACAACCCTACAATCCATAACAGCAACCACTTCAGACATTTGAAGTACATAGCAAAAAAAGGGAGAGGAGTGAAAACCCCAGCACCACTATTTGTCACAGTCTTTGGAAATAAATGGTTTTTCTTTACTTAAATTCTTGCAGGCAGGAGTGAAAGCGGAGCGTGGTTGTTGCGCATAGGTGGGGAGGCGAGTGTGCAGGAGAGAGAATGGCGAGACTGTCACAGATGCCAGCCAAGGTCAGATAAAGTGAGGAGTAAGTGCTCAGAGAGCTGGAGGAGCAGAGGCCAGCTCTGTGGAGGAGGTATGTGAGAGTGAGTGACCAAGCGTGAGCGCTGACACCCCTACCCATCATTAAATGAAGCCACTTAAAGGGAAAAAAAGCCAGAAAAGCAAAAATGGGTTGTACACAGCACTTCTACAAAACCCTGATGGTATTATTTAGCCATCTGGAGAATAGTTTTGTCTTTAATGGAGACTCTAAAAGTTGTAAATTCAGGTTGAGGACACTTTTCTCACAACCCTGTTTTTACTCACAGACTGAATTGCTTAATCTATCACGTTCCCGCCAGCAAACAGGTCCCTAAAGTTAAACTGAGAAGCAATAAATTATGTGCCAACATCATGAAGTAAGGAAGGATGATTGCAGGGCTGCTTTTATCATCAATTCTAACCTCTCGGTGGTTAAATCAGACTTCTTTTACCCCCTGCCCTCTTGCATTTTTTTTCCCGCCTCCTCTCGCTCTAACTGCAAATGCACACTAAACGCGTGCACACACACAAACACAGTTCATTATGCAGTAACATTACCAGATCCCCTTAGGCAGCTGTGCATCTCTGTATGACTGATGAGGGTAATTTCTCCCAAACAACAGAATGATCAGTTTGGTGGTGAGCGCCACAGACCCTCCCTTCCTCCTCCTGTCTTTCTTTTCCTCTGCTTATTTCTTAGTTTACAAAAAAAAAGGCGAGGGAGAGAAAGAAAAGATATTTGTTACTACGCCCGGCGTAGTGTCAGGAATGGTTCCCGTGGAGATAAATAGCTCCACACTCCATGCAAAGAAGATAAAAAACATAAAAAAGGGAAAATATTCTATGGACTAAATCAAACTTTTGATGGTTCAATGATGACTTCAATTCAGTCTGCTAATAAACTTCACTCAAATCCAGTTTCCACTTTGCCACTTGAAGCTGAAGCTGTGGGGGGTTTCCTTATTTTTCCTTGATTACCATAGGGATCCAATATAATACACATGCCAGTGTGAATTATCCTCACAGAATGGACTGAGCTGCAGCCACAGCCAGTTTATACAGTCCGTATACCACTGTGCACCATGGGATATACCGAGCAGAGAGTAGTTAGGACTTGCCTGCCTCTCTGTGTCTTGGCCTCATAGGTTCAGCCTCAGTGGGCTGTCTTTACTTATTCTCCCATCTGTCAGTCACACACAAAAACAAATCCACCTGTCGACCAGGAGACTGGGCCGAGCTAGGGCGATGCTACAGCTGTCTGGGCCAGACTCGAGCAAGCCAGCGCCCTCCACTGGTGATGGAAGGCCCATTAAGATGCTTATTACCCCCACCTGTCAGCCCCGTCTCCTCACCTGCGCGGACCTGCCAGCCTAATGAAGACAGTCACTATTAATACAGCACCCTGAACATGGAAGTCATGCCTCTATGCTTTTGGTGCTCCTCGTGTCCTTGATCGCAAGAGCTCTCCAGCCCTGTAACAATATAACAATCCAAGCGTTAAGAGACAGGCATTTTTACCGCGCCACTTGATTGCTTCAACAATGAAGCTATTAATGCTGCATTATGTAAATGATAATGGTCACAAACATCTAATAGGATAAAGGCTAAGTACAGTGCAATTTAATGCTGCTGACTTTCAGTGGCTCTTTGAAGGATGTTTTCAATTATAACCCAGCTAATTTAATTCATTGTTTCGTAGCTGAAAATGCATTTTTAAAGGTTGACTGAGCCTCTATTTCAGAACTCAGGTTTAATCAGTCATGTACATTGAACACTGGAACGTCCTCTAAAGAGATTGACAAAGTTGCCGGGAATCTGCGCTCTACGTTTTAAAGGGACATGGTAGCCTTTCCCTTCTCTTTTTTTTTTTACCCCCGTCAGATGGCAGGCTTCAGTTGTGGAGGGGAGGGTGTTCATCTAAAAGATGAAAAGACCTGTGCCTTTAAGAGGGCTGTCTCCACTTTCCCTCATGCTCCCCCTCAACCACACAGACACTCCTCCTGTGAGCATTTGTGAGGCAGCTCCTGTCCCTTATGTCTCTTTGTGGAGAACAGAATAGACTTCCCAGAGCATCACTGGAGATAAGACAGAGCTCTTGGGAGGACACCCTGGGTGCACACCTCTGCGCAGACCTGGCCCCATCTACTTTGGATGCCCAGGGGAGCTCGAGGAGAGGAGGAACAGACTCACTCAAGCTGGAGTAAAACATCAAACATACAGGAGGTGGAACTTAACAGCTGGACAACCCAAGAGGTCAATCCTGAGTTGGGGGGCGACATGATCAGCTGATCCAAACCAACAACGCTGGACTGGATTGCTCAGAAAAAGGTGGAGTCTGTAGATTCTAATTTGAGTTTCTCTTTCAAAAAGTTTTGCTCAAGAAAAAAACAAGAGAGTACTTTTATCTCTTGCAGCTATTACGGATAGACTCATCGTATCAAAACACGTAGAAAAGAAGGAAAAGAATAACTCAGCTTAGTTTTTCTATTATTTTTATCCATCTCCAAAGCACTTCCCGCACAGTCATTTGTGTTTTGAAATTGGGATGCTCTTTAAAGAACAACTTGTCTGGTCCCGGCAGTGCTCTTAATTCACCAGCCGAGCGTTTATCTTATTTTTGCAGCTCTTTCTGAGAGCGAGAATTAAAGACTTCAGTGATAGTGCTCCTGGGATGCGGGTAGAGTTTCCTATATGAAGTCTTCAAAGTTTACAGCTGCTGACAGGAAGGAGAGAGTGGCACATACATGAGAGAACAGAGCTGTGTTCCATGAGGGGAAAGAGTAAGTCTGGACTAACATTTGATTGGAGCACTGAGGACAGAGGAAATGTTTACAGGGTGTGGAGTGGTCAGCGGCCAGAACCAGTATCTTTCCAGAGATGCCGTCAGGCCCCACCCAGGACTGGACGTGAATCGAGCGATACAAATGGAGAATGGGGTGGCGTCGGGGACCTGCTCTGTCTATCAGGATCAAACTTACTGTAACACAGGTCAGCCAGCTGTGGTAAACAACAGTTCCAATCTGCTAAAGCCAACAACAGTGCAGGTCCCTCCGCCTGCGATCAAACTAGGACAGGAAGGGTTCAAGAAAGTCTGTCGGACAGAGGAGGACAGCCCGTGTCCGTTTCCAGGACTGGCCTCAGGGGTGCTGGAGATGCGCGTGAAGGAGGGAAGTAAGATCCGCAACTTAATGGGATTTGCCATGGCACGGATGCAGGGGGAGAAGGGCGTAAGTGGGGGAAGTGTGAGCAGCGATGGGCTCAGGCAGGTGGTCTTCACCGGGTCAGGTCGTGCGGTCACAAAAACCATCACATGTGCCGAGATCATGAAAAGAAAAGTGGGCTCGCTGCACCAGCTGACCAAGCTGCGGTACAAGGTGGTGAAAGAGGTGTGGGAGAGTTCTGAAGGAGAGACGTCTGAGATGACGGTGCACAGGACGGTTCCCTCCATCAGCATCCTTCTTTCCAAAGATCCACTGGATCCCCAGGAACCAGGCTATCAGCCCCCAGAAACTCTTAGTGCATTGTGGGAGGAAAAAGAGGGTGTGGGAAGCGGCGTCTCGCAGACAGCGACATGCAAGCGACCTCTTGGACCTCTTGGACCTTTGCCATACAGCAGTTTCCATCAGTGTAAGCGAGTGTGTTTGGGGGAAGGAGTCTCCGTCCTCCCTCCTCACTGACTGGCTGAACCAGTGTCAAACAGTGGAGAGGATTGAATCAGAGAAGTTCATTTGGCGCTGCCCTCCACTCAAGCACAATGCTGAGACAATCAGAACACTCACTCAGACAGAACAGTGCTTTCTCACAAGAACTGAGCACCAATTCCAGCCTCCAGAGGTCAGTTTGACTGAGTCTCGAAAGCTCGCCTCTGTACATACCGCATTTAAAGGGATGTGTTTCTGTGCACGTCCAACCTGCTCAGAGCTGTGCCAATGTTTGCTACAGTGCTGTAACATTTTAAACATGGACAGAAGAAAAAGCCATGAATAGCACAGGTTCCTGCTTGCAGTAAACCGTCTGCACTTTTTGGACAAATTTGTTAGCATCCTGTTACAATCATGCAAAAGTGTAGCCTCTAAAATACATTCAAGAGACCTTGCAACATTAAATAAAAACAGCCTGAAGCCGTTGATGGTATGACAGATGCAAAAACATACCAATTTGATTTGACTTATCATGAAAACATAATGAAATAAATTGTTTTTTTTTCCTGTGGAAATTCTGCTTTGTACTTCATCTTTCTGACTCACATCAGTGAATTTGCAAAGCTCTGATTGAAGAGAAAATCACAGTGTGCTGATCTCACGATAAGAATAACCGCAGTGAAATTTGTCTGTAGAAAAAGCTGATTTAATGACAAAGCTGTTGATAAGGCAGAGCCTCCTAAACCAACCCAGTCTGACAGATATGCCTGGGGCAGAAATACAAGCACAGATTATCATTAAGATAACAGCATAACATCACACAACACAGTGGAGAAAAGGATTAAAACTAGGTTTGACACAGCTTCACACTACAATGTTCCTGCAAAATATAAAAACCAAGGAAACACATGCTACTCTTTCCTTTCAGTCAATAGGCCTATCCACCCACCATTTCTATTGTACAGTACAGTCTGCCTCTTCTGTTGCATTTCTTTTTCTTTTCTCAAGCTAAATAATGTGTTGAACAATGAGGTCTAAAAAGGGCCAAGTTTCCACAGTAACACCATGCACTTTAGTTTGACTGACACACTAAATGAAATAGCTGTAGATTTTTTTTTTTTTTCTTTCATTTTTATGCATTGACTGTCTGCATTTTTCACACCATTTAGATAGCATTTTAGGTGCACAAAAGAGGTACATTTGAGTAATTGCTGAAGCTTAACTGCAGGAGACATCGATAACAGTTGGAACAAAATTCAACTTTGAGCAGAAAGCAAAGAGAGACAAAAAACTGCTGTGAGCGTGCACATTTTGAATTTAATGGATAACAGATTTCGACATATATTTCTTTAAACTTGCCCCAAACAAGACAAACAAACAAAAAATGAATCACAGAGATTTATTTTATTGCATTACGTAAGAACTTTTTCCACTTAATCGACCGTGTCTTCTGGGGATAATAACTTCGACAAGTGGAACCTTGTCTAAAGCTTTTACTGTTGATCTTAATGAAAATCTGCAAACGCAGATGTCAGCCTCCTGAAGTAAATTAATCAAAGTGACTCTAACTGTGGGGACGATTCTGTTACAGCTTAAAACTGAGGAGAAAAAGAGAGATCACCCCTGTGGCATGAGTCTTAAAATATATTTTTCAAAGGACTACAAATCGTAATATTTCGTATAGTGGTCAGCTGGCACTTTAACAGTCTACAGTGAACAAAGTGATTAACCCCCCTCTCGATCCCATTAAATGAATCAGAGCACAGCAGAGCATCCAAGGTTGAATAAGAAATGCTGCGGCTGCACAATACAGCACATATGTAGCAAACTGTGTCCTCAAGACTGCTGGAAGGTTATCACTTTGTCTTACCGTTATCATAGAGTTAACAATTTTCACCCAAGAGCCTATGGGACAGCCGGTCTCTGATGCAGGTCAAACAGATAACGGGGCTGTGAGTACATTTCAAATCGACCTGTATCTGTTATCATGCATTAAGAATTCTGGGCCAAGTGGAAAAAGCAGCAGGGGTAATTAGGGATAACGGCATCGCGTACCTGAGTGAGAGAACAGATAAAACATACTGACAAAAGCATTATCCCCAAGCTAAATCCAATGTGGCTGGCAAGAAATAGCACAGTGAGGAGTCAACAGAGTGCATTTTAAGAGTGTGGACAAGGTTATTCACAAGCTCAAAGATTTTTTCGCCAATAACACTTGTTTTCAAAAGACGCAAGGCTGGATTTGAAGGAGACGGGGCCTTAAAAATGTACTGTTTGTGTTGGGTTTTTCTTCCTGCAACACATATCTGAAAGAGAGCAGGAGCATCCATAATTCTCTCTGTGAAAGTGACTGGGCAAAGAAAACATTCATCCCTGACTGTCAATTGAATTCAGTACGAAAACCTAAAAGGTTAAACGTGACTTTTTAAAAAGTGCATGAGAATAAGTGATACACCAAAAAAGTCTGTTGACTGTAATTAGGTCTGCAGGCTATGAGGAAAACTATAGTGCGTGCTATTAGACTCTCTGATACTGCAATAACAATACGAAGTGTGATAATTGCTCATATATTTTGAGTGCTTTTTAGCAATAACTTACAGCTCTTATGTCCATCTGCAATCAACTTAACACAATAACTGTGTTTTAAACTCTCTCCTCCTGAACCTGGAGCACGTAAACTGTTACTGACAGCTAGCTTGAACTTCATCCGACAACACCATAAGCATTTTCCTGTTGCTCTTATTATAACAGCCTATTTGTTTCGAAAACAGACGTAAACAAGACAAACAACATTTGATTCTTCCATAAATGACACATGTATTAATTTTGAAATAAAGTCATTTGGTATTGTGTCCATTGTCTATTTACGACTCTTCAAAATATTTCCACACAGCCAGCATCATGTTAAAGCATCATTGCCACTGCATTGTTATATCAGCCACACAAATCAGCAGTAATTTTCATATCTGATAGTGTTGATTACTAACTTTTCAAGCTGTTATCTTTCAATACTGATATTGTGCCAATTTTATTGTCCCCAAAATGTACATAGAATCTCAATTCTTGCAATAACCAGACTTGTGTGACGTGAGGATGACAATCACTGACAATGGATTTATGGTTTATTAAGCAGCCCTACTGTCAATGTTTCACTTTAGGCATTTAAATTCATTTCTAAATAATATTCCTTTAAATTTTTCAGCCCATCAAATCATACTTTTCCCTTGAATAATACTTGGTAATATTCGGTCAAATAGCATCCAACTCATTAAAAAGGGCAACATGATGTGAGGAGTGTCCGATCAGCTACTCTAGCAGACAATAGAGCAATCTTTTGTTTACCAAAGCCAATAACTACACGCACTGAATGTGAATAAATTTACTTTGAAGTGAACATAATGAAAGTGTTGGCACTCTATTTTCCCTTCTCTGCCGCTGCAGCGGATGAGAGTGAGGTCTCTGGGATGGTGTGGGAGTTCGCTATCTCCCAGCCTCCAGATGGCTCCGTCTTCTCTTATCTAGAAGAATGGGTGCTGCCTCAATTTTTCAACTCGCCTTATCTGGGAATCCTTTAAATTGAATATTTACTGGGCCTATGTTTTCTGCCTGTGTTAGCCCTCTGAAGTCGACATTCCTCTCGCTTGTCGAGACAGGCCAAAGGTTTTTCTCACTCATACACTTTCTTTGTGCGCCTCGTCAAGTAATGGGACAGTGATTGATTATGTGATTGTCCAGAGAATGGAAGGTTAAGCAGTTAAGCAAAGAGCAGTGGAGACACAATAACACACAGCGAAAGAGAGAAAAAAATGTACAACAAAAGAAAATGTATGTTACCAAAACATGACATCAGCAGACCTTCATTTTATGTCAGGAGTACATTCGATTAAATTAATCACTTTCCTAACAGTCTATTGTTTTGCATGCAGTGTACACTAGAGGTTAAGAGAACACTTAAGCAGCCATTGAAAACAACTCATTGCAATATGACTGGCTGTGGTCTATCAGCATAAACAAGCTGTGCCACAGCTACTCCCTGCTAAGTGTCTGGAAATGTCTTTTCAAAACCATTTTGTGAAATGCCTCCATGTTGGATTAATCAGTGCAGCTGAGGATGTAATTGCTGTGCTGAAGTCAAAGCTGTAAGAGCAGATAATGAACACTGACTACAGGGCTGCCAGAATCCAGGGCGCAAGAAATGAGAAGTTTGGAGACTAAAATGTCCCTAGCATTCTCTTTAAAAACACTTATAGAAATGGAGGCGTAATGAATTTACATTGTAAAGTCAGTTAATAATAAACACCTATGAATTTGTGGGTAAAAACATGGAGTTCTTCTGACTTGTGACGGCAGCAACGTGCTGTTTGCATTTAAAGAAATCCAAAGCAAAGCTGTGTCTCCCTCTAAACTTTCTCAAACTCTTTTAGTTATTCTTGTGGGGGATTTTTGTATCTATCCTGCATCAGTCTGATCTGTATGTTTGATTATTTCTTTTAATTGAAGGCCTTGACATGTAAGGGCGGTGATAAACAGTTAGGGTTTGTTCAGACTGTTGCTGCCCTCTAGTGGAGACACTGACTCAAAACAAATGCAGAAACTCCACAACCAGTCTGACCATATCTGGTATATTTTACAGATATAAAAGGTATTCCACGTAAGACCATTTGAACCAAAAAGCAAAATGGTTTACAAAAGGCATTAAGTCTTGATTTATTAAAGTTAAACAGTATTTATAGTAATTAACTTGAGCTGTACGTACTGCTAGTTGTGATACCTAATCAATCCCAGGCAGCAGCAGCAGCAGCAGCCTAATAACATATTGCTTTGTCTCCTATTGTATTTTCTAAGAGTATAATTGCATTCTACGGTTTTATCACCAAACCATCCTTCTCATGTCAACAGGACTTGATTAGTGTTGCATTTTTTCAGGAAAAAGGGGGCCTTTTTCACGATGAAGAGCACATCCAGGAGTCTCTCCTTAGCAGGAAAGGCTGAACTTGGCCGTTGATATTAGTGCAGCAAAGCAAGATTATAAGATGACACACAAACACAGTGGCTTTCACTTCAATTTTCAGCCATGTTCAGGTGAGCTAGCATAGTGAGGAAGTGTATCTACAGTGGTTTCTGTCCTTAAAAATTGCTGCGGTCGATAGTCTTATAATAATATGCAGTGTCCGTCAGTTGTATGTTAACATCCTTAAGTTTTCCTCGCAGTAATGATAGAGTGATGAACAGCTGCTGCCACCATTGTAATTGGATCCACTATTCCAGCTTATCTGTTCAATTATTAAATGAAGGCATAGAGGGTTTCTTAAGCATTTTAACCTTCAGACAGCAAGGGACTGAAAGTTTCTCTTCCAAACAGTAATACAATTAAAACGCCATGATTTCACAAGAGTCGACCTTGTGTCCTTCCATCAACCAGCAGTAGACTATCATTGTACAGAATTTGAGTTATTTTTCTCAAATAAATGGAAATGTGCTTTTTTTTTTTGCTTTAGGCTGGCCTTATGCTCTCATGTATAATTAATCTGCAAATTATAACCACAGTTATTAAGTTTTTTTCAGTCAATCGTATATTGTCATTGACCTATTTCAGGGATTTTTCTAAGTTTTTAATTTCTTTAAATATTCTTTTTTTCTAATTAAATCTGCTTTAATTTCTTTGCCCTTCTAACTGGACTTGTTGATGACCTCTATCATTTGGTGTTGTGGATTTAAGAGAAATAGAAGTCGTAATGTTGCTTTTTTGTGGAGAGACACCATTAAGATAGCAGATTCACAAATAAAGTTGAAATATGGGCTTTGTTTTTAAGTTTGGCACCATCCTGTGTTGAAAACATATTTTTGAGTCCATTGAAAAGTGAAATACTTCATCCATCTCTGTGGAGCAAAATTTATTGAAAGTACTATGTAGCACGTATCAGCTATCTCACCTTTTAATTAAAACAATAAAAGCTTTTCAAAGAAATTGGTAATTTGATTCCGTCGCTTAGTTCAAGGTCAATCAATCAATAAGTCTTCATTTATTTGGCATCGATACACAACAAACTTTTCAACAGCAGCAGGTCCGGTTCATACCCTTACAAAGATCCAATATTAAGATAAGACCGGGTCTCATCTACTGAGATCAGATCCACTCTTGTCCCATCTTAATCATGGGAGGCAGGAACCTTTAGCAGAACCAGACTTATGTTAGACAACCATTTGCCACTGCTGTGAGGGGGAAAATAATGTATTATGTGGTGCACTTTCCGCCGTGATCTTCAAAGTGCTTCTTTTAAGATATTCTCACCACATTACAGTTTTAAAGAAAAACATAATTGTTAAGAAAGTCAATTTCCTGCAGTAATTTGCCTGAGAGGGACCTAAGCCCTGCACTCTCACTTCCTAACAAAATTTCTAAAACAAAAACAGCAGCCAGCCACAGTAATGACCAGGCTTTGGCTGAAGCGTCCTCATCAGAAAAAAACACTTTAACGTGAAAAATGTAATCTCTTCTACTGAAATCCCATTCCACACTAAGGTCGACAATATGACTAAATGATTTGGTTAATTTGAATTCAAACAGTGTCAGCTGGGGGTCCACTCCACACAGTGGGCAGACTGGTAAAGTAATATCAACACAGTTGTGATTATTCCATTGAAACAGTAGGGTGCTCCAATCAGAGGCGAATCACTCTCCTCATTACAGAGTACGAGGCCAGGTCTCAGTGGGAGGAACACTAAATCAGGCGTCCCATCTTCCCTCCGAAATTAATTGAAATTCATTTGTGGCACCCTGATGCTTGCCATCAACACCAGACCAATTCACATTTGTACACTCCAACTCAACTTAATTAAACACAAGGACATTTTAAATATGGAAGCATGTAAAAGGAAAGGTATTCTGTGGTCTGGACTTCAGGCTGCAGTTTGTATCAGAAATATCTAGTTTTTGTTAGTTTTTTTTAGATAGGAAGTCATCTCACCAGGTGTTGCTTCAGTTGAGTGGTATGATTAGTCTAATTGTTTATCTTTTAGAGGCAGAAATAAGTGGAAACTGCTAACATCAAAAATCAGACTGGGCAGATTTTTTTTATTTGAATCAGAAATTTCTGTGAAAATTTGTCAAATAGATGCTCCAAATTATTGCCATTTCAAACTCTTCAAGGGTGTACTATGTGGCCAAAATTTATTTAACACTCCTAACAAATTTAGCTTAAAGCATTTTGTCTTTTTGCCTCAACTCTAATAAAAAGTACAACCTTTCGTGTGCAAAAACAAACATTGAGAATTAAGTATCTACTGCACAAGGAGAGAGAGCACCAAATTCAGGGGCTGAAGATGCTGCTCCATGATATAAGCCAAAATAACACTGACATGCATTTAAAAAGCAAAGACCAAATACCCCAGATTTCCCAAATATCCAACAGTCTGGAAGTCACTCAAAAAACCCTGCAAGCCAAGAATTTCTGGATTTAGCAATATTTTAGCAATATTTAAACTCCCAACAGTTGTTATCACTTAGCAGCATAGTGAACACATGCAGCACCAAATTACTGAGGATTGTGTATTCAGAGGGGAAGAGCATGACTGGGCCTTCTTAAGCCTATCTGCAACAACACCAAGATGGAGGAGCAAACAGTTCTACTCTGAGTTTTTATTCAACCCTTAACACTTGAGTTTGGCTCACTTGCTTAGACTATTCCACTTGTCTGCATGACAGAGACCTCATCAAGAGCTATGATCCTATCTGATCCCTTTTTAAGGTTTCAAATATCAAACCAGTAATTGACTTTGCAAAAATCCTTGACTGTTTATTAAAGGGATATCTTAGTATACTTCGTGGTTTGACTGCATCTACTTCCCACTTTGCTCATCAACCCAACAGCCAGCTTAAATGAATCCACATGCACAACAATGGATTAAGTGTATGATCTTCGACCACACCTTCTCCCAAACTAATAATAGTAAAAAAAATATATTTCAAGAAAAGCGTATACAGCTTCTGAAATGTGTAGCCAAAATGTTTTAACAACACTTACCTGTTTTCAGAAATCTCATCCCTCAAGGCCTCAGTTTAGCTTGCCAAACTCTCCTGTGGAGCAAACAAAAGCATTAAGTTTAACAAAGCACTTTTGTAGGGAGGGCGAGCTAATTGAAGGCATCAACAAATTTGTCTTTAGTAGTTTGGCAGGGTGGCTCTGCCTCAACATGTTGAATTACTTACTACTATTTGAAAATATTTGGTCTAGCGCCAACACAGTTGTTCTCTGGGCCTGGTCGAGTACAAGTTTGGCTGTCACTTCGCAGGGTCACCTGACTAATTCATATACCGCCAACAACCACATCAATAAATATATTTCATTCAGTTTAATTCAGTTCAAAACTGTCGTTATTTCTCCTAGCCACGTGTTTCTTATGAGTCCAAACAGGAAATTTCACACAAACCGTTCAAAACGATTATTACGTTATTTCTCCAGTAGATGGCAACAACAAATCTATAGGTTTTAATGCTGCCTTCGATTGCTTCTCGTAAATTCCTAAATTTAACGGGGCGGAAAGTGCGAGAAAAAAATCATATAAAACACCAGATTAGAGGTGGAATTCCAGGAAATATACGTTATTTATATGGTTTAAAATGTTGAAACTAGACTTGTGAGAGTTTTTATGATCACACTCATCCTAAAAACTCACTATTGACAACACTCAAAGACAGTTTTATGCCTTTAAGTTGAGGAGGGAAGATTAAGGAAATCAAGCAAAACCATGAATCTTTAAGACATAAATGAGACATTCACAACACTGAGATATCTGGGGAAGAGGAAGAGTGGGATCTGAACCCTATTGCTTAAATTACGACAGGCTTGAACGCTGCATCTGCCGGTTTGTATATCGTTAGGTTACTTTGTGTGGGGCGGAGAGCTGGAAAGTTCATAACCTCCTGTGTCTGTGTAGTTTTCGGGTAGGTGGACAGTGAATTGCCCTTTGAAAACCAGACAGGTATGTTTCTCGCCGAATATTTCCTGGTATTTCACAGATCTTCCTTCTCAAAATGGATTGGTTTAACTGTATGATAGACTACAGTTGAATCATCTATCAGCCTTTTTTTTAAGCTAAAATTGTTAAAGACCATACTCACAATTGTTTAAAAATGTATATTAATGTTTATTAGTTTGACTGTAAACACTAAAGTAATTTAAAACGTGTCTTTACTGTTATGCCAGTAAAGGACTTGAAATACCTGTTGGAAAACAAAATGTGAGTTTATGGTGATGTTGTGTGATGAAAACTATATTTAAAGTAGATTTTCAGTTTTATGTTCAGCCTTTGTGTATTTGTTGGTGTGTTTAACTGACTCTCCACCTTTCACCATTTCACAAATATCAGTCAAGCATTGACCATGCACTGACAGCTGTGATTTCTGTGAGTACACTTTACTTAGTTTTCTCCCCTCAGAATATGTCTTCAAGGAAAATTGCAAAAAGTAATCTATGCAGCCTGTGGATGAAGACCCTTGGTCATCTGGTGGTGCTGTCCTCTTTAAACCCTTGGGTTTCTGCATACTCTGAGAGAGAAAGAGTACATGACTTGATGTCCAGATATCCTCTTATTGACGGGTAAAGGCGGTTTATCTGTCAGCCTACACAGCAGTTATATTCATTGGCACCAATGAATGGAATCTAATTAGAGTGCCTCTTCATCCGCTCCTCTTTCCTAACACGCTCTGTCTCCATCTGTCAGTCATAATGACCTAGCTCTTCAGCTGAGGATTCTTCACAACAATCGTTTGAGCCAAGTCGACCTTCATAATGTCAGCAAAGTGGCCACTGATATCACCCGACTTCAAGCAGGCCATGTACAGGCACAGGTATTGTATTTAAACAAATCTTTCACCTCTGATTCAAGTCTGTTTTGAAGTGTTGAATACTGTAGAGATTGGTTTATCATAAACAGACATATTCCTCCTACCCATACTGTCTGTTTCATAACCTGACCTGGTCTAGAGTGACCCCTGTAACTTGAATGTGTCTGCTGTTCTCTTGTGTCCTCCATCCCTTTGTCAGGTGTTTGCAGTCTATGTGTTGTGTGGGGCCCAGGAGAAAGATGCTGTCAGGCTGACTCTGGAACAAATAGATGTAGTTAGACGCATGTGCACTGAGTACCAGGACTTTGAGCTGGTCACATCTGCTCAGGGTAAATGCATCAAGACTTATTTGCCCAAAGAAGTAGAAAAACAAAAATACCTTTGATTTTTTTGTGGATTTTCACAGTTTGTAGGAGCTTTTTCTTCCTTTAACAAGCTTATATTTGTTTGCTTTTGTCAGCTAGTGGCTTGGCTAGATGAAGGTACATTAAACACTGTGTGTACTTTTTGTGTCATACATGTATGTTTGTATTTGCAGAGTTGAAGAATTCTGCAATGAGACACAAGATAGCCTGTCTTATAAGTATTGAGGGCGGACACTCCATTGACAGCAGCCTGCCAGCTCTTCGGATGTTTTACCAGCTTGGGGTTCGCTCCATGGCTCTCACACATACCTGCAACACCCCCTGGTGAGCACAGAAAGCCTTAAAAATCAACTGTGATTACTCTGACTCCTAAAGACAGTTTAAATATCACAAAAACACAACACGTAGTAAGGACTGTAGTAATGCATATATTTCAATGTACAATCTACCTGTTGTTTTAGATTGTTATATTAAGACTTCATTTGCAAGCTTAACTAGCAAAAAGCGTCTGGTTCTTATCCATTTTAATTTGTCTTTGCAAATAACCTTCTTTTATTCTCTTTAAAATTTAGCATTTTATATAATTAAATGTACCCCGTTTACCTGCTGTGATTGAAGCATTGTTTGTACATGTTTTATATTTTGTTGTAATGAAAGATACAAAAGACTTCCCAGTTTTGTTTTTGACATTATTTTACATCAATCTAGGGCTGAATCCTCCTCCAAGCTTTACAAAGTTTATCAAAGACACAACAACAGTCTGACACACTTTGGAGAGGTAAGCCTATTTTCTAATACCGACCACTAACCACTTATGTGTCGTAAACTTAATGACATAGAACGATAACGTCAACATGTTTGCATATTTTGGCTAACTCTGGGTTCCAACTGTCAATCTCTTCACCTTTGCCACACAGTGATAACTATTCATGACTATCAGAAATAGGATTCATAACAATGGTTTACATTGACAGGGATTGACACCCAGTGGAAACTTTGTGCTGAGTGTAGTGTTACTGCTCTGTCTTTAGTTAAAGAAGGACTGGAGGGCTTGCAAGAATCGGTTAGCCAACCTTTAGCCTCACCAAAATCCTTCTCATAAGCCCTAAAACTGTGGACTAAAGCAAACCACTATGACCCCACCAAACATTTCTCCAACAAATGTTTTTTTTTTCTGTTTTGTACTTTGCCTTGACTAAGCCAACCCCTCCCAGAGTTATCTTTCTTTTGCTTGAACTTCTTTGAAGCCAACCAAAAGTTTACCTTCGCATACATACGGCAGTTTTCTGGAGCTGACATTTGGAGACAAGTGCCCTCCAAGTGACCCTCCTTGTTCCCCGCCACTGCACTTTTCTTATTCTTCATGTCCACATGGCCACCTTCAATCATCATGTTTTCAACTCACAATCAGATTGTGATCAAGAGCTCTGATCCACTCATTTCTGAGTGTCCAAGATGATCCAACATGATGCAGATCTGACTCTGGTTCAACAACAAAATACCTCTCTGGTTTAGAACAGACAAGCTTTTCTTCCCATTTAACTCAAGATTTCTCATCATTTTACATCTGAGGGTCAAAGTCTCCCAGTTGCAATTAAAGAATCCCTCAACAGAATCCTTTACAGGATGCAAATCTGCAATGAGACGAGACTCAAAGAAGGAAAGATACCACAGCAGTCAGAGCCCTGACATTTAGATAACCAGCAATGAGCTTGTGAGGATCTTCATGTTCCCACAGGGCCTCTAACCCACAGCTTGGCTTGACAAGAAATGACTGCAGCCCCTTCCAGGATTTTGATTCCCAATACCAGTGCCCTGCATGGAAAATTGTATTCTCACTAATCATTTTATTGAAGTTAGGCATTTAACCGAAGCACTTCTTAACCATAAATTGGACTCGCAAGCCCTCTTACAGGAAATGTTTATTACTGCAAATCTATTTATTGATCCAAACAGCCAGTTGTGCAATCACAATCTTTTCAGAGGGATCTTTCAAACAGCAGCATGCAGGACTGTCTTGGTTATAGCTCAGATGAATGTTTTTGTGTACCGGTATATGTATGTACAACATCTCAGGCCTAAATCTGTTAACTTTCTCTCTTGGTGATTTTGTGAAGTGCTTCTTAAATAGGTTATAACACTGTTTTCAAGGCTGTGGTTGAGGAGATGAACAGACTGGGGATGATAGTGGACCTTTCTCACACTTCTTGGGACACAGCCAGGGCCGTGCTGGGTCACTCCAAAGCTCCTGTGATTTTCAGCCATTCATCTTCCTTCTCTATCTGTAACCATAGCCGCAACGTACCTGACTGGCTGCTGAAGGAGCTGGTGAGACAACCAATTTACTAAGCTTCTATCACTTTCCTATGGTCTTATCAATGAAATCACAAATTAATTAGTATCATTATAGCTTTATGTCCACATAAAGAAATACAATAAATCTATCTAAGCACAGCTGAGGATTAGATAGTTGATTTTTCATCCTAAGGATATTATTGTAGGATCAAGAAATTAAGTGTATTTTATTTAAAATTACATCGCTGGTAACATCAAAGTGGTTAAGAAATTAAGATCTGTTAATGAACATCTGCTCTTATTGGAATTCAGACTGTTTTAATAAGCGATTCAAGTGCAAATAATTATTTTTATTTATTTATTTAACTTCACTTTTACTTTTATTGATGTATTTATCTTTTATTCATATGTTCATATGACTAATTTAATTATTTCTTAGAGGCTATATATATGTTCTCTGTTTACTGTATTTTCTATCTGGTTTTATGTTTCGCAATTGTTATTTGTTAAAAGTTTTCAAATTACATCAATAAAAATATTAAATAGCAAGAGATGAGGGGCTGTGAGATACAAACAAGCTAACTAATAAATGAAGGAATAAATAAGTAAATATCAATATTATGAAGCTGGGATAATCTTATTTGCCCCTCAGGCTGTAACATTGAGGTTGAAGTATTAAGCTACCAACACTTTAAACGTCATATTCCTCATGTCAGCTCCTTCCCTTCGTCTCTCAGCCAAACTACAAATATCTCTTTGAATTTCCAGGTATCCCCTTAATTATTTTGAGCTTTAACCATGTGTTTCTTTTATTGTTAATAGACTAACACTGGGGGATATCAGTCCTCCATTTAACTTCCCCGTCCGATCAAAACAGTGTGTTGGCCAACGTGTACATATTCTGAAAACTACTGTGTTAAATCCACAGAGAATTTGAAGCTGAGTTGTACAATTTCTCAGCTCATTGTTGTTGTAGAAGTAGTGCCACTGCACTGTAGTAATGCATGTATATTTCTCCTGCTTATCTTCAACTGTGTCCCTTTCTGATCTGCCATGATCAGGCATGTTTCTCATTACGTCTTAGATTTCCATGAGTGGGTTGCTTAAAAATCCTGCTGGTTTACATAAGGCCAAGCTCTCAGCTAGTTGGACAAGACAAGTATGAACCTGAGGTTTGCCACATCTATGTATAAGAGTAACAAGTGAAGATAAGGCTGCCGAAATAACTACTCATGTTCAAAAACTGCCCCCAGAAAAAACTTGTTTTACCTGCAATGTTTCTCTAACATCTCAACTTGTCGGTGACGCTGATGTGTTTGTGTTTTTAGAGAAAGAAGCAAGGATTGATTATGGTAAATCTTCACAGCAAATTCATTTCTTGCAAGGATGACGCCAACATCTCTCGTGTAGCTGGTAAGGCCACCATGTTCAATGTTTATTCAAAATGCAGAGAATCTTATGTTGTTATTTCTTATCTTCAGTTTTATGTGTTATTCCACCTTGCTTTTGCAGATCATTTTGATCACATCAGGAATGTGATTGGAGCTCAGTCGATAGGAATTGGAGGAGACTTTGAAGGTGCAGTGAGGTGAGAGAAATCCGGTGTGCAGATAACCAGAAGCAAATTCAAACACTGAAAATCCACAGCGCTGTGAGTGTTCTTGTGTTTTGTATTTTTTCCCTGGCTGCCCCATGATAAGAATAAACTGGGTCATCAGAGACATATCTTACTGACAGTAAATACAGATGATGCTTTTACCAAAAAAAGATGAATAAAAAGCTCATGTCAGTGTACTGGTTCACACTTGTTGTTGTTGCTCACTGCACAACATATTCCAGGCTGTTGTTGAGCCAGATCAATTTTGTGCTTGTTAGTCTGACATGCTATCAGCAATTAGGCTTTCTTGGCTGTCAACAGGCTGCAAATGGTAAAAATCAATAACTGTGTACTTATGAAAGCCATAAAAAGTGGGTCTGCTGCAGCACACTCACAACACAATGGTGAGCTTCAAATGTGTGTGTTTTCTGATTTCTGCCATCAAGAAACAATAAACCATCGAGATTGAGGTAAATGGTAATACTGTTACTTGTATACTTATATACTCATACAGGTTGATAATGTATTAAATAACTGTATGAGTGAGTTTCTTTTACAAAATGTGTGTTGATTTAATTGAATTGAATTTATTTTTTGCAGCTTTCCTCAGGGGTTAGAGGATGTGTCAAAATATCCGGCCCTGATCCAGGAACTCCTGCAAAGGAACTGGACTGAAAATGACCTCGCTGATATCCTTCGAAGAAACTTCCTGCGAGTGTTTGAGGAGGTGGAGAGGGTGAGCCTGCTGATTGTTAAAGCAAAATTCATGTACAGTTAACATTAAATGCTTTCTCCACCTGGCAGATTTTGAAAACCAGTCAACTAAAGATCAGCGAGAACAAACTCCAAACATGACCTCTTTCTCCATCTCATTTTACTGTACATCCAGGTCAGTGAGGAGTTAAGTGCGCACCTGCCTAGTGAAGTCCAGATCCCTGATAAGGAGGTCCAGAACCCCTGCAGACTGGACCTCAGACATCCCTCCAGGAAAAGGCCACCCTCTGACCAGAGTCCCTCCTCTAAAGCCCAACAAAGACCAACAGGTCTGTTAACCCAAGCTGTGGTTCTACTGATTTCAAGCCTGCTCCTGATGGACTGAAGTTTTGGTTCAGCTTCTCTTTCTTCTGAGGTGAAATGAGATTGCAGAAGCTGTGCATGGATCAACCCTGCACTTCACATACCAATAGAGATCAGAAGAGACTAATCCAAGTTTGACAACCAGTATGAAGAGTCAGTGTGGTGCCCCACTTAAAGAGATGCAGCTGTTGATACATTTGCCACATTAATTTAAAAAAAAGATTGTTTGTCCTCTGACACTATTGGTTTTTAACTAATAGGGTATATTTTATGTTACTGAGTATTTTTGAAGTGTGTGGAGGAGTTTTATTTAGAGCAGAATCATGATATGTTACTGATGAATCAACTGCAGAGATGAGTATTAAAGATAGTTATTTTCAATTGTTTGAAATCTGTCATTTTAATTTTTGCCTTTAAATTAATATATTACGTAGGATATTACTCATAGGTGTCATTTGAGGGAATTCTTTGAAAGAAAAGCAGAGAGCGATTGAAAAACTTGTTCTTTTATTTAATCTTACAGCAAAATGAGACATAATAGAATTTTACAAAACATAATCTTCATTTTCTTTGTCCAAAAACACTCCCTTTTCTCATTTCAGTGTTGGCACATTAGCTTTGGTAAGCTTACTTTAATCTCTTTATTTTGTCTTCGCCTTGCACATATTTTCCACATGAAGTAGTTTTTCACACAATAGCCTAATAGCTCTGCAAAAATGAACTCAAAGCTTTACTAAAATACTGCTAACATGAAGTTTGCATTAAAAGAATGGGATGTGTAACAGATTTTTAATGAATGGAAAATATATAGGCCCTGATGAAGAGCACTGAGAGCAGAGTGATAGGTATTAAATATCTGATTTATGCATCACAAAACATAGACAGCTGCTCTCTACACTGTATGCTGGCCTAAAATACTGAAACACTTATTAGAAAAAGCCTGAAAATAAACAAAACGCCAACGCTGGTGGCATTACAGTTGTTCAAATGTTGTAATCCTTAGACATGATTCTGAGACCTCCATGGTAACCGGGGTAACAGCAACTTTGTTATGTGGTCGAATACAACACGTTAGCAACAGGCTTGTTTTCATTATAACCACCATAACTATAACAAAGTTTATAGTTATGGTAAATAATAAGAATTTATTTTCAGAGTGGAAATAGTGGACACTGACAGTAAAGCTGCTGTATTATACAAGTATTTACACAATGTAAATACAGTTAACTGCTCTTGCAGGAAGAAAACAAATCCAACCGTTTAGTATCAGAAATGAGGTTGGATTTCATAAAAATCTGAAAAATCTCTAAATTTTGACCCTTTTGTGTGCAGATGAGCAAATAAAATAAAATAAAAATACAAAAAATAATCGTCTTTCATCAGCTATTCACACCCTCTCAGTTAAACAAATATCTTTCCAAAACTTATCATAAATTATGTCTTTTAAAACTTCCTTTATGATATCTGGCAACCACATTTACAAACTTGAGTCTGTGCTTTCTGCAGAGCACAGCCAGCGTCATACATTATCCCCAGTAACATTGTTGTGTTTCAGTGGGGAAATTGCTGGAAAAATAAATAAATAAATAAAAAGAAGCTTCCAAAATAATCAAAGAGCTACTGAAAAACAAACAAAAAATGGCACCTATAAAAATCAGTCAGCTATAAATAAGAAACTCTTATCCAGAGGTTGTTGACACTTTAGCAATGTTTTGTCCTATAGATGTAAAAACGTACGTGCGAAGAATAGCCGAGCCATGAACTGATAGGTGGATATGTACAAGAATGTGCCTCCGTATTCTACAAAAATAGAATAATGCATCTTATGTAGTCGAAAGTCCATACTTCACTATGAAAGTTAGAATTGGTGCCTCTATCCAGAACTTTCTGGAAGAGCTGTCTCCTGTTCAGGGCTGGAATGAGTTGCATTGAGGTTGATGCTCTCCTGTAGCAGCTAATAACCGGTCATGAGTAGATGGTGATAACTTCCCGACCTCCACCTCGCACCAGCAGCACTCTTTCCAGGCCCTCTGTCAACACCTCCAGAAATTCCATGTCTGAGAAACAGGTTAAAGAGTTAAAGCCAACCAACAACAGGATTGGGACTCCCTCCCCTCCTGTGGGACTAATAAATGAATATCTCATCTTATTTTATTCACAGTCCATTTGAGAAGTATCTCCTTGAAATTACACAAAACCTCTGTTGAACAATCATTTTATTTGCAAAGGATACAGTTTTCATCTCCCTCTGTGTTTCGAGGTGGTCCAGGCATGTTGAGCAGCACTAAGCGAGCGTCATGGGACCTGTTGACTATCACCTCATTTAACTTAACAGCTGTGTGCATCCGCCGCACATTGGACTGATCCCTAATGAGCAAAAAGACACACAGAGACATAAATGTGTAAAATAGATTGGTGCTGATTAAGAATGTAAAACAGGGGAGGTTAAAGGTTGACCTCTACTCACGGTTTGAGGCTCATGAGTTCCCTGAAGTTCTCAGGGGTGTTTCTTCTCCGCTCTGCCTCACACTTTTCTCTCGTCCATGTCATCTGTATCTTCTCAGGAGGAACCTCCATCAAATCCTCCTCCTCATCTGAGTAAAGACTTCCCATGCGCACCAAAGAATGTCTGTCCTTTACCAGCTGGGCCTGCAAGAGCCAGGGAGAAGTTCAGGGACTTAACTTTCAGCATATTGTTATTTTTTATTTTATTTTATTTTAATAGAGTTGAGGGTTACATTACACAGAGCAGACAGAGAAAATGATAGAAAGGAAGTGAAAGGTGATACAAAAGCAAACATACTTCTCTTTGTCTTTCTGCAGTGGAGAGCCTCATTTGCCTCAACATCTGGGACCTTTGCTCCATCATTAATGTCCGCTCATAGGTGTATGCAGAGATGTCACTGTCATGCTAAAGAACCAGTAGAGAAACAAAATTTGATTTAAACTCAATGACTTTTTTAATTTAACATAAAATCAAATCATTTAAGACAACTTTTTAATGTTCAAAGAAAGTGTTGTTGACTGACATAGTGCACTCAGTACTTATTTGATTCTGTGAACAGTAAATGCCATCTTGCCATTTATAATAGCCCCTACCTGTAGCAAGAAAAACCCTGCTATTGATGTTGTTTTTAACTTTTAACTTTTCTTACCATCTCCACCACCTCCACCTCGGCCTCTATCCTCAGCTGGTAGAGGAATGTGGCCAGATCTTTCTTCATCTGGATGCTGTTGTCGTCCATTTGTGCTACAGTGAAGATGCGCATCTTGCATTTCCTCCAAACCTTTAATGTAAACAAATGATCTGGTTCACTACAAGTGTGATATTAAGTGCACTAATGAATATATATGAACGAATTACTTAAGAAGTTGCACAATAACTCCAGAGAAAAGCCCTGGATGAATTAATCAGAAGTATAAAGGAGTATTTCTAGGGCACAAAAGTTGGGAATAATTGCAGAGGATTTTTTTTTGTCACAAGAAATTTTTGTTTGTTTGTTTTTAAATTACACTTTAAATGCGGCAATTATCAGAGCTTTTAAATCCTTTTTCATAACTTTTGGAACAACCTCCAAAGATTTTTACTTTTTGTGGAAATGGCTAAACCTCATTATCCATCGTTAAAATTAGCTAATTAGAATAAAACTTCAAGATATGTTTGCTCACCTTATGCTGTTTAAGCAGGAAAGGCAGCAGCATTAGCATTCCCCCATCATGGACGATCCACCATACATCAATGTTGCCGTCTGTAAAGCGCTCATGGTTGCTCGGGTAGAAGGAGACATTTTTGGGCACCATCAGGGCAAGCTGGGCAGCTGTGGTGCAGCGCACTGTGTCTGAGATGAGATGAGCAAAAAGGGGGCTTTGATATTACATATACAGTTTAGACAACAACAACGAGCTGTCTGGGTTGGTCAGTTTAAATACAAGTCCAAATCTTTATTCCAATTTGCCTTAGGAGTCCACAGCTGCTGTTCTGCGGTGGTACCATGCAGCAAAAGCTGTTTTAGACATCAGCGAGACACTTACTGATAAATGTCTTCCAGGCCCGAGGGTCCTCACTCTGTCTCCAGCCATATGGCCAGCCCATCACCACAGTGTTGTGCTTCATGCCACCCAGGCCGCAGGACTGGATCAGGTGGACAACGCCTTCTCGCACTTTTGTAGCCACAACTACCTGGCAGAAACCTTTCACTCGCTCGATTTCCATCATATTTTTAATAGCCTGAAAGACAAAGTAGGAAATCTTCACTTCAATCCAAAGTCATTAAGAAAGCAAATAATGGATTTTTTAACAGCAATGAAACGTTTAACATGAGGACGATTTCCCGAAAGTTAAGATATATAAGCACAATAAAGCCTTATCAATATCGTACAGATTTGAACTGTAAAATAATGAGTATAACTGAAACACTTTTTTATTGTGACTCTCAGACAACAAAAGCTGTTTGTAACAATGACACATGTTTGAAACAATTATTGGTGGGCTTTTTTCTATTCACTTAGCTCCTCAGATAACAAAAGGTGCTTGTAACAATAAGTAGTGGCGCAGTCAGCACACAATCACAAAAGAGAATAGTATAGAGAGCACAGCATGTACAGCATACATCCCTGTCTAGAATTTACCTGTTCGGCCGCCTGCATTTCACCATAGCCGTCCAGGAAGTTACCCTGGAGGACAGAGCCCACAATGGTAAGACCCTTCCCCGCCTTCAGCTGAGAAGCAAAGGTGAGCATGCGAGGGTATTTCACATGGAGGTCCTCATCCAGTTTCAACAGCACCAACAGCTGAGGTCTGAAGTGTAAAGAAAGTTTGTACATAAGACCAAGGTAGGGAAAAAAGTGCACCCATTTATCCCCTCTTAAAACTGTCACTGAAGTCAGGTACGAAGAGAAATAACTAATGAACGAAGAAGTGTGAACAGCTACATTCAAAGGATGATGTTGCCTGCTTTTGTGAACTGTCTTGTTTAGATTTTATTCACACATTGTTTCAGTTCAAATCCTTATAAAAGAGGAACAAGAAGGATAAGCTCAGCATATGGATGGTTTAAACAGGATATTCCAGTGAAAAGTGACCCACAAACTAGCGGTAAATGCAAACCAAGAATGATTCCAACAATATTGTAATATCTCACCTGAGGTTGCAGCTTTCTAAAAGTGTTTTACATGCATCAGGTTCTTAAAAGTGACACAATAGCATCCTGTCTCAATACAAGGAAGAGCTGATGTTTTGAATGAATCACATGTGGTAAATGTGTTGCAGAATTATCAGTCTGGAGGGCCATTTCTTAAGAATCTTGCCAAACAATATTTCTGCAATTTCCTTGATACTTGGTCTGGTCTATAATTTTGAAAATGTGTAAATGGTCAGAAGTAAGGCTGTGGGGTTTGAAATGCAACTCTACATTCTTGCCTGAACAGGGATGTGAAAACAACTTTTGTAGCCCAAGGTGCAATGGGGTTCTTAAGCCAGAGTATTAGGGCCAAATTCAATTTGTTGTTCTTTTCAAGGTTTATAATTTTTTGAAAAAATAATCTTACATAATGTGGCCCTAAGATCTGTCAAACGTTCTGCAAAGATGCAATATAAACATTTTTTTGAGAAATTCAAGGCATAACCTAAAGTTTTGACTGTACCTCCAGTTTTTGGTGTGGGGTGGTCCAATCTCTAGTCTCAACAGGGCATATCGTGCAGCACTGAGGGACAATCCTCGTATGCCGTCTCCCCACTCCTTCTCAGCCCTGTTGTTGTTTACGAGCAGAGGAGACAAGATAAACAAAACAAAGGCAGGCACTTAAAGAAAACAGATTTCCCAAGGAATCCACAATGGACATGTGAAGATCAGACGGAAACACAGTAACACAGCTACTCTCACCACAGGAATGGATTTTAGTTTTGCAGTCAGACAAAAGAGCATATAACTCTTTTTTTTCTTGTTGAGAGTAAAGACATACCCTTGGTACTCAATGTACTTGTAGATCATCCCAGCAATCCCCATAGCTACAATCGCGTAGTACCACGAGGAGATGAACATTAAAGCCAGGCACATACTCATGCCAAGGAAGGACAGAGCCCTGCAGAGGATGTAATATAAAGTTAGGTTTACATTCACCAAAAAGAAACTCTACTCAACAGTATTCATCATGCATTGTTTCTCCAGTGAACAGAACTGGGGTTTCACATCCTATAACTAATGTACTTTAAATTGCATGAGACAGCAGGGACAGCCCAATTGATAAAATTGAAGCATGCAACAAAACCTGCCACATGTGATGGGAACAACTGCAGCGGAGATTCCTGTATGCTACTCACCAGTGGTAATATTTAAACCTCGGCCTCCAGTTGGGTGTGCGTAGAAGAGTCTGAACAGCACAGGCTAAGTTCACAAAGAGATAGCACATCAAGAAGAACCTGTTGAATAAAAACACACTCATTTGACATGCATCAAACCATATTATGAGTGGCAGGGGTGAACCCAAACTAAGATATTTGTGTTTATAATATGTCTAAGAGATGTTAATGTGTGGGGTGTGTCACACTTTTGACCAAGGTGCATGTGTGTGACCTTACATAGAAAGGATAGGAGCCACCATATCAAGAGAGGCAATCAGAATGCCCAGCTCAGCTATGAGTCCAGTCAACAGTAGAGCCCATGTTGGCTCACCATTTGTCTTTCCATGACCAAACACCTGGGACAAATAAAAAAAAAAAAAATTCAAAACTTTTACATGCTGATATGCAAATTATTGCTTCTTGCCTTGGTACTGTTCCATATTCAAATAAGCTTAGCAGAGAAACAAATGCAAACATTTCCATATCTACTTGCTGAATGTTATGTGCTGTGTTTCAGCAGGAGTCATTTTGTTTGGCAGGGAATCATTGTAAAATGCCTGTATGGTGATTAAACAATGTGATGAACTGAGTGGACTGTCCCACCCTGAGGAAAGGAATAATGTTGTCCTTGGCAATGGCCTGTAGGAGCCGTGGAGCCCCTGTTAGGGACTGCAGGCCCGCCCCGACTGTAGAGAAGAAGGAGCCAATGACAATGACCCACGGTGACGGCCAGGAAAGCGTTCCCACCACTAGGTTTTTTCTGACTGCGTCCCCAAACCTGCAAATATATGCTGAGTTGATCTTTTTTGTTTTAAGTTTACTTTGCTGGTGCTATGTCTAAATAAACACTGACTTTCAATCAAGCAAATTGTACTTACTTATCTCTGAGGACTACTCCTTCAATACAGGACCCAAACAGCACCACAGAGCTGAAATCTGAATATAACAGGTCAAAGACCTCAACAACTTATTGATGTACATCTGATTTTCTATTCTGCATGAGTGGCAAGACTGTTAGTGTTTGTGGTTTTACAACAGAAAGGATACAGACAAGGGAAGTAGTTGTAATAGCCAAGATAGTCCCCACTGGGATGGACTTCTGAGCATCACGGAGATCTCCTGATCTGTTGGAGCCCGCCATGATACCTATAAAAGGATAAAGACAGCATTTACAACCTGAGGGCATAAATTGGTTTGTCACTGGCAGAGAAAGAGGTATGAAGCTCCCTCTTTTGTTGCACTGAGAATGGCGAACTTCTGTTAAAGGTGACACATTACAAGTAGCTGCTGTTACAGTCTACATATTACATCAAAAGACGTGCTAGCAACTGATGTTTTTCTGTGAAAGACCACCCAGTGAATCCCCATGCTTGTAAAGATGTTTGCATACTTGCAAGATTAAATCATTTGTTGAACAATTTAAGACTGAAGTTAAACTAATCTGGATAAAAGTGAACTTTGTGTACCGTAATCGCACATTTTCTCATTAACAACAAAGTAATACCTGTGGCAGATGGGAAGAAGATCCCCACCAGTAGTGTGAAAGATGTGGCGATGTCTGCTGAAACATACATGCCAAAGTTCTCCACAGAACCGCGAGCGTCAACCGACTGAAGTGACGCCTTCTCTAAGACATCACCTTTCTGCATGTAGCTACCCCACATATTCTCTGACAAAAGAAGAGAGACATTTCAGTCATTAGCAACAAATTTCTATCAGAGCAGAGATACACTTGATCAGACTTTCAAAATAGTGTGGTACAGTTTGGCCTGAAAGAAGTTCACTAATTGATGAAGATACTTGAAATATTTAGAGTTTTAACCTTTTAAACCTTTTAAATTCAACAAAAAGAACTAATGACAAATGTACCTCTGATAATCCCACTGCTCAGTCCAGGGATGCCCTGTATCTCTGTCACATTGTTCTGCATGAAGTAGTCGTCACACTGAGCGCTGCTCATATTTCCAGGCAGACAGAACTTTTCCCACAGCTGGCTGGGTACTGTGATATTTCCTTTTGTCACAGTCTTTGCACACACATCGAATCGATCTCTTATCAAAGTCCTGTTTCCCAGCATGCAGATCCTACAGTAAGAACATGAGATAAAATTATTAGGCTACCACATAAGTGTACCTTGTTTACATCCTCAGTCTGTTATCATCAGTAACTTTTTTGTCATCATAATAAAAAATTTGGGCAGAAACATTTTCCTAGGATGAAAGTGAGAGATCCAAGCTGATTTCTAAACATAGATAGAACTGTAGGTCTTACAAAGCAAAAAAAAAAAAAGTGTTTTTCCAAGTGATATAAACACTAACTTTCCCATACATACCAGAACTCACAATAATTTACACAACTCTTTATTTTCTTGGTAAATCTCCTCTGCAGACTTACGGGAATTCAGGCGGATGAGTCATGGATTTGATTGCTCCAGCATAGATGGAGACGATTGAGATAATGACACAGGCCAGGAAAAGAGAGGCCAGCTTATTGACATATTTCACTCCCACAAAAACCACCACTGCCATCAAACTGAGGCAGATAGAGCCGTAGACTCGCATGTTGTTCAGCATGGCACTGTCACTCCCAAGATGGTCTGTGGCATGAAAGATGGCCGCCTGGGGGACTAAATATTTCTGAGAGGGGAACAAAAACAACAGGATGATTGCCACACACTTATGCATTCCAGCAGAGAGGAGTTTTAAGGAATCCTAGCGTGCAACAGTGAGCCAGAGTAAACCAAGGGGTAATATTTCAGCAACAGCACTGACCAAGAAGATCTCAATGGCCCCCAGGATGTACATGGCAGAAGCAAAGGTGGTGCCCAGGTAGAAGCATAGCCCTACAGCTCCCCCAAACTCAGGGCCAAGAGAACGGGAGATCATGAAGTACGCCCCTCCAGCTGCAACAGCAAAACAAAGTGTTACACACATCAGCATATGAAGTCCTGCTATATCTCATAAACACAGCAGTAGATCTCTACTGCCCCCAAGTGGAGGAATATTTTGTGAAAACTCTCTAAAGGACCAAAGATTTGAAAAACAACTTATGACTAAATCAGGGGAATTGAGGTTTTAACATATGTAAGTGCTGACGCAGGATATGAATAATAAATGTCTTTATCAGGAAACTGAAAGGAATGAAAGTCAAGTATTACCTGGAACAACACCATTTGTAGCAATGGCACTCATTGATATGGCTGTAAGCATTGTCTGCAAAGGAAAGAAAAGAGGTATGATACATTTATTTAGAAAAGCTACTATATCAGCTAAAATTTTAGCAGCAGAAAGCATGCTAGCTTCCATCCAAAGGGGCATGTATCCTGGGGGATATCCAGAGTGGTCACCAGCGGTGCGGTGGGCCTTGTGTCTTATCTAATTTACCACCCTTGATGCCTCCCTAAATCCTAAACTATGATTGCTTATTTGTCTTGTTAGGAGTGGGAGTCATGTTAAAATCAAATACATGAGTTTTCTTTGCATTTCAACACATTTTCTTTCCTAAAGGTTTAAAATTGTAACATTAGACTTTTTTCAAGCCCCCATGAGGAGACTTTAGCTGGTTATGAAACAGACAGACAAAGAGTATGTTTTAGAATTGATTTTTAGACTTTACTGACTACTTTTAAAGGACTAAATGGCATTTCTTCCAGCTCCATATCTGACCTTAGTACCAAACAAGCCAACATGTACATGGATATCCTTGGGCAGAGATCTGCTGTGTGTGTGTGGTCAGAAATCAAAGTTAAGGGAAAAGTTTGCAGTGAGGGGTCCAAAACTCTGGAATAACATTCCTGAAAAGATTGGGCTAGCAGAGTTACAGATCCCTTTCAAGTAGTTTCTTAAAACATGCTTACGTCAAAGAGCCTTTCCTGGTTTTACTTGAAGTTTGATTGTTATTGCTTGAAATGTTTTACAAAATTCTTTAAGTATTTTTTAAAAGTAAAAGTATTAAATAAAAAATAAAATAAAATGAAAATTTTACTTACTTAAAAAAAAATCATATTGTTTTTAAATGTTTCTAGATTGATGATAGTGTTAAGTAAAAGTGTGTCTCTTTGTACAGTGCAGTGTTTGAGTGTGTGTGTGTTTGCGCATACTAACACATGAGCAGCACATGAGGACAATCAGGAGAGACTGCATGATGCCAGCCATCCCGACAATCCACGTCAGCCGAAGGAAAAGAATGACACCAAAAATGTTCTGCAGACATGGCAAGTAGACCCCCATCAGAGTGCCCATGTTGGGAGACTGATAAAGAGAAAGAGGGAGAGAAGGCCAATGGGTACACAGAGAGAGAGAGAGAGAGAGAGAGAGGAGAATATTGACCATGACATTTCAGGAAACAAGTGGACTGATCATTCGTATTGACTGATGTACTTTTTAAAGGTCATCCAATCATGTTATCAGCTCTTTGCATGTATGCAGGTCTTACACAGCCACACTGTGACTGCAAAGCAGCCAGAGGCAGGGGCAATCAATCAGCAAGTCTTAATACTAAACCAGAAATTCAGCCAGAGGTGGGGGATAATGTTTCTAAACCTCTGAAGACTTTGTGTACTGGCGGTACACTGAGGCATAGTGTTCCTTCACTCCTGACCTTGGGGGTCTTTCTGCGTGAGGCCTGTGCACTCTCCTCCTCCTCATGCTCCTTGGCTCCTTGTGTGATGTTGGTGTAGCTGACCAGGCGGCTGAGCAGGGAGGAAACCTTAGGCCGGATGTCCAGCTCTTCCTGGATGACGAGAGGGGGGTGAGAGGTTATGACTTCAGTTTGAGTCTGTCTTCAACAAAATATGTGAAAGTTAAAAAAAACAGACCTCAAACAGAGCCAGGTTCCTGTCATAGAAGTCATTCTTCTTGCTGGCAGCATCAGCACTGTTGAGAAATGGACTGTCCTCTTTATGATTCCCATGTCCTGTTAAAGGGGTAAAGGAAGGTTAACACTGTAAAAATGAACCATTTTAACTGATACTATTAGACTTGCAGCGAGGGGCTTGACAAAGTAGGCAAACACTCTTCAAAAATGCATTAGAAACTTCCTTGTAATGCATAATGCCAAAAAAGTTAATGATTTATACTGATTTGACTTAGAAACACAATTTTTTTGTGGAAGTTTTGCAGAACCCTCTGTCATATTGGCACCACTATGTCTAAATGGATAGTTATTTAACATAAACCATGGTGTAAGTTTCTAGTGTTTCTCTAACCACTACAAAACCTATTAATTGAACCCATTATCTAAATCTCAGTTTTATGTTGAAAAAAGGTTTAATTTTTACAGTTTTTCATATTTATTCATATTCACCTGTACTTACAATAATGCTAACATGTATAGATCTACAAAAAAATTGTCTTCAAAAAGTGAAAGTTTTTAGTCAAGTCATTATGTTTCACATAAATGTTGTCATTATTTTTCAGTCAAATTTTTGTTGTTTTCTTTCTGCCTTTACAGTTTGAGGAAATATTTCATTTTGTCAGTCTTAAAATATCATAATCTTCATATCCTGAACTGGTGAATATAAGATGATAAACACAATATTAAACCAAAGTTAACAGCCTGAATGGCAGTCCTAGTTTATCTCTACTGTCAATCACCAGTCAGCCTGTAACTGTCACTTTGTTGTTCACGCATCTCACTGAAGTACAACATTTTAGTGACAAATTTCATACAGTAAAGCTGCAGAGAAAGCCACACAGCCACACAAAGCAAAGTCCAGGTGATAAACAGGCACATAATTAGATTTTACTCTCATTAACTTCTGCTTTTGAAGAAAGAACCGCACAGAGATGAGCTCAGTGCCCCGAGCAATTATTGCACGCAAAATAGCTCTGCAAACTTATCACACAAATATTCATCACAGGCATGCGCACACCTCATTACCCAGAAATTACCCAACCTTGGGTTATTAGAGCATGTAAACTCCAACAGCAGTATCTGAAAACACAAAGTGATCCTACAGCACAAAGACTACTAAGCTACAAAGTGAGAGGGCTTTAAATAGAAAAAAAATCATCTCAACCATGTCCAATTTGTCTCAGCTCTGTTGTGAGTGAACCTGTTGAGTGTCCATGCTGGTCTTCACTCACCTGTGCTGTGTGTCCCACTGCTGCTAGATTCATTATGGGTGAGCATAGTTGTGAGCTGCGTGTGCTGCAGTCTGCAGCAGTGTGCTCTGTGATGTAGCTTAGGGAATTGTCGATTACTATCCGGGACACCCGGTCACCCAGGGTGAAAACTCATTCAGGAGCCTGATCTAACACATGGTGCATGGTTGGGGGGTTGGGGGTGGGGGGTTCAGTGGTAACTCACTCACTCACTCACTCACTCACTCACTCACTCACTCACTTACTCACTAATTCACTCACAAACATAAACATACATACACAGCACATGTCTGCTCATGGGATATAAGATAACCAGATGGAATGGATGGGTATGTAAGAGTCTGATGTTGAGGTTTAATAAATCTAGATTTAAGCACCAGTTCTCTTGGAGATCGTGATCCTTTTCAGGTAAGCTCTAAGTAAAGGGCCTTGCATTAAATTTTACATATAACAATGTTACACCATGGTGGAATCAGCAGACTTTTGACTGAGTCAATAACAAACAAGAGCAGTGTAAAAACAGACATTTCTTGCATGCATGAGCTCATTGGGAGAGGGACTGTTTGAATTTGATTTAAGGGTTTTTCACCATAGCATTAAAGGCTATTATGTTATTATCTGGACATGATTTGGAATAAATTATTTGTTAGACTAATTCTATTCTCATTTACTTCAAATTTACACACTCTGTGACACAAAATATTCCTCTTGCTTCTGGAATCATTGGAACAAATGTCTCTTTGTGTTTTAATTTTCAGGAATTTCTTAATGGATGTGATTTTATCTCTTGGGTTTTGTTTTGTTTTTTTTTTTTTGTATTTTTTTGTATGATATGGACTTATTGGGTCTGAAATAAAGTTTATATTTATATACATGTGCGTTGGTTCCTGTCATACAACCCCAGTTATATCCATTTTGTTTTGGAGTTGTCACAACATATTAAAAAGTTTAAAGTGGATAATTTTTGCAAGATGACCTGTATGACAACTACCTCACTTTATTATGATGTTTAGAGGCCTGCTAGTTGTTGTTTTTTTTTTTAACAAAAGTACAGATAGAAAATATCTGGAGGATGAAAAAACAACCCATAGAGGTTTAATGGTCTGTCTTCTTTGCCTCAGAAACCACTCATTTGGACTAAAGTGATATGCGAGGAAGAGATAAGAGCATAAATGATACCAACACTGTCCTCTAGTGTCCACTTGATGTAGCAATTGGTTAATGCACAATCCCTGTGTTTGAAGATGCTGGTTAGCCTGAAGGAACATTTAGCATTATTTTCGCACAATGCAAATAGACATTGCTCCATAATGTGTTCGACATGATCCATCCTAATGCTTAAACCAAAGTTCATAAAGTCTCTAGCTTAGCTCTGGGCTAACAAACTGAAAGTCACTTTAATTTTAGAGCTGAGGAGACAGTGGGGGTCTCTTGTTAATAACCTGACATTAAATGTCTAATTAAAAAGATTAAAGATTAACTGGTCTGTTATGAAGGCACACAGCAGCCCCACTGTGTTGGCTGAACAGCAGTGAGGCTTTACAGCAACGTGTACCGACATGTCGCACTGGCCCCCACCGAACACAGCTCACACCCACAGCCAGGAGATCAAAGAGTGTCTGTGCTGTGGAGCTGACACGTTTACAGAAGGATGCATCGAAGGGAGACCTTAAGCATACATGACTTCCAATATCCACCTTCAAACTATGTGGAAACAAGGAGTCAGTAAGTGTCTGTCGTGCAGTCAATAGATTAACAACCCTGCTTTTGGCGATTGACTCTCAAATGCTGCCCTAGACTGTGCGTCAGGAGTGTCTGAATGTCTGTGTTGTGTATTCAAAAGTAGATCAATCCCCGGACGGGATTCTACGCTGTAAAGACTTTTCAAAGTGCAAAGAGCACAGGGATACATTAACAGAAAACTTCTTGGTGCAAATCTGAAAATCAATTTGTTTCATGTGTCACTGAGGGTCAAACTGACAACCTTTCTGTAGTGACTTTAGCAACACTTTTCACTCTTTTCTCAGTTAACTTTTAGAGGACTTTCCAGCTTACCCAGCAACATACAGTATTTAGGTTATTTCAAGTGTTTTACACAAATTTCAAAAACCATTCATGTTCAAAATAGGAAGAAACTTCCTGGAAATGTACTTCTGCTTTGTCAAGCCTATTAAACAGGAAAAACAATATCTATATCCATTAGCTTCTTGTGGTTTGTGAAAGCCTCTTTGCTAAACTTGCTCTTTAATAACATTCAAGACTTAATATCTGAAGGCAGAGAAGTCATGCAGCTTAGCCCACCTTGCTCAAGTAATTTCCCCTTGTACAGAGAGTTGGCAGGAATGTTCAACTAATTGAGCATCATGAGTTAGTGTGTGCATGTGCTTGTTTTTATGTGTGTGTATGTGAGTTAGGGTGAGAGATAGTTCAAGAGTCAATAGACATGTTTCTTTTGCTTCTGTGTGTTTTGAAAGCATAGCTAGATGTAACAATGCAACTAGGTTGTTACCTAGGAGTGGCTGGAATGGTTAAAGAAAGGACTTTTCCTCTATTGTTCACCATATTCAGGTCATTTTATGTTTGAAGGTCTGTAAATGCTCCACTCTAATCTCTGAGTCACTCTGACCTCTGAGGAGTGACTGTGCTGAACTAGCTTGTTTTTTCTAACTTTCTGCATGGGACAAAATAGGATCCTAAACTACTAAACATCACTGTAACTCATTAGAGGTAGCAGTAGCCGTATACCAATACCAGAATCATCAGAAAAAAATCCCATTTGTCATTCTGTGGTCTTACAAAAAGAAAACCCAGTTGTTGTTTTTTTTTGTATTTACCATATACCTCAATCTAATGCATGTTTTTCAGCCCTGCAAAGTGTAATCCAATCTGGTTTGCTGACTCACAAAAGAGACATAAAAACTGTATTTCCATTTTAAAACCCTCAAATTAACAAAGCCTTGGCAATGGTGTGTGGGTCACACCCCTCAAGTGCCCTCAATTTCTGGAAAAATAGCTGCGAAAATGCCGTCTTGTATGCTTCTGACATAACAAAACACCGTGCAATGCCCCCCTTAGTGCCCTTACTATAGAAAATACATCAAAATTGCTTTAGTAGCAGCTCTTCAAAAGGCTGACACATGAAAAAGTGCCTTGTGGGTGCCCTGCCAGTATATAAACTGTAATGAAGTGCCCTTGGGTGCCCCATTAGTACATTAAACTTACAGAAGATGTAGATGCACTTGAAACATTGAAAAAGTGCCCTCTGGATGCCACTCCTATGATAAAACATAATAGGGAATTAACTTTACAGTATCAATTGACATGCAAGGTTTAAAGGCCAAGTTTATTCCACAGAATTTTTCATTTATTTTGACGTTAAATGAATTTAATCTGTCAAGGCTGTTGATTTTGTGACTACGGAGTTTAGAAATGAAATGGAAAAATAGCATTTTTTTTTATTTTTTTTTACCTAGCCTTGCGAACAGCCTGGGTACACTACTATGCCTGGGGCACCAGTTTGGCTTTGTGGTGAAATAGTATATCCCATGTACAGAGAGTTGGGTTGATATGTATAGAGGTTATATTCCTATAAGCAGATGATCAGGTTTGAGTCCAATCTACCTGTATTCCCCACCTTGTCTTCCACTATCCTATCCACTGAGTAAAATAACAAATAATTTGAAAAAAAAAAAAAACAGGCCTGCAGATGCATGATAGCACTGTCATATTGCACTGCATTATCATACTGATGATGAAAACCAGGCACAGCAAATCAGAAAAGTTTCAGCTATTCCCTTTTCTAGAAACCTCACGTATTTCATGAAATTGTGCTTTGTTTTCCTTGTGCTTGTTGCCTCCTTATGCCGCTGAAATCAGCTGTAACAAAGGCCACACCGCCTTTTATGTGTGTCTTTAATCTCAACAGAATGGAGGAATGCTAACCTGCTGAGTCGTGCAGCAAAACATATTAGCTGTGATGTGTGTTAATGATGAGAAAAGGATGACAGCTTAGCCTTATTGCCTCAGGGGTCAAGTTGGGAAAGAAAAGGAGCATTATACAACAGACCTCTCAGAAAATACTTATTAACTAAATGTTGATTTCATATAACACTCATGACCAACATAATACAAAATGTGGTAACAAATAGGGTCTTTCTGAAGTGTGCTTACAAAACTGTTTCATGCACTTCATGAAGTTCATGCTCTACACTGGCAACAAAGCCTCTCATGTTTACTTTGTGTAACTGTTACAGCCCATATCCTAGACAATACTTTGAAACGGATACAGACTGCTTTGTCAATGTACACATCATGTGCTGTGTGTTCATAACATGGACACAGAGATTAAGAAGAGTCAAAAACTGCACTTATCAAAGAGTAAAAAGTATGAAGTCTGTTGGTGTACTTTTGACCTTGGTTATGGTATGAAAATGTAGTCCTGAAAGAACTGCTCCTGTCTCCTTACATTCCTGCTGTTATGGCTAAAAGTAAAACTTCATAGGGACAAAATATGAGGCTGTTTAAAGGAATGCTTTTATAATGAATTAATGCAATATAGTTGTGCCGCTTCTCTTGCAGTTGCTCCTCTTATCTTAATGCTATGATCAGAATTGATAACAAGTCTATGCATGCATTTTAAAGAAAAATGCAAAACTGTGATAATGAGGAATTTGTTATCATGAATTTAAATCTCAAAGCTGGCACAGGGCTGATAATTCTGCTCCATAGTATCACATGTTTTAAATTCATCCTGCAAACCTAAAGACGCCCTGTTAAATCCATCTATGAAAACAAGACTATTAATGTCTTCATCTTCAGGACTGCCTTTTTTCACCGATCTCTCCCAGATTGGACACACTGAGGGCATTTAATCAAGAAGTTCACAGGGAAAGAGGATAATAGCATATAAGCTGCAGTGTCTGCTATGTTGTCACTTTGATTTGAATGAGCAGATGGAACAAAGATGGCAGATGATTGGATGGAAATAGAGCTGCGTCACAGGGAATGATGTGTGGCAAATTGTCTAATTAAAAGTAGATCTTTATCAGTCACGATGATCTGAAAACAGTATAACACAGATTTAAAACTGAGTCATTGTGGGTTATGTCTACATCAGTGTATGTCTGTGTCTGATTTTGTTCTTACTCTGTCATCAGCTCCACATTTGCAGGGCCATCTGTGTGGCATGCCAGACAGCATGACAGGAGTGATCTCTCGCTCTCCTGAATTAGAAAAAACTGCAGCGTTCTCCAAGTTCACCACTCCTTACTCATGTTTCTCAGGATTTGTTTGACTAAGGCCAATGCAAACAAGTCATTTTTCACTACATGGCTGTTGTACAGTTCAACAGACACACCTGTAAGAGATTTTTTTCTTTCTTGTAATGTCTTGACAGAAAGTTTGTACTAAGAACCTGTGCTAAGAAATACTTAACATCCAGTAGATAGAGGATGGCAAAAGGATTCATTTGGACCTGACTCTTCAGCTACTTGGGGAGATTAGTCTAATATTTGATCTCTACCAACTTGAGGGAAAGTATCCAGCAAATCTGGTTCCATGCATACATCGGTGCTTATCAGCAAATTCAGCTTGCCCTATTGCAAGTACGATGGTTTTTTGTGTGGTTGTTTAATAGAGGTTTTAGGCAGCAACTCTTGCTTTCTGTGACTGGAAAATACAAAGTTGAGTGTTTTAAAAGTGAACTAAAGAGTATCAGGTCATGAAAGCATAACAGTGAGGAGAAATACAGTATCTTATACTTTGTATGTTCACTGCCCTCATGTGGTGAAAATAGTAATCTTACTCAGATTTTCAAAGTATAAACACTTCACTGGCTTCTGACTTGAACAACTAAGGAAAAAGTACTTTGACTAGCCATTGATGATATAATAAAATAAAGACAAGCCACTCAAAGCAAATGTTCTTATTCTCTTATTTCATGACAATGGTCATGTTTTCCGCATGTCAAACAAGAACCTATGAGGAACAGACTTCAACAAACTTTCCCTCCTGTTATGTGAGGGCTATTTCAGCCTGGTTGCTCCTGCTCAGGAGTGCAGTGCTGTCACAATGAGCACAGTGTGGATGCTGTGCTGTATTGGACAGAGCCAAGTTCACAGGCTGGAACAGACTCTGCACTGTGTCACTTCCTCCATGCTGTAAACGTCACACTGGAGCTGAGACATAAGGCATAGGCCAGCCATACTCGGCCCACCACTCCCATGATGAAATCATGCTGAACCTACACCCACTTTTAGCCTGCTTATACCACAGACTGCTCACCCACCCAACATTTCTCTGCTTGTGTACATAACTCATACAGTTATACTGCATGGAAACTAAAGATGAAGAAAAGGGGGTAATGAAATGCATAAAACTAACTCCATATGCTTCGTTACTCTTATACGTCAATGAGGAAGTAAATATGATTGATATCTATCCTCCACCGAAATAAGCCCTTCACTTCATCTCACCATGGCCATGTTTCCTCTTCTTGTTTTTCGTTTCACCCTCTCTAACATATGGCAGTTCATGTGTTTATCTTTCCCTTTTAATGGTTGTTGTTCTCTGTCTTCAGAAACCCCTTCCTGGTTGAGTCACAATGAATTATGACAGCAGGAAGACAAGGGAGAGACAGCAACAAGCTTATCCGGGACTCATCCATAAAATTTTGAGGGTTATTTCAGGACATCTGCTTTTCTTTTTCCACTGCATATGTTTGGCAGAGTACAGGCTTCTGCCCAAAGCATCTGAGCTACTACTTTTACTCTTTGAGTGCTGTCCTATGCATTTTTCCAAGTGTATTAACTAGCATGATGTGTCTGGTATTTGAGAATAGTATTTGGCTCCACAGGGTGACCTCCACGCATTCCAGGAATACACAAGCAGACAGCTAGGTCAACATGTGGTCAGATTCCTTCTTGTTATGCTTCAAATATCAGTTCACTCGTGGCTCACTGACGCAAAGATCATTTCATGCATGGATGCATGGAACTAATTCCTCTCAAACTGGTACATATACATTCATATCACTGCACGAACACATAAAAGCACACGCATATCTTTCTACATGCACTGAGAGCTAACAAACAAAGATGTAAATACTTATACAGGACGAAACTTCATGCTTTGATTCAGTTTAATGAAGAGGACATTCAGTGCCAAGCTGTAATGTTATATAAATGCATGACCAGTCAGTGCGGGATTTCTGTGCCCTGCCTGGCCTGCTGGGCCCTTTGGTATAGCGTGGGTGCTTCATTTGGAGGCCACACCCATGTGTGTCTTTTATTAAACAACTCTGTTACCCCATCTGGTTCAGTCCCTGAGCCAACACAAAACAGCCCTGTTCTCACATAATCCCACAAGCTCCTCTTCTTGTCCTTTTTCTTCCATCAGGGACTTCATCCCCCTTTTCTGTGCTGATACAGTGGAGAAACAAGTGAGTGACAGTGAGAGACAAGCTGAGACAGAGAAGCGAGAAATCTGCTCCTGTGTTGTTGAGCAGCCAATCTCTGTGAAAGGAAATCCCTCCCTGGCACAAAGAGAGCTTCATCTTTTGTGCGAGGAAGCACTTGAGGCCTTTTCTTGTGTGCGGTGGTACCAGCCCCCCGCACACAATCCCACCCTCAATGGTACTTTTCCCCGCGGTTCTCACCCCCCGTCATTGTTTTCTCTTTGTTAGCAATGTGTCTAAGTTTTTTATAAGGACACCAAGAGTAATGGAAAAAATTACAACAAAATGCCAAGAGAAATGTTGCAATAACTTTGCCTAAAGTGAGCTGTCAAAAAGCAGACTGGCCCGCTATAGGAAAAGTGCTTTCTGGTGCTGGAGAATTGCCATGGTAACCATACAATCAGCTGTTCATAGCCTCACAGGACAATGTAAAGTTCATCTATGCCGTGTTGGCTTTTTTTAATCATGAACTATCACTTTAGGTCACACTGTGATGAAGAATGAACAACTTTCATATTAGTCCAGTTTTTTTTTCCAGTCTGAGAGATAGAGAGTTGAGAAAAAGTTGTCAGACTTACCATCAGAGCTGACAGTGTCTTGATGATCTGGGTAATCTTGTCCAGTGTCTCTGTAATCCACCCAGTTAATCCCCTCTAGACTGTCATAGCTGGACTGGGCTTGATCCTTCACAGGTACCACAGTGAAGTGAGGCATGTTTTCATCACTCTCCTCTGCGTCTCCGGCTCACACTCAACATTGCAGGCTAGCTGTTAGCCTCAACCTCAGCTCAACTCCCACTAATGGCAACTACATTCCACTACACTGCGCTCACTTCCTCCACAGGGTATTACCATACTCCCCGCCCACAGGCCGGCCCCCTTCTGGGTTTTGTGTGAAAAGAGAGGGTATGAAGGTCTGGGGGATGCATTTGAAGAGACAGTCAGGCAAAAGAAGTGGCTTACGGGGTAAAGTTTGATAAAAGAGTTGGTTTTGTCATCCCTGAGTCACCTCAAAGCACCAGAGTGTGGGGTCACCCTCTGTTGATTTGTGTGTCATGATGACTGCTAACAAAGTGAACCTTGTCTGTTCAAGGTTCAGACAGTCCTCTGTGTGTTCAGGCCTTTTCCCAAAACACACACAAACCCGACGTGGCAGTTTGGAAAATAACCAAACAAAATTGGTGACGGGAAGCACAGACTGGAAAAGAGAGGAGAGGGGGAAAAGTTTTCAAAATCAGAGAAAAAAGATGCTTCTGGTCTCCTGTCTGCTTTTAGACAACTGAACATCTTTTTCACCTTTGACGCCATGGTTATCACAATAACAAATGTTGCTTTTCACATGTTATACCTCATTCCTGTAGTTTTTTTTTTATTGTTTTAATCATGGATGGACTGAAGATATTGCGAGAAAAGCCTCAGTAGTAAATTGCTATGACACTGTTTAGAGTATAAAGTTTACCCGCCTCTCTCCAAGAATAGTAGCTTCTCCAAAAACCATAAAACCTCTGATCAAAGACTCTCAGGCTGTTATTAGAGGTCTTGTTTGAGGCGGCTGTAAATCTTGTTGCTGCTCTGTTAGGGCTCCAGAGGTTTTTAAACTGGCAGTATGTCTTGGTTGATCACATAGTTTTTAAACAACTTTTAGTCAATCAAGGAAGAATAATCTGATAACTTGGCTGAAGTCCTGAAGGCACAGATTTAAGCACTTCTACACATTTTAAAACTGTTCATCATAGGTGGCGACAAACAAGCTTCAGGTCACAGACCTTTTTCTTAGAAACCTGTGAAAGAATATTTAGTAAATGGCACAGACATTGGAGTTCTTACAAAAGGGAACTGCAGATTTTTGTATTCTTGGCCTCAAAGTCTCACTGCATGTGGATACTTGAAAGTTATTCAATTCTGGTATAATAGTGGTCTGAAGTTGATCATCTGTTGGAGCATGTTTGCCCAGCTTTGAGTTTGTTATCCCTGATTGGTTGGAAAAGTGTCAAACTCCTGTATGAGGATGACACTCCTCCTGCTTCTTGAAATGCTGTTTTTGCTTGGAATCACACTTCTTTCTGTGCTATCTATGGCTAAGATTTTCTGTAACTGTTATAACCTCATTAATCTTTCAACCGCTTGATGTTAACAGAATGTGTGGTTGCCGTCAGTTTTTAGCCGTAGATTGCCTTTACTAGAAATACAAAGTCACAAAGTAGTTTTCAGACTTTTTCAGATGGACTTTAGCAAGTTTTTCCCCCTCAGGTTGCAAATACGGCCCATCGTTCAAACAAAGACTCTCCAGTAATTGCAACCTTGGTATTTTATAGCCGCCACAACCCACAGTAAAACTTATGGTCTTTTTTTCCCCCTTCGCCAAACAGACTGATGCTTTGATGTTAAAGAAGTTAGTTCTTTTCCAGGCTGATTTGCTGGCTCGGGTAAGTGTTACTCATGACATTTCATGAACCATACATGGTTACTTCCTGGACTGACCAACCCACGCTGAGCTGTGTACGAGTGAGGGTCAGTGAGCAGCAGGCAGGCAGGACTTCTCTTTTTTCTTTCACCACAATTACTCAGTCTTCTGAAAAGACATGTAAGCAACAGGGGCAGATCCCAGGAAACAGGAGGCCCTCGGGGGTCAGCTGTTTTACAAAACAAGAAGTGATTTGAGGTTCTGGCAGTAAAATAACTAAAGGGGAAAAGAAGCTTCTTATCTGTCTCAAACTGGCGATTACGCCTCTCACTACAATAAGATAAACTCTTTTAGTGGTTATTAAATGACACTGTGTGATTTATTAAGCATTTGAAGAAGCCATGGGACTTAGTAGAGTACTGATTGTTAAAAAAAAAAAAGTATTTTTCTGGGAAAACTCTGGAAGGTACTCCTCACCCCGTGCACCTCTTTTTGGGAGTCAATGTGTCACTTTAGCCTTGAGGCATAAATAAGTGTAAAATCTCCAGCAGCAGGACTTGACTCAGCTTTCATTTTCACACTCACCACAATGCCGTTTGCTTGGCACTTATTGCGTTCTTCTATAAATTGCACTTCTGTTTTCTCTCCACTAGATGGCAGCCATACCTAACCATCGAAGACGTACAGTTCTCTCCTTACAGCTTCCAAAAAAAGTGAAAGAGGTCTCTCATGAGGTCAGACATTTAACACTGAAAATTTAGTGCAATTTTCTTGTATTGAAAGATCTACCTACCATTATGAGATGAATTGTGCTCTTTAAAGAAAGTTGTTGTATTTACCAAAGAGTTTACATATTTTTAATATGGTTTGAAATTGTCCCAGCCTTACTCTTCTGTTCAGGAACAGAAGCAATCTGAAGAAGTTGTCTGTTTTCTCACATCTTTAAAATGGGATGAGACAAAGCGAAGTCCGGACCATTTTACCGAAAGGTGTGGTCTCCATCCCCTACTTACAATTATTGATTTATTTAATCTTTTGTGAGATCAGTTCTCTGAAAGGTGTGAAAATCCTCTTTTAAACTGATGCTATAAACAGAAGTTTGTTTATCACAGAATGTGGGAAAAACAGTGACCCTCCAAGAGCATTTCTCAGACTTTCCTACAACTTTCTTTTCCCACAGTCAACCTGTCTAACTTCCAAAAAAAATTCACAAGACAAATAGCAACTGTTAAGACTCTTGTCTGAAAGTAGGAATTTTCCTGCATTTTTAATGAATAATACTTAGCTGCATGGCTAAATCTAATTGCATGTGAAAGCTAAGCGCCTCTTGTCCTTCCAACAGTGACATTGATTGGGATTTTCTAATACGGTGCCTGAGGGGGCTTAAGTCGATCCAATTACCTTTGGCTGCCATCATTAGCTTGACATGGCCCCCCGGCCATTCCACTTTGTCTCTATCACTGGAGATCAGCCTCTGTGGACAATGAATGCCATGCAGCCTGCTGTTTTGCTGACTGAAAGGTTGGCCATGATATCACAATGTTTTCAAGGAGGCTTTGCAGCTTCAGTCAAAGAAAGTTTAGTTGGTTTCAGTCTGTGTCACGTAATGGGTCTTGGTCCTACCACATCAGGTGAGGTCAGGGTATGTAGGCTACAATTACATTTTATCTCCACAGTATTATTGCTGTAAAGACATTCATTTGTAAGAAAGAAGCCACTGTATTTATAAATCTGACCTCATGATGCTGCAGCAGGTCTGTGGGGGGCTTTAAATTATCAGTTCTCTGGTATGGTATGACAGGCAGCCTCATCTCCCTGAAACAGTTAAGATTATAAAATACAATATGTAAGCTACTAAATATCAAATATTGAACCAGGGCCAACTTGGGTTTGCAGTTAAGCTTATCATAATTTCCACTCAGGGTACACACTTAGAAAATAGGCTTTGAGATCTTGAGATGAGTGAAAGAGCGCCTCTCTGCCCTGCTATTTGCGGTAAACACAACGGAGTTTATATAGCGAAAAGAGTACTGGAAGGTGACCCGAAACTATGGGGATTAGGTTGCGTTCGAGTTACCTCGGAAGTCAGGAGTCCGAGCTGAAAATGGCGTCACACCCGATTTACCAGCTTTAAATTACCAAGTCAGAAAAAAAGCAAAATCGGAGGCCTGACACAAGATGGCTACATCTACTTGAGTTATTTTAGCGCTTGCCTTATATTAGGACAAGGCGAGCGCTAAAATAACTTTCGTGGATGCGGCCATCTTGTTTCCGCCTCCGATTTTGCGTTTTTTTTCCCCCCGATTTGGTAACTGAATCGCTGGTAACTCGAGTGTGACGTCATTTTCGGCTCTGACTACTGACTTCCGAGGACACTCGAACGCAGCATTATTGAACACAGGTGAACGTCCTTTACCTTGATTGATGACGTCAGGCGGACGTTCCATTTCGAATCGTCGTTTGGGAGGGAAAAGCAGAGGACCGCTAGCTAGCAAAAACAAGGAAACTGTTAGTAAGTTTCTCATAAAGCAAATAAGTGAAACTAAGCCAACAGAAATGAAGAGTGTCATCTTATTCCTGGATATCTACTGGTGGAGAATAGTTGACACAGAGGAGAGACTTTTGGTTTGCTGTCAGTGAACTCTGTTGTTTCCTGGATGCTGGTGAATAATGAGGATATCATTGGAAACTCCATGGACATGAGGCCGTCAGCAGAAATATCAGCCCATTGGAAAATTTGGATTTGGTTATCACGGTTTTGACCACTACAGAGGGCGGTTTTCTCTAGGTAAGTGAATGCCCACTTTTCTTTCTACCTTCTTCCCAAATGGGCCGCTGTGCCAGCACAAAATGTCTTTTTTAGGATAATATTTTGACATACCGTTGTTTAGCTGAAATTTTTTAAGACAAGAACGGGACCTCTGATGCTCTGGGCAACTGTTTTGTATTAAGGGCCCAAACATGATGTGGTTGAACTTGCCTGAATATGTTTTAATGCTGTGTTTTGCATTTGGTGCAAAGCCTGCTATATGCTAGATGCTTGTTGTCCTTCAAAAACAGGACTGTGAACTATTTCTAATTTCTATTCATCATGCACCTGCTGTTAAAAGTTCAGAGGGGGAAGAGAATAAATTGTGTTGATGTGTATTTTTGTGTAATGCATTGTGAGAAGTAAGTCCCATGGATGGCCTTCAAAAGTCAGACTGAGAAAAGAGTGTTTTCTATCTTGGTGGTTTGATAGCTGTGGCAATAATGGTCTTGTTTGGATCTTTTGCGATCACAATGGCACCAGGTCTGCATCTGCTGTTTGATGAAAAGTCTGCATGTGCAGGTTTCACAGTGAGTCAGTTGCTGGTGTTTAACAGTGTGTGGCTACATGAATGCACATAAGAGAGGGACTTGTTTGAATTCCTCACTGTTTTTTTTTCTCTTTTGTTAAAATAACATATTTGGCTAATGTAGTACTGAATGTCTATTTTAAGTGTTACTTAAGCACAGCTTTATCCAGCTTTAGTTTGACACTAATTGCTGGGAAACCATAATACTGCCACTCACTGGATCCATATATCACAATATTGTCCTCAAGCTCCAGTCTCTCACTTTTCCGTTCACTGTCTACTGATATGAAAAGACCTTAACTGACCTGACGGACCTAACTAAACCAACTGGCAATTTACAGCTCCTGCTGTAACTTTGTTTACCGGTCTCATGCATACTATCATTTTTCACTTTTTGCGTCATCTGTAAACGAGCTGACAAATCTGATTATACAGTCTATGCTCATAAATTTTTTTACAACAAATCATACTGTAAATCAGACATTTAAGGTGGGATACCGCATTTTCTACATCTGTTCAAAATCCTCCAGAACATTTTAGTGCTGGTTTTATAAGATTAGCATGTGGTAGTTTACATTAAAAAAACCTCTGATATATTCCACTTTGCTGATCTGTTGTGGGGAAAAAAAATGCCTTTTGTCCTTCCTATTATCTTCAGTTCCCTAAGTTTGTCTTTAATGTCTGTGGACCTCTGTGTCTCAGACACTCTGGATAAGACTGTAAATTAGTGTGATAAGAACACAGCGCAGACAACTTAAGGTCTCTTCTTATTAAGTGAATGTTCAGTTTCTGATCATAAACATATGGTGTCAACTTCAGATAAGTCACTGTGATGGCTTATACAGAGCACGAGTTATCACATTTGCAGAGGACAGCCAAAGTCAAATACAGCAGAAAAAGTAGTAAATCCACCCACGCTTTCTATGTAAGCCATATTTTATTTTGTCTGCAAGGGTACTTTTATTTCAGAATTCAACTCTACTGCTGCAACAGCAGTTTGTGTACAATTTATTAGTCTCATTGTCACCATGATAAACTGCATGCATTACTAAGGCAGCGCTGTTCAAAATCTACAACAACTTTCAGTCTTCCACTTTGCACAGCACACAAGTTATCTGTTATTATTATTACATGAAATTTGGCCGAAAGGAACCAAAAACACACACGCGTGTGCACACACAAACACACACTCTATCCTCTCAGGAAATCCACTCTTGATGGACATGATAACATCAAGACCATGCTCCTTCTGTGACAGATTGCAGACCAGGAACCAGCTCAAACTGGATTACAAGTCAGCAACAAAAGAGTCAGAGAGAGGGAGAGAGGAAGAAGGTAAAAATGGAGAGAATGAGAGTGTGGGAGGCACAGGAATAAAACTAAGAGGGAGCTATGGAGCAGACATCTGAAGAGGTCAAGACATTAATCGGGGTCGGGTATAAACAAACATTCTCTCCTCACTCACCATAGGACGGGGTTTGTGTTTTCCCTATCCTGCTTTGCTTTGTCTTTGTAGATAGCCACTGCACGTCATCTAACCGCTGTTCTTCTCAGTATTGCATAATGGTAAACACAAATGTTGGCAAAAGATTATAAACACAAAGCTTCTCCTGATCGGGGTAGTTTCCATGTGTTTTTTATGTTGTGTTTTATCAGATCTTTTACGTCTTGTCTCTGACACGTCAGAGTTGGTGTCATTGAGTTTTCTGTCCTTGCTTGTTGAAACTGACAGGGTCACAGGTTGCATTAGTAATTGTAGCTTACAACCTGGCATATTTTTGCTTTTTTAAGTGGCCATTATACGTAGAGGTTCAGATATTATTGTATCAGATTAACTTGTAGAAAGCAGGAATTGTTGTCTGGAAATTACGGAAGCTTTTATTTGCATTTCTTTAGGGACAAAAAAAAAATCTTGGATAAATGTTTCCCTTTGACCTAATATCTGGTTTTCATCTTTAACATGCTTGTCAAGAGTACTCAATTGAACAAGCCACTAATCCATCAATCTCAGTTAGAGGAGCACTGTAAAAACATTTTTGGTCGCTGAAGAAACAAATATGTGTACTGTACAAGAAACCTCTAATCTCCAAAGTTGGCATTCCTTTCTTATGACCTCTTATCGCAAAAATAGCACTTCTTTTTTCCGAAACACTCCCTATGTGGATGGATGGAAGTGCAACACAAAATTAAGCAGCAAGCATGTATTGAGTGATTTTACATTCATTCTATGCTTATCTATTTTAGTTCCTTCCTATTTTCCCACCAGCTTTCTTAAAGGAACAAAATTTCATGCTATGCTTTGTGTCCTATTGACTGCAAACAACAGTTTCCCACTTCTTCAGATGTTGCCCTGTCTTTTACCAACAAAAAAGAGTCCCCTTGCTTTAGATATACTCCTCCTTGGTGCTCGGTCACAAACTGCACAGGTGGCATCCTATCTCATCTTCTAATAATCAACAGCTCATGTGAAAATACTAAAACAAGAAATGTGTTTACATTCTTGAATTGAAGTTTGAGAACAACCTGATCAAACATGCTGGACTCTCTCTTTCTCTGCCTCTTCCTCTTTTACTTTAGATGCTTAAAACTTTGCTGATGGGTGAAGAATGAGCAGAGTAAGAGTAGCAGTAACTGAAGTAATGACACTAAACTGTGAAAGTGCCAGCTCACTCTGATGTTTAAATAAAAAGCAGGCCTCTGTATACAGCTGTTTTGATAAGCATTAAGTATGATATACAGTCAGGCCAGCTGAGGTTTTTGAGCATTTACAGCTAAGATGTTAAATCTCATGGGCAGGTGCTGGTAAAGCTTCTAATGATTTTTGGATTGACCCAAGCTTGCATTTGTGAGGGATCAGGTTACCTGTTGGGCTGTGTGTGTTTGTGATATATTACTGTAGGAGGTCTGTCGTTGCCCCTAACAATGGCACTGTGGTGTGACACGTTAACCTACTGTCCACTCATAGTTAGGTCATTTTATATAGTTGATCTTTCTGTGCCCTTTGACTATTCGTACACACCCTAAGTGTGTATGAATGAGAATTTTAGAAGTTTTCAAAAACAACCTCAAAAGTTGAGGTTTTTTAAAACTGTGTTCCCTGCATGTGCACAGCAAAAACAAGTCTTGGAAGATACTGGCATTATTAACTGAACTTTTACATGGCAGTTGTTTGCGTGTTGTGCACATACACCAACTTGGCAACTACCCTTTTCTTTAAAAAAAAAAACTGTTTTCATAAGCACATGCGTATCTGTTGACTGCCTTGCTTTTACTTAAGTGACTTTTTATGGGAGCATTTCAGCCATCCATCTGTTTCTTTATTTGTTTCCATCATTGAGTTACATGGTTAATTTAAGAGGGACATCTAAGTGATCAAATACTCCCAGTCTTTCACCCCATTGTTTGAATGAGGCAGAACCATTACTGGTCATTTCAGGCGTAAAGCATTTTGAAAGACCAATAAAATGCTTAACTTCCTACTCTAACTCTAAGCAAGAACTTGGTTGTTAATAAGGTAGTTATTGCAAGCACAGATACTTATATGCGTAAAAAGAATAAACATGGTGAGGCCTTTGGTGCACAAACAAAAAACACTGTAGAATGCAAACAAACAGTCCCTACATGCACAGATGGTAATGCAGCTCTACAACAACTTTTGACATCTTTTCATCATGAAAGTTTAACATGTCCAGTTGCAAATTTGAAAAGACAAACTACATTTCACTTTGAAATGTTTTCTGTAACCGTTTTTTTCCGAAGCACAAGTCTAGTGTCTGGTTTTGATTTGATTTACTTAGATATTTATGTCAAGGCAGATAACTCTGGAACTTTTTCTGTCCACAGTGATGATTTTGAGATAAGCAGGGATGTTTGAGCAAAACTTAATGTCAAAGATCCGTTCCTTTCTAGCGCATGTTTTGATATACCAACCTTGTTGATATATGATAAGATTAAAATCTATGATATCAGTGCTGAAAATATCGCAAAGTATGTTGTTAAATAAACATATCTGGAGTGAGATAATGACTTAAAGGATTTGTTTACTGTCTGTGTGCTGCCTGGTATTTCGACATGTGCCACAGTTTAGGTGATTTCCATCTCCCAATCTTTCCTAGAACCAGTCTGTCTATTTTTAAATGTGGACCTCACGGTAACTCCCAGAAAGTTTTGATATCACATTTTTGTGGCTGGGGACGGAAACATTAGTTAGAGTGTACACCTGTAATCATGTAGAAGTATGTGTTGCAGACCTGGATGTGAGAATGAGTGTTGTCCATGCATGAAGGTTTAAGGGTGTTTCACACATAATTTTGGTGTTGTTGAGGGTACTGTGGAGGCTGATAAAAATAAAATCCCAAACCATCACAAAAACCAGAGCTACTTTGAGTACAGACTTGTGGGCAAAATTATCCTTGCATTTTCCCTTTCTGTATTTCAGACATATGAGTCCTTGTTAGCTTAAAAGGATCAAATACATAAATGCAACAGAGACAAAAATCCAGTGAATAAGAACATACTTTGTAAGTCTACTGAGATTAAAATATTTCTGCGTTTGCAAAAGCAAGAGGAATATCTTGTGTCACTGTGGAGCAGATATCCGGTGTCATGTTGTTGCTGCTGCTGTTTTCTTTTTTTATACTTGTGTAAAAACATAAGCCAATTTCCCATGCACATAGCTGTCTAGCATACGTCATCTGAGCCAGAAACATGTTTTAAATGTAATTAATTTATGATATATTGAGACGTTAAAATATTGATATAAAATAGGAAAATAGAACATGACTTATATTCGTGTCAGAAACAACACAGACCTGCATTATTGCCACACTCCCTGTAGATGTTTTTTAATTGGCCATGTGAATGCAGGCATCAGCCAATACAAACTGTTTCAAAACATCATCAATCAGCCTGATTTATGGGTCTATCTCTATTCTGATTGCTCTAAAAAGCTTTTTTAAAGTTCATATCGAAAATCACAGTTGGACTATAATATGGCTCATTATAACAAGTTAATCCTGAAGGGTTGTTGAAAGCTAGCACCGTGGGGACGAGTTATCATGCTGTACATCAAAGAGTTAACAAAACTACCTCCCCATCCAGTCTTAAAAGCTTCTAACTGATTTTGGAGGAGGTCATCCATAACAACAACAATAATCATGATGATACACATTTTAACACTTCACATTTTAAAAACACAAGTGCTTGGGCATATTATGTACTCATTCATGGAGAGGGGTGACGGTATTGCTCCTATTTAGACCCATCAGTTGCCAGGAAAGGTGCTGTCATGGTTTGAATAACACCAGAAGTGTCAAATGTGAAAAGACTCTATTTTCACTTGCGTGGTCTCAAAAATCACTCCCAGAGTAACACTTTTTTGCTCGCACACTACAGATGTTCTGATGTTAATTAAGGCCACATCCTTTGTTTACAGCCAGTTTGCCAATAGAATAGCACATTTCATCCTGTTTTATAACCACACCATGATTGCAGGGGCATCACCCTCATTTCTATTCCTCACTCTTACTACATTTAAAGTGATGTGTTTTCAATACTTAATGATAATGGTATCTTCCTGTTGTTAATTTACTCTCAAGATTTCTTTTACACACTATTGCTGTGAGTGAATTGACTTTGGCATTTGCATGTTCTTGTGTTCAGTTCTTGGTCATGACTTGCCCTTCCTGGTAAAGTCTTTTTTTTGTGTGTGAGCTCTTTTGGAATCTAAATGAAGTTCACACATTAATTCCATCCAGACGTGATAGAATGTGGGGAAAATCATCTCATGAAGAGTACTTTACAACAGTTCTGTTAGTGATATGTCAGTATGTTTGTTCTTGTTTGTCAGAATTTATCATATGTGACTCTTGAATCTAATTTCTAAATTTGTTCATTTATATCATAACTGTAGTCAGCTCAGAAAGGATCTCCACACAAACCACATGGTCTTGAGTGTCATCTTGTGAGCACCATTTGGACTCTGTCCAGGTTCTTTGTGGTATTCACAGTTGTAGGGGTGGCCCAAGAATCAAACAGGAAAAACATCACACTTTGCCCATGGGAGGAGAGGAGTTTCCTGCCTGTGAGGAATGCTGGCTATCATCGTCATGCCCACAGCTGTTCTGTGGTTGCGAAATATCCAAGCTGGCTATCGTGCCCAGCCTTCAGAGACTCCTTTTTGAAGATAGTGGAGTCCAAAAGGTGGATGAGTCACTCACTGTAAACTTGAGAATATATATCCTCAAAAGCTGACAAGCTGCAGGTTAAAAATGGCTTTGAAAATTAAGCTTGAGGTCAAAAGGAGAAAAAAATGCACCTGGGTATAACATAAATCACAAGAGGAAAAAAAAAATCCTGTACGTACCAGCAAATGTTTTTGTTAAACCTCCGTATTGAGACATTGTTTTTGTCACGGTTGGACATCATGGAGGAAAATAACATCTCACTGAGTTTCCTTCACAATTCCAAGTGAAACACTGGAAAATTTTATGCACTGAAGAAAAACACCGATGTCCAAGATTCTCTGCAACTATTATCCTGATGCTCTCAGTCATCAACACGTCAGAAATGATGTCCGTGCTATTTATACAGATTTGCTTCATATTGTAGTTCATCAAACTCAGGGCACAATCAGAGAGGAGACTAACACCAGCCCTCAATAAATGATCTGTTTCATGAGATGCAAAACAGGTGAAAACTTGACAGATCTTTTACACAATAGCACTTTCACAGTTTTGCCTGTCAGGATTCTCTCTGACTATGAAGTGTTTCTGAAAACCACAAACGGATTCAGTGCTCAGTCACATGGATTATTCCCTGGCAATTGGATTATAAGTATAGAACAAGTCCTCAGTCTAAATAGGTGCATTAGAAAAGGGTTTCTTTTGCCCAAATCACATTAGTGCTGCACAGAGCTGCCAATTAAGAAGCAGTCTATGGTGGTCCAGCCTGACTTTTATTGGCTGAACAAATCTGATGAAAGTTTGTGGTTCTGACCTTTTTGCTGCACTGAACTGAAGGCATTGAGAAATGGGAAAAGGAAGGCAATTCAAACTCTTCTTTAGAACAACATAAAGAGCAAAATAAGTGCTGTTTGGGTTTAAATCCGTGAGTTTGGTTTGGAGAAAATGCTGTCTAGTTAGTTTAATCTTATTATTTTCAATATAATAATAATAATATACCTCAGTCAACTGTCCTGGTCACATTTTATAAATCAGTACAGGTATTATGAAATCTCTAGCACAATTTTTTTTCAATCCAGCATGTAATGTATCATTATCCTGACTTTACAATCAATGACTACTAGGGCTGTTGCAATATACCGGTATTGAAGTAAAAATAAATATGGTAGTACCAAGACTTTACGATGGTGGTCCTGTTTATACTGGTTTTCACACAAGATGAGTAAGAGCAAAAGAGAAAAGAGTGTGCATATATTCAATTGTTTAATGTGGCAATGTCCTAAGTCATGAATTTGAATATTATTTGAGCTAGATGGTATATATTCTTAGTTGAGTTTACAAAGTCATGAGTTTGACTGATTGTGTTGTTGTTGTTTGTTGTAAAGTGTTGTTTCAATTTTCAAGTCTTCCATGAATGTTCCAATAACTATTTTACTGTCATTGCCACAATAATAATGAGGTGAAAATATGATATTTCGACAGCTCTTATTACTACAAGTGCTCCAGAAGTAAGCCATTCTTCACTCATAACATTAACATTTTTCTTCATTTTATTGCTTCTTTTGCTAACAGCCCAAAAAGTAACTCTTTGGTAAACTGTCAGCAAAGAGCAGGAGTTCTGGTGTCAAATGCTTTCTGGTTCACCTCTATAGTCTTAGTGGTTATGTCCACCAGAATTTTAGAGGGCTTTGGCCTTATGCCATGAGTAGAGATAAATCATTATTCCTCATACTTAAACACTCATTGATTAAGATAAGATAAACCTTTATTCATCCCATGGTGGGGAAATTTGCAGAGTTAACAGCAGCAAAGAATCTGCGCAACAAATATAGAGGAATAAGTACACTCATCATCCTCACAGTGCACACACAGATAATTATAAAAAGTTAACCTGGACCTATCCAAAATGTTATATTTAAAAAAAAAGACAAATATGTGTACTTTTATTATAAGAAATCAAATGAATTGTGACTTATTGCATGTTAAGAGTATATTTCTTACCATGATTTTTTACCAAGATCTGGCTATAAGCAGTACCAGCCTCCCATGGGGGATCAATAAAGGAATATTCTATTCTTCTATTCTAAAGTGAATGTAGTCTATCTAAAAGCTGTACTCTAACCACCAGTAATACAAAAGAATAAGAGAGGATTAATACCAGATGCTGGTGAATTAAGTGTGGCGCCATGACATTTGGAGAGGACTGCAAAGACTTCTTCAGCCATCAAAGCGTTCTGTGGGGAACTCTTTAGAAATAAAAATCAACAAATCTGAGGTCAACTTCAACCTCTTTTGGTGAAGAGGTTTCTGTGTTTAGGTGCTGGCTACTCAGTTAATCACCCAATAGTTCCTAGTTCTCACTAAATAGCATTTTTGCTTGAGATGTCGGTCCCCAATGCAGGAAACTGTCTGCAGAGCACAGGAAGCAGAAAGTACTGGTCATGATGTCAACTTAATAGCTACAGAAAGTGTAGAATAGGAAGTGTTTTTGTCTCTGTGAGATTGGCCATTAGGAAATCAGCGGGGTTGTTGTTGGCATGAAAAAGTCTGAAGCGCAGAAGGTGGTAAAACACAGCTTTCCATATAACACCCCTGATCCCATCAGCATAATCTTACGATATATTTTTTTAATCTCTAAAAGATAATTTCATGTGAGTGCAGCTAACACTCCATTCCTGATCAAAGTGTCATAGTTTAGCTCAAGAGATAAATTTGATTACCCATGTGTAATGAGAACTGGTGAATTTCAAGCTTTCTCAGCTTCCTGGAATGTTTTCTTTTCTTCAGGGCATGACTTTCATTTTTATTTCTCATTTCTCATTATTTTGTTATTTTGCCAAACTTATTACCTATTAGTTGCAATGAAATCCTCACATTGTTGAAGTAAGCAGGAATGAAACCTTTGTGTTGCTATCGTGTTTTAATGAAACTGAGACTCTCTTGAAACAGATGAATGCGTGCTGTTCAAGGATACGATGAATTAAGACACTACAGCCTATTTATCAGGCGTATGCAGAAGGGTGGATTTCACTTTGTGTTTGATCTTCACTTTTTGGCTGTCCAACTTGATAATTGGGCTGTAAATGACGTAGCTAACAGAAAAGTGAGTTATATCGCAAACTGGAAATGCAGAGAAGTTGGCCGTTGTTCTGAGAGGTATATGTGTATTCTCATTTGACTATAGCCAGCAGGTTCCAAAATTGGCTATAATGCAATCCATTATTTTACCATGATCTAGCCTTTAAATAATCTCTGCAAACAGACACCTGCATTTAAGTGCTGTTAATCATTTTGTTGTAGATGTGGGCTTTTAAGTCCAACTCTATTCTTGATTCCCAAGGTTCTGGCAGGTCTGCTAACAATTAACGGTATACAGAAAAAGAAATGTTGACCTTGAGTAACCACTGACTACACCTAAAGTAGGCCCCTTTTGAGGGGGATGTGTTTTTGTGACAGCAAGAGGGATTCAAGACTGACTCTAATCCCTCATCATGAACTCTCCAAACTCACCTTTCAATAATAAATCCCACTGTACAATAACTCAGCAGCTAGACTTACCTTGTGGGTAAATGTAGAGAGAAAGGGATTCAGTCTTTTCTCAGTGGTTGTTCAGTGGGGAAACAGCCAGGGAGTGTCCAATTGCTTGACATAGTTTTAGATTTTCCTTGGCTAACCTTGAATTTCACTGTTGGGTAAGATCCAAGCTGTTTTTCTCCCCATGGTTATTCAGACAGAGGTCAAAGCCACACGAAAAAACCAATTCAGTTGAAGTACATGCACTGTACTTGGTACAGCTTACTTTGTTACTGATCACCACCGTATGGCCACTGGTGGCATAGTGAGAAACTCTGAATGGTCTGAGGATCAAAGGCTTTTATATCACCGCGGTTCGTTTCCTGACTTTACTCATGGGCTGTAAATCCATTAGGTTTTGGAGGTTTTGGAGTTTTTTTTTACTGTAATATGCATGTATGCTATTGCCACATACTACATGACAAAACTATAATTGTAATTTATGGTTGTGTACATTTATGACATGGCTAAATCATGGAACCAGACAAATACCTTCAGTTTGTTTTTGAGAATTTATCTCATCATTTGTCAATACGGAACCAGTTCATTAAACAGGATACCTGTATGTGCAAGGTATATAAATACTAAAACAATGCATGACTTGTTGAATTTTATAGTCTTATTTATGTATGTTGAAAATTTGCACGTATGTAACAGTATGTATGTTCCGATACTAAACAATAGTATAGAAAGTAAAGAATGTGCAAGACGACCTGTGTGTTGGTGGATAAGCAGGCAGAGACAGTGTTGACAGAGACTGTGGATAGATGCAGTCAGCTTTTACGCAGAAGCCTCAGCCAGCTTTGAAACCGAACGAAACAGGGTCGAATGTGGAGATTATCAAAAATTGACATGAAGTAAAACCACATAGCCTTTAAGTGTGTTTAGAAGAAAATCTTTATTATCATATTTTGAATACTTGAGACTTCTTCATGGATAGTTGTCACTCACACTGAACAGGACGTTGGTATTGTACATAATATTTTTGTAAACATAGTCCAAGCCAGGGTGTCCTTGTTCACGTAGATATGTCACAAAGGAGCCCTGGGTAACACTGATGAATATTTTTTCTTAATAGTTCCTCTTAGCTATACATCAAACACCATGTTATGACTATGGACAGTTACGCTTAAAATACTTTACATTCACGTTTTGTTATAAACTATCTGATAAATACAAGATTAGATGTAACAAAAGAATATATTTATATATCTTTTATATATTCCACATATATCTGATTTTGTCTGTGTGGCTTTATTCCTTTCAGCAAGGGTCTGTTATGACTCAAGGTCAAAATTCAACTTCATCTCAATAAATAAAAAAAGAAATGGAATTGGATCCTCAAAAGTATTCCTAAAGGAACATAGTGGCACTTCTATAGTGATGAAAAAGTGGACCATCACAAGATATGTTTCAAATAAAAATATCATGAGTTGTTAGCATTTAGCTGACACAATAGCTATATACAGTGCTGTGAAAAAGGCCTGTTGTGGTTGTCTTTTCTCCATGTACTGTATACTAACAACATTCTATATGGTTGGCAACAAAATCCCAATAAACACATGCACCCCCCCAACACACACACACACACACACACACACGCACACACACACACACACACTCTCGCACACACACACTCTCGCACACACTCATTTTTTTTTTCTTGCTGTTTTGAGGAAAAGCCACATCTTCTTTTAATGACTGAACAGTTTGTAAAGAAAATGTTAAACAGTTATACAAAAACTCTTTGTAACAGTTACGCCATTTGTTTTGCTGATTTATTTATTTTTTTTACCTTCAGTAAGCAGGAAGGCAGGCACCAACCAGGTTCAGCCTCAGTTTTTTCTTTCAGACAAAGGTCTGGTTGTGACCCTGGCCCTCTTAAAGCATTTAACCTGCTTTCGTTCCTTTAAAGCTTCATAGTGATATATAAGCGATTCCCTTTTTCTGTAACAGGACGTGACATAGGAGTATTATATCTGGCCTGTTTTTTCTCATTGCGAGCTTGACCTTGATGCACTGTTGACCTCCAGCTCTTTGACTTGAATATCAAAGGACAGGGTCAAATCCAGAGATTGCCATCCACAAACTGTGATTGGATTTAGTGGGTTCCTGAGCCAACACAGTTTATTTTATTTCTTCCTGTTCAGACTGTGAGAAACATGAAGTGTCTTGCTTGATAAGGCACTGACACAGATAAGCTGCTCTGTCAACAGAGCAGCAAGAACAGATACATTTTCTCCAGTAGTAACAAAATAAATAATAATCATTGGCCTTAAAGAAGTTAAACAAAGCAGATATTGGGTCCACTCTTTAGTAGTGCACAGTGAATTTGGATTGTTTTGGTTTTAAGTTTAGTTTCAGTCCCATCCAGAGCATAATGGTTACATCACAGACATTACTGAAACCATAATGATGCCCAACGGCAAATAACAGTACATTTTTATCCCATGGACTGCCCCTCCCTTACAAGCTGAAGTAGAAGAGTAGCACTGAAATGTTAACAGGCTCTGCTTTGAAATCAAAGTGCTTCAAGCTACTTCTGACAACAAAAAGCCGTAGGTGGTAAAAGTACAAGGAGGAAAGGGAGGAAGCTGGAAAGGTTGGAGTCTGTTTTTCTTGTCCGTCTGACCACTGGTAGAACACAGGAACTCCGAACACCAGATGTACAGATAGATGAGGGAATTCTGGGCGTTTGTCATCATATGGCCAACCAGTGACTTAGCTGAAACACAACAGAAAACCCTAACTTAATATATTTTTACCACTTAAATTTGTTTTGGCAAGCTACTCTTTAATGGGCTTACACCCAAAAGCATTATAGCTGTCTGTTTTAGCAACATTTGAAGCTGTTTTGCCACTTGAAATTGTAACTTAGGAAAGCACAACTTTTGCCCTTACTTTGAATTGTCGTATATTTCCTTCGGCCACCAGGTGATGTTCATGTTCTGGAGTGATGCAATAGGCTATTCTCTGCAAAACAAGTAAGCGAGACACATTATTCGTAACAATCAAAAAAGTGCTTCATCTTTGAGAAACTCACAGAGCAAACATTTCTATTTTATAACATATCAATCATTTTCAAGGAACTGTTCAATTTGGCACTGAAACGCTTTCCTACTTAATGTGTGACTTGACACATTTACATACTATCAGACCTTATTATACCCACACCAACATCAAATCTAACTCCTTTTTTTTTTCTTTGAATAAAGGTGCATCTCAATCAATTGGAATACCCTGAAAAAATGTCAATGTTCCTCATTAGCTATTGTTATGAAAGAGAAAATTCAATATATTCCACTCTCGTGACATGTAGGCTAAAATATTCCAAGCATTTTCCGGGCAAACTATGGCCCACAGCTTCAATTTTTTTATTTTATTTTTTCATTTTCTTTTTAACTTAAACTACTGATTTGATTCTATGTTTGAGCGAACTACTTTTCAAACACAGTAATAGTGTGGATCTCTCTGACTGGGAGGAAAAGGTGCACAAGCAACAGAGGGCAGATTGTCAAAGAAAATCTAATTTAGGAACTTTGGAGAGCTTCACAAAGAGCTGACAGAGGTTGGCGTCAGTACATTAAGAGCCACCATGCTCAGACGTCTTCAGGAATGAAGCTCCATCTGTTTCATTCCCCTTAATCATCCACCTCTGCACTAGAGACAGCATCAGACGCTCCTTGATGTGGACTAAGGAGAAAATAACTTGACAGTGGTTTAGTGGTACTAAGTTCTCTTTTCAGATGTGAATCAATTCTGCAAATCATCCAGAAGTCAAGGTCTTAGAGTGGTGGGATGAAGAATCCAAAATGTTTGATGTCCATTCCAAGTTTTCACAGATTTGAGGTGCGGTGTCATCTGCTAGGGTCAATCCATCTTGTTTCATTAAGTCCACAGTTGACACAGCTGTCTACCGGGATACTATGGAGCACTTTAGTGTTTCCATCTGCTGACAAGCCTTATGAAGATGCCGATTTCCTTCTCCAGCAGGACTCATCATCTGCCCCCAGTGCCAAAACTCCTACCAAGCAGTTTGTTGACTGTGATACCACTGTGCTTGTTTGGCCAGCAAACTGGCCTGACCTGAACCCCACAGAAAATCTGTGAGATATCTGTCAAGTGGAAGATGAGGAACACCTGGACCAAAAATGTAGATCAGCTGATGGCTGCTTGAAAGCAGATCCGTAACATCGAAGAAATGCTACAGGCTGATTGCCTGCAAGCTTCTCCACACTGATGAATTAATTTATGATAAAAGAGTCCAATTTTATTTCTTCCTTTTTTGAGTTACATTATCAAAAAACTTCTTTACAATATTCCTAATGATTGAGGTGCATCTGTATTCATTTATATTCAGACTGATTCAAGAAAGTGTGTGGCCAAAGAAAAAACAAACAATTAAAAACCAAATCTGGTGTGGCTTTGTCCAGACTGCAGCCAGAGACTTACAGCTGTTCTCAAGATGTGTAAAAAAATATAAAGAAATAAAAAACTTCAAATCAAAATCCAACACTGGATATCAGGAGAACTGCCATTATGAACAGTATGTCTGTCCTAAAATAGTCACAGTTTTGGAAACTGTAAGAATTCCTGATAATAAACTTAAAAAATAATTATTCTGGATATTGTGAGAAAGAGACAATCCAAACTGGTCTTAAGAAAGAATGTTGAGAAGAATATTAAATCTTGAGTGCCAATGGGAAATACCAATGAGATACGGGGATTGTTACAGGAGGGTAAAGCTAACACTATTTAGAGGATGAAAATAGCTGCATGGTGCTTTGATGATTATGATCACAAACTCTCAATGCTTTGAAGCAATCGTTTTATTATCTAAAGGAATTCTCTATGTGCCGGTGTCATCAAGCTCAGAGAGGGAAGTTTATGTTAGATCAAATTGCTGTTTTCAAGTTTTCTTTGGAAGACGAACATACTGCCGTATGCCCTTTGGTTACAACTATTCCCCTAACGATATCATCTAAATACAATTATGCAATAGCAGTTGTGTCCTTATGTCACCTATCTCACTTGTATCTCATACAGACTGCTCACACAAAGTACTTATATCTGTTATTCAGAATTGTTTTTTTAACCAATATTCCCCCCTCTTATCAATCATCCTGGAAATAGCTAAATTTAATCTATCAATGAAGCAAATCTCAGTCTTTCAATATGTGACAAACAATTATGTTTAAAAGCTTTAAAAATGTTCAGTTTGGCAAAAATGTTTTCATACTGACCTCTTTAAATGTTCCTGGTACACTGAGGAATTTATAAATGGCATAAAGGGGTACAAACAGCATGGAGGACATGGCGATGCCCCAGCCGACTAGGTTAGCCCAGTAAGGGAAGACGTACTCATCATACTTCAGGCTTGATGATGTCATTGTACTGGCAATAACAACAAACTGTGAAGGAGAAAGATGAGAAAGCAGAAGACATGAAAAAAAAGAGGTGACTTTAAGATTATATAGTGATAAGACACTTGAAACCTGAACAACAGCACCTGAAAACAAAACAAAACATTATAGAAGACAAAGTTATTACAAATGTAGGCTTTAAGTTCATTAATTTATCTAAAAGTATCAGATTTTGGACAATATTTTCTTAATGCGTTCTTCTTCTTTTACTTTTTAAAATTGAGAACCTGATTTTTTTTTTTTGATTAATGGAAATGTTTTCTTAAAGCTTGATCATGAAAACCATTACTGTAATGGTGCAGCAAATAGCTTGTTGGTTAAAGAGTAAGTAATACACAATTTTTCTGTAGTAGTTGCAATTTACAGCAGATGCTTCACTGCATCTTACACAAGAAGATCAAACAGAAAGACATTTATAGAATCTGGCCATTTCCAATAACTAGAAGGTTTATGGACTTGTTTTGGGTCAAATTTATGACAGCCACAACTCACTCAGCCAACAGGTGGTCTGTGTGATAACCGAGAATGCACGAGCTGGAGTCATGATGCTTTACAGTCATCACAGAGCCAACACTGTCTGTCTGGAACAGCTCATTTAAGACAAGTTACAGCAATTGTAGTGGTGATTTCGTATAAGAGTTATTCCCCAGTCAGAGATGTGATTTCATTTTAGTAGATTTCTTTTTTTCCACAACCTCAAAAAGGTGCACAGGGACTTTTTACTGGGCTAGAACCATATCAAGTCCAATTTAACTTTGTTATGAAAATGAAAATTCAAGCTTTGCACTTCTCTTTAGTGAATGAATAGCTGCCACTTGTCAGCCCGTTCTCATAGAGTTAGGCATCTCTGGTGTGAGGTGGATATAATGTGTATCTGCATACATTGTCAACGATCTAATACTTAAAGATACATCATTCAACAATGTAGAGTAATGTAAAGAAACCCCCCCACCCACTTTAGGAGCACCTGCTTATGACTGCATCTGGATCCTTAAGATAATAAGCAAGGATTTATCACCCATGTGTTACACTACTTATTATATTACTTTATCCTTTATCTTTACAGAGTTACAGTTTGGAACTGAGGTGAACTTGTACTTTGCCGGTCTACTTAGTTTTATCACAAACATGTCACCAGCATCTTTGCCATATATTTGCATAATGTTTCGACATAGAAGTTATTTAGTGGTTGACTGGCCTCGGTTGATGTCTTGTATTTAACATTATTCATATTTAAACTATCTCAACATAAATACTTGAACATGCTTTGTTGCACTCACCAGCAGAAAAACTGGACTGACAAATTTCCAGCACAGCCTCCAGTAGAGTCCAGGCTTAAAGCCCATCATTCTCTCAATATCCTCGCTGAAGCGATCCACACCTGCAGTGAGCAATACTTTTTTAATCATTCTGACAAATGCGGTAAATAATGAATCGATAAGATGTTTGAGTTAGTTTTATCTTTCATATTAAACCATTTACAAAACGATTAAGTGAAGAAAAAAAGAATACCAAAAATGAAGTGTAACATCATACCATAAAACCAAGACACTCCGATGGCTTCAATCAGCACGCCAAATAGTATGGAAGTCCCAGCTGCATACTTATCTAATAAGGTCAGCACATAGATGCCACCCTATAAAGAGGATAGGATGTGGAAAATTTAGAGTGTGTGTGCATTTATACACATATACAGAGCCAAGTAGGCACATGGGTAGATGCGGACATACTGTACATATACCACTCTTCTACTGTATTATACTCTTCTCTGTTGTACTTTTTTGTATTTTTCAAAATGATTCTCTGTATTTCTGCACCATGGGCTGGTGAGAAATGTGTTTTCCAATTCCTGTGTATGTACTCACATTTGGCAGAAATTGACCATATAGAGCTTGAATCTCTTATCTAACTGTTTTTCATGACAGATAAGTGGACTTGGATGTGCTGTTAACAAGCTGCTGGATGTGCAGATTTTGAGGTCACTGAAGGTGCATTTTGCTGATGTCTGATCATTAAAGTTCCTGTTCATGTAAGGCTAAAGACGAGCTTCGCATGAATGAAAAAGGGGGTCCTTTGTGTGCTTGAGCTTTTGCACAAACGATCTTTGATTTGTATCCTACTCAGAGTATTGTGCCAAGGAGCCCACATCAGAAAGTCATCATTCACATGCTTAATCATTTTATTGACTTGATTTAGGAATAGGAACCACGGGAACTACCAACCAAAAACTGTCCTGATTGAGACCTGACTATCTGTAATAAATGAGGCCATCTCCCTCTTTTGATTCACCATGTGAATGAATAACTACATGGAAAATTGATCTTTCCCTTCCTGTTTACAGCCATAATTCAATTCTACATTGTCGTGACAGTTGGATGCAATAACTGCTTTTTCCATGGAAAAAGTTCTTTGACATTCTCAGTAACTTTTCAGTGATGCCAGAGACAATATCATGAGACCTCAGGCAGCACTTATCTCTGATTTAGACAATAAATTATAGTGTTACCCACAGAACAAAGCTTTACCTTTGGCTTGGGGGCAACAGGGTAGCTATTAAAAATATGTCAATACTTTACTTCATTTACAGGACTCGTGAAGTCATCTATCCATTAATTGTGTTATAGAATTAGTTTATATGACTACATTGTTTTTTTAAGGACTTTTTATGACTCATTTTAATTCAAACTGGTATGAGAGGTCGCGTATTTTACAATAGACATCACACCAGAATCAAACATTAATAAGAGGGATGGACTGAAAACCGCAGTCTTTCCGCTCTCATCTCCGGCAGATCATGTGTCAGGCACTGCAGGTTATCAGATTTGAGGAGCAAAGAGCAGTGAGAGATCTCCTAGATCAGTAACTTTGGATGATTATTTTACACGCCATGTGGAAACACTAGAATTTAAAACAACAGGCTCTACCTGGTTAGGTCTCATACTGTAATTCAGAAGTTCATTAAAAAAAACAAACTTATTGAAGCCAGTTTTAACTATTTAGTATTTTTGTATGGTTGAAAACAGAATCTCTCAGGACTTAATTGACCCTTTTCAAAATGTTGAAAAAGATCAATTTAGTAGTCTAAAAGTGTGACTTTAACCACCACAGCACTTCATTCAGCACTGAGTATAAATATGTTCAATAAGTGATACTGACATTAGTGATGCAAAGCAGGGCAATAAGGAAGGTTCCAAACGCTGTGGCAAAGGTGAAGAGCTTCCTGTTTCTTTTGAGGATTTTGAAGTCATCTGTGAGGCCTGTGATGACTGCCTCCATGCCTCCCATCTAGAAAGCACAAACAGACAAAAGACATGAGACCAAGGCCCAATCCCAATCCTACCCCTGCACACTTGTCCTTCACTACTGAGTGTCACTTGTAATAAAGTTACACTCACAGCTGTGGAGTGCGCATCAATTGAAATGGGAGGGTATAAACAAGACAGGCCAGTATGGGACGCCCTCCTCACTCCACCGGAGATTCATCGCCATAACAACATAAAGATACGTCCTGTGCATGGCAGTGTTTCTTTTCTAAAGAAACAGGCATCATGTACAGTTCTGAACTACAACGACTGCCTCCTTTTTTCATTGTCCCAGTGAAGTCATAAATCCAGCAACCATCAGAGTGACAGGAGCTAAATTATACTTCTGATTGTAAGTGATTCCACATGTCTTTGAACCCCTTTATTATTTGACATGTGCCTGCACAATCAAATCAAACATCAGCACAGAGTAAGATTTCCAAGTTTCATTTGATCTTTCCGAACCACGTCTTTTGTGATTTTTATTTAGTTTTTGTCAGCTAGACAAATGTGGACACATGCAAATCTTATATTTGTATGTTGTATCCTCCTCTTCCATTTTCGCCAAAAAGTCACTACAAATGCCAAGTGTTATATGACAGAGCTCAGTGGCCTGGAGTGAGTCAGTGAATCAAGTTAGTGACAGTTTGCTGAAGAAAGATGATATCGTTAAGCCCTTCAAAACAGAAAAAAACCCCTGTATTCATTGGTAACAACGGTTGTACTTTTACAGCATGCTAACACATTCTAACGACTGAAATTGTCTTGCACAATATCAAGTCAATGAGTGCTTTGGGAGGGGAACATTTAACTGTTTATCTTTTCAAAGATGAAACTGATTTCACTGGGTATGCAATGAGCATGATATCAGATTAATGACATACTCAGTAAAGCCTATTCAGCAAGATATATAGATATCATTTTAATCTTGTATGGTGCTTCCATGCTGAGTGTGTTTGCTTTATTATTGGTGGAACAGGGCACAACAAGGAGAGAGTTACCTCTGGTTTAAGATTGCCTTTCTTCCAAAACCACAAACATGGACATTTTTTTAAACAGTTTATCGATTGCATAACTTATACCAATCAAGGACTTTTTGTAAAAGGTAATTATCATTTTTTCTTATGTATAAAGGTGAAGTAGAGCTGTATACGCCTATTCCAATCTATTAAAAGTATTCAAACGTTTAATCACAAGATTATAATTCTTCAAGAGTGGCCAAAGATGCCTGTGCAACTCACCGAACTGTCAATGCCAAGAGTCAGCAACATGATGAAGAACACAATAGCCCAAAATGTTGATCCAGGCAGTGTAGAAATAGCCTCAGGGTAGATGATAAACACCAATCCTGCACCTGTATGCAAGCATGCCCAAATATAAGTAGTGACTTTCACAGCAAAGGGGCACAATATGCATCTGTAAACCCTTTCTTTACTTGTATCCAAATCTCACCTTCTGTTGCAACATCTTCTATCCTTACACCATGTTTATAAGCCATGTATCCGAGCACAGAGAAGATGGCAAACCCTGAGAAGAAACTGGTGACGCAGTTCACAGTGCTGGTCAAGAGAGCATCCCTGGAGGCAAAAAGCACAACAAAATCTTACAAGAAAGAAGGTTGGATTACTTTACTCTAAGACAAGTAAATCAAATTGACAGTTTCATTTCAGCAGATTTCCACACTTTGTTTGGAGCTTGATTAAAGATGCAGTAGTTCATTTTTAAGAATTTTGTTTGGGGATTTAAGTTACATCAGCCAAAGCACTCCCAGAACACCAGTGACATTTAGTGCCTTTTCATATTAAGTGACATGCTGTGTTGGTTACACCTGAGCATGAATTTATTAATTCTCTCGACATGCTGACAGAATCTGCAGTAACCAAGTTAACTAACTGCTCTATGTGCTTAACATCAAATAAAGGTATGCTGTAAACATTTCTTTGTTTGCTGCTGGAATCATTGGCTGTATTCTGTACTGCAGGTAAAAGGACACTGGATGCTCTTTATATGACTGTATGTCAGCATTATCGTCATTGCTGCAGAAAGAGGTTTCAGGGTAACAATAAATCTAGCTTTTTCTTGTGTAAGAGCAGGTGTTAGTTTCTGCATGTACTGCAGAGAGCCGCTTAAGAGCAAGCTCGCATGATGGAGCTTGGTGTCTATCTCTACTGGAGTTTCAGACCCTGTGGGGCTTGAGCAGGAATCTGCCTGAGGTAAGGCAGGCATGTGAAAGGTAGCAGTGTGTGTGTGTGTGTGTGTGTGTGTGTGTGTGTGTGTGTGTGTGTGTGTGTGTGTGTGTGTGTGTGTGTGTGTGTGTCTGGTCCTCTGGCATCACCAGATGGATTTCATACATGTTAGAAATGAGCTTGCCAGATAATAAATGGGGACATTGTGTGCCGCAAACTAAATACAGAAGGCCGCCAGGTCTAGTGGGTTGGTCCGGATGATCTAAGGGGCTGTCAATTTCAGCATCCTTAAGATGTGTATATGCCAAACCTTATTTTAAGACAAACACATCCATTTGCGCTAACATAGGCTTAGGGTTAAATACAGCTTGAGTAGTATTCGTTTCCACCATGGATATAATGCAAATTTCACCATCATGGGATGAATAAAGGTTTATCTTATGTTGTATTGATGATTATAACCACACTTGGGCTGCATGCCAAGATGCGTAGTGCTGGATTTAAGTCAGGGCCCAAAGTATGAGAAGTGATTTTCAAGTTAATAATCTTAGTTTGAGCTGTATCTAGTGTGCTGTGTCATGTCCGACATAAGGTTTTCTTACAAATTGACCGTAATAGACCCTAATTGACCGTGGCTTAAAATGCAGAAACCTCAGAGTCTCTCCACGGTTCAGCAAGGTTGTGGTGGACGGTGGGTTGTGGTAGGACCTGTGATGTGATTGTGATGTATTTTGACACTCATGTGAATCAAAGAGAATCCATTACTAAGTGTACACACTTAATTTGCCTTTCTTTTTTACCAACTTTCTTAGCCTCTGCAGTTAGTGCGTGGGCATATTGTTGTCCAAATGAAATGATTGGACGGTCTGATCAGAGCTTGAACATTTTTTTTTTTTTTTGCCCAACTTTTTTAGCCAATATAATAAAAGTTGTCACAGTAAACCAGGTTGAGCCATTTTGGCGTTGGGCTTGGAAAGTCCCTGTGGCGTTTAAAAGAGCAGACACCTAAAGATGGTAAGTACAGAGGAAAGGTAACAGTGCATTGTCCTTATTTTTGTACCCCTCTGATTCCTCTGCCAGTGTTGTTGTTAAAGAAGAAAAAAATCTAGTGTCTTTACTGGGTGTGTTCTCCTTTGTTCTTGGAGTTATATTTTCCTTAGGTGTGACGGAGGATATGGTGCCTCTCAAACATCACACTGTACTTTTTGCAGATTTCCTCCATCTGTGTAGGCATTTAAACAAAAGTCTGGGTTCAGTGCTTGTTTTTCTAACACCCTTTGCTTTTCCTGGTTGCTGCTGTTTCCCTGGCTCAGATTTGATCAGTTTCCACTGTGGATATAATGTACATCCCACCTGCCAGCAGTCCACATGCATGTCTAAAAGAGACATGAAAGAGGAGGAAGGTGGGAGGCCCCACTTAGGGCTTAAGAAGGTAGAGGAAATGAGGACTGACAGTAGAGGAAGGGTCTATAATGTTTAGAACACACAGAACAGCACAACCTTATCTTGGTAGTACTGTGATGACACTTCACATGATATTCTTCCTGTGCGAGGACAATTTATTCAAAAAGGGTTTACTAGTGATTGGTCCTGCAGGGTAAAATAACTAAAGTCAGATTTTGTGGAGTTTCAGCAAGATATACTGTCTGCAGGGAGAAGTATTTTCACTATTTTCCCCATAGCGTGTGCCCCGAACAGCACTCAGCAACCTAGTTATGCAGAAAAGATAAGCCAAGCTCACAACCTTATGTGTCCTCTTTCCGAAGAAGAGCAGTTCTATGCCATCCAGTTAAAATACAGCTCTAGGCTATTATCTGGCAACCCTTCCTGGCCTGTACTTAATCTCTCCTGTGAACACCTGGCCATTGGGTTCAGCTGGACAGATTAACATCACCTCTGCTGCTTCGTGATCCGGTTACATGCTGAAAAGGTCTGGCTGCTCAAAAACAGCAGGATGTAAAGTTGCTGTAGGCTTGCCTGGGCTATCAAAAATCATCAGTGCAGGGTTTAAGCTCTTACCTGTAGCAGTTGTTGTCAAATTTGTTATAACTGGCAAACGCAATGAGCACCCCGAATCCTGCTCCCAGAGAGTAGAATATTTGGGTGGCAGCATCAATCCACACCTACGGCAAAAAGAGCAAATAAGAAAAGTTTTAAAACTTTGACGTTTTACAATGAACCCCAAACACTTTTCCAGTTTTGTACGGCTTTATTTAGTTATTTTTTTATTGATGAAGTGTTATTTCATTAGTCTATAACAACAAAGCTATTGTCCTTGGATAACATTTTAACTGGTATACTGTTTATCACTATTAACCCTGGTTTTCAGCACGTCAAAAGGAATCTGTAGAAGTCATAACCTTTTCTCAATCTTTTTACATGTACATCAGCTCAAAAAATGGCAGATCACGTCTGCAGTATATCTATTTTCATTACATTGGCAGCCTATATGAAATCTCCCCAATACCTTTGGATGATGTTTTGACAAGTAGTACTGTCTCTAACCTCTAGATTGTTGAGCCGTTCAAAGTCAATGTGGAGGTAGGCTCTGATGCCATCCATGGACCCCGGCAGAGTAACACCTCGAATCAGCAACACAAAAAGGACCACATAGGGCATGGTAGCTGTGATGTACACCACCTTGAACACAAATACCACACAAAAGAGAGGGGAAAAAAGCCCACCCTTGTAAATCTTCACTTTTTAAAACTCCTGTAATGACTCAGTGATAAAATGAAACAAGTCTAGTACAGGGGCAGTGGTATCCAGTAGTTGACACTGTGAAAAACTGACACAGATTTTAGGGCATATTAAAAATTGAGAAGCAACAAGTGCTGTGTAGTAGCCCAGGCCTGTACCTTCCCTGAAGACTTGACACCTTTCCACAGGCTGAAATAGAGAATGAAGACCACCACAACGAGACACAAGGTCAGCTCCCAGCGAGGTAGTCCCAGATCCTGGATACCCCTACTCTCATGGAGATGCAACACACCCCGTCTGCAGAACACAAAAACATTGTTGTTATGATAGCAAGCGCCGAACTATTGTTTTGAGTGGCAATGGCTGCTTTGTCTTTTTCACATGTGATGTACTCAGCATTAGTAATGTGTCTGGCAACATGATAAAACAATTGTTGAACAGGAACACCCAGATTATATCTCAGTTGGGAGAGTCAAAACCAAACAACCCTCAGCATGGATGCCAGGGATTCAAGTGAAGGTTCATTGGTGGATGAATGGCCTAATAGGGCCTACTATATAACAGCACTTTACCCTAAACTAGGAGCACCAGCATGAAACTGCCTTGTTCCACCCCGCTAAATCATTAGCAAATGTTTTTAGTTGCATAACTCATAAAGAAATGATTTAAATTTTTATTTTGACACAAATGTGCGTAGATGAAAGTATTATCCTCTGTGAGAGCTTGATGAGGTTTATTTTGTTTGACATAACCATCTGTTGACTAACATATTCACTCCCCTCTAGCTTCAAATAAAATACTCTGATCCTGTCAGTAACATCTTTTCAAGCTCTTTGAGCTCGGGAAGTCAAGCCAAACACTTACTATGAGACGAAGGTGAATATTCAAAAGTCCAAGTATTTAATGGTAACCAAATGAAACAAAGGGAGACAAATTGTATCTCTTTCATCACTTTCTAAATATTGCTTCCAGCTGTGAGCCTTTCTCTGGGTTTGGAAGAAGGAAAACAAGGCTTGTGTTGTATCTGTCATCTGTGAGCCCCTAAGCATTACAGATGTCTTATGAAAATGTAGCTTATCGCGTTTAAGGAATACTTTGGGATATGCTAAAAGAATAGCTCACCTGCTTTAAAGGTGTACTGCGTAGTCTTAAGCAGTATTTAGCAGAACAGACTTGATAGAAATTCAATGATATGTGTTTTTAAATGGGTACAGAATTGTTAAAAGCAGGCAAAGAAATCACATCATGGTTGTAAAGATCATATGTAAAGATATGACTGTCTGATAACTTTGGCTTCATTTTCTTTTCGATTCAACAAAAGTTTGCTGATGACACGGGTGATGGGCCTGACTTCTAACAGCAGTGAAAAAGACTAGCTGTGAAAATGTGCCACTCTTTTTTCAAGATAATAGCCTTCCCATAATGTGGCCAAAGCCATTGAGGTGGCTGCGGCTTTAATGACAGTGCTTCAGGAGATGGATGTCCTAATCACAGAGGATCTGTCACTGAAAACCCCAACATAAACCAGCCAAAGTAAGGCAAGACAAGGCAAGGCCTAAAATCCTCTGGGCAGCTGAGAAAACTCAATCTCTTTGACTGCACCTCAGTCACATAGTTGTGTGTTGGGCTGATTTTTTTCAAAGCACTAAGCATCCCACATGTAAATATGACAAAGTAGTTGAATTTTGTTTCTCATAGCTTTTTCCGACTTTCCCTGGGTTGTCCAAAATAAAGCAAAGCACAATGCAGCAGTATACTGTAGATGCTGAGCTGATAAAGTTCCTAAGAGTCTGGACATAATCACACCAACTACATTTGAATATCCTGTGTATTGGTTATTTGGTGTTTCCTGTTGCCAAAAATGTAATGAATGCGTCTTAATTAAAGTATTTTTTTACATATTTAATCTGCACAATGTAAAGCCAATAGAGGGCAGCATAAGATAGCCAATGCTACATTTACCCATCTGCAACACACTGATACAGAAGGATATGGACCTCTTTGTTACAATATGACTTCTCTAGGTTTTGGTTAGTCATTTCATCTGTGTTGTGTGTTGCTAACAGCTTGGATAAGTTTGTTGCTCATCTCAAGCTAAAACCGCAGTAAAGTTCAGGACAGTGTTGTTGTAAATGATGAGTACACGATCAGCTTGTGAAAGAGGGGCTGACTGTTAAATTGAAGCAAAGCAGTGATAGCATGTCCTTTCCAAAACTAACCTCAAAAAAGAGTCAATTAAAATGGCATGTGAGGTCAGGGTTGATAAACAAAGGAACTGGATTCGATCTGATACTCAGGTTGCTTACACAACAGCCTCACACAAAAGTCTTGAGGAACACGCAAACTGAAATATGTTCAAAAACACAATCCTCGGGGACCAGGGGATCTGTGAAACTCATTTTAAGCAATTACTTATCTTTGGGTGATAATAAATTCAAAGCTTAAGTGTCTTTTGGGAGGCAGATAGCAGTGTGAAGACATCAGTTTGTTTGGAGAGAGAGACATTTAGTCTATGCTCATGACATGAAGTCCTTGTGTTGGTGTTGTGTGGCAATGCCCAAAGGCGTCCTTGTTCATCTGATAGCATTAATAGTGCAGTGCCAGTAAATGCCCACTGTAACATCAATCCAGGTCCCTTTGGCCCAGTTGATCTAAACTCATTCACTCTTATCTTCACTCAGCACGCTGATGATGTTGCTTTTAGACACTAAATGTTGCCATTAGCTGCCCTCTGTGTACTTGAAGCTGGCACACTATTGCATGCAGCACGGTCTGAATGTTTTGTGACACAATTTGAAACAGAGCGTTCAAAGTATACAAAAATAAGAACAAAGCAGTTGACCAGAAACAGCTGAAAGATTCCTGCTTGTTTCCACTTAATCTATTTAATAAAATGATTCTGTTATTTATTTCAAAAGTAAATCTTGGCGTGAGATTGAATAAAAGCAATTTATTTAATTAAGCCCTTGTTTAAAGAATGCTATTTATCAGGTCTAGTTGTCCTTGACACTCAATCAGATGTGGTTGCCTCAGGGTAAGATCTTAACAGAAAGTGAGTTTTTATTTGGTTAATTTATTCTTCAGTCTGGACTTAATCTAAAATGCTTATCTACAATTTGATCAATTGGTTAATCCTTCATCTACTGAGGAAAATGAAATACTATTGAAGTAAAACTTTAAAAACAGTTTATTTCTTCAAAAAAAGTTTGAGCTCTACAACAGCGTATGATAAACATTGTGTCTACTTGATTTAAAATGTTTGGAGGATGAAAGCTGGTACCGAGCGCCCTGAGTTTGTTTGGAGATTTTATGATTCACATAGCAGTTTCAGTGAACACCACACCTTGAGAATCAAACACATAAAATAAAAACATAAAATAGTTTAAGCTGCATTTTGAATGTTGGCCTTGCTGGTCCAATTTCTGACCTTTCATTGATTAAGGGCCAGACCAAGCGCAAAAAGAACCAAAAGATAAACTGTGTGTTTAGATGTCAAGTTTAGATGTCACAAGTGGTGAGAATATTTGTATAGATAAGCAAATTTAATAAGTTACAGAACTTTTTGATGCAACTCCCCAACTTTTGGAAAGGCAAAGGGGGTAAGGGGTTTCCAACTGTGTTTTATTTTACAAGCACTTTTGATCAAGTCTGCTTCAGCTCTGTGAAGTCTTTGAAAGCCCATCCCAGCGCTGCTTTATGATTTGTATTCCTTTAAGCATAGACAGAGCTGTGATTTTTGAGTTTAACATCTGGAAGGTGTTTTTGATCTCTTGAGGCTACGCAAGTTTTTTCAAATGAATCACAAAAAAATATCTGGATTTGTTTTAATGGTCAGTCTTTTGCCTTTCTTTACAAAATGCCAATCACTCCACTTTAGCATTAACTAATAATGTCAGTCTGATATATATTATTGTTGACTTCTTGCATGTGATAGTAAGTGGCATCAGCTTCAAGCTTGTATTAATTTTGTATTCAAATGTATTTGTGTGGATCATTTTGGTAAAGCAGAGTTGCTCAACTTTAAATCTATGCAAATGAATTCAAATGGCTCTTCAGTTTTTATATGCTGATCAAATAATGTCTTATGTAGTTGTCTATTTTAATGTTCTATTCTGCTTGTTGAACCTTTAACTGATCGCTTGTATTGTAGTTGTTCCACTTTGGCGTCTTTCAGCTCATTTTGTTTTGGTAGATCTTGCAAATCGCCTGCATGTTTTGACAACTGACATTTAGCGGTTGTCAAACCCATTTGATAAACCTACTGTTTATTACCTGGCCAGTAACCATGGAAAACTACAACACTCTGAAACTAAGAAGTGAACAACGCTCAGCACTTAGCTGCTTGGAAAAAGGAAAAAGGGAGACTTCAGTGGATGTTGGCCTTATATTCAGGTGCCCACAAACACGATTTAAGGTGATTTGTTAGTTTGCTGTGTCTGTGGTGCACGTCTCAATAAGCAGAAATTCTCTATGTAACGTTTGTGTGATCCTGGAAAATCCTGGCCACAGTCAAATGATATTGCAATGAGATTGAGGAAGAGACTTATTCAACCTTTAGATAACAAGCTGAAAACCATCCACTTCACCTTTTAGATCTCTTTTAGAGTGAAAGTTCAGTTGCTTGGTATTAAAACAGGTGCAGCCAATGAAAACAACACAGATCCTTCTTAAGCTTTGTAGTATGTAATCACTGTAGTAGAGGGCCTTACTACATAGCAAACCGTCACTGAGTAATAGACAGTAGGCTTATAAGGGTTAGTGGATGTAGAAGAGTGTAAGAGTTTGAGCAACAGAATTGTTGACTCAGTTGGCCTCACTCTCTCATGCTGGGCCTTGGCGTTGCTCCTGTACTCAAAGCTAGCTGTAAGCAGGAGGATTTATAGTCCCCTACAGAGCATAACCCAAAGCTGAATCTGTCTCACAGCGCTTCATTGTTGTCAGCCTGTTCATACAAATGCAGTGATATTTTCCAGTGTGTCAGCTTTGTGATTGTATAGACCACACGTACTACACGAGTAAAATTGCATCACGCCGTTCAAAGTTTGTATAGACTTACAAAGATCAAGTTTTACGTGTGAACGCTGACCTTTTCATGCAAAGCCAGACTGTTTACTTACTATTAATGTATCAGGTTTGAGAGTTCCTGGAAGTTGAAAGATGTCCAGGGATACTGATTAAATAAACATGTGGATCATGTTAGTGCAGCCCAGCAGAATGGGAGGGGGACTTTTTACAAACACAATCATGTGTCTGGATGTATGTATACTGCACGTCACCCCCTTGCATGCATCCCCCGTTCAGTGTAAGTATCCTCACAGACTTCCTCTGGGCTGCACAGTTGGTTTTCACAGAAGTTGGAGGAGAACCTGCTGTCTTTGAACTACAAACAGATGGAGTTTTTTTTTTTGCGCTTCAAAGAGTGCATTTGAACTTCTCATGTCTACACCTTTTTAAAGGTGGAATCATTTATGGCTTGGTCTTTCAGACACTTTTGCTCTTTATTGTATGACTGGTGTCAACTCCTATGTATAATGTGCTTGTTTTTTAGTGAAGACCTGGAGGGTTTTTTTTGGAGTGGACTGCATCAGCAATATACAAACTCAGCCATTTGTGCCATCTGTAAGTGTCCACATGGGAGCGTACAAAAACAATGAACAAAACACCTCAGCATTGATGGTTGTAGGAAGACAGTGGCTACATTAAGACACAGAACAGCACTCTGATCTTTACACAATGGCAAAAATACTGTAATCAATACACTGAAGTGGAGGCATCAATCTGCATAACATCTATCTTTGTAAATCCCTCAATTCGACGCTTGAACATTCATCTTGTTCTTGGATCACTTCTCTGCACAGCTTTGGACTTGGAGCTTGTAATATTCATATAGCGACAAAAACTACTCGGTAGATTGTTGCTACAGTGTGAGAAGCTTGACCTCAGGTGTTTTGTTAGGATACCGTTGCATGCGAGTTCAGTTGTATTCTTTCATAGTTGTGCAGTACAGCATGTTGTGCAACTATTAAAGCCCATTGACACTCAGTTACATCACAGCCCTCTTCCTTTTGTGATTCGGGGTTTATGTACCAAGTAGTGTGTCTCTAAAAAGTCTCTGAGGGTACCTTTAATTCAGACCTTACTTAATTTGTTACGTTTAAGTTTTTGCTAAATGTTAATTTGTGTTGGGTGTGGCTATGCTATGGTACAGATTGTGAAAATTACCCAGTTGATTTAGTCAACTAATCGCAGAAAATTTATGGTTCATTTGGGATTTTTACCGAAGAACTGAAGAAAGGCATTGTCCTTTGGTCAAATATAGACAGCCTTGGGGCAAGCGTCAAGTTGTTTGTCTATTTTGTGGGTAAGAGATGGTGTGGTTGATTTATATTGAAAGCAGGTGATGAGTGCAGTGTTGCCAACTCCTCAGTAAGGAAAGTTGCTATTGGTTGTGGTAGAAGTCACTAGATAATGTCATTACCACATTTGCATAATTTTTCATTTATCCCCCACCCACCCACGGCAGGGGTCCATCGCATTACCCACTGCCCCTCTGCTTCTTGAGAGGAGTATACATGCTTTCATCTCAGTCTCTATTCTCCAGAAAATGTTGCTAGATTTGTCACTTAGAGGTCATGAAAGGTCATTAAATATGGTGAAAAGGTCGCTAAGTTGGCAACACTTGATGAGCGTTTGCTAGAGGAGTCTAGCTTGGTAAGAATATGGCTTTAGTATAACACTACATATAACACCATAGATCAACATGCATGCTCAACAACACTCACTGGCAGATAAAGCAATCTTAATTTCAGCACTCACTCATAGTACTCTGCCGCTGGGGTTATCTTGTACTTGGCGTAAGATGTCCCATTTCCAAGAACGGAGCCATTGATGGCTTTGGGGTCGGTGCAGTTCTCACTGTTCCAGATGTTGCCACATTTGAGCCACGGCAGCTCTCTGGTCATGGAGGAGAACAGGTAGTACAGGGACCAGGCGATGATGACATTGTAGTAGAAGCCAACATACAGCGCTATGACAATCACAGTGTAGCCCACACCTAATGAACACAAAAGTGACTTGTAAGAAAGAATAAGGATATTTTTGCATTACTCTCCAGCAACAGTGAATTAACAGGTATTCCACTCTCTGATAAACATATCCTTTGGGCCTAAATGCCTACTTTCCATCAGTTTGCACTTGTCTTCTTTCATGAGTTGTTTTGCTTTGACTGGAATGTGAGGACCTTACGTGATATCAGAGAAGTCATAAACCCATCACTCGCTCATCCTAGGCAGGAAAAACAAAAGCCTTTCTCGTTCCTGGAGCCAATGAAAGCAGCAACTGGTGTCGATTCAACAGTGCAGTCAAGTGAACTTGTCTGACAAAGGTGAAACAGGCACCGAGGAATAATGTGTTGCATAAGTGAGGCTTTATGTTCAGATGTGTAGTTAAGATAAACTTCAGATCTTACTATCCTGCTAATCTGGGCAAGAAGTCAAACAGCTTGTTACAGGTTTAGAGACCAGAAGCCTGGGGTGAATCAAATCTGAGGCAAGCTGAAGTTGACGAGTTAACAGGACATAGAGTCAAGTTTTACAGTGCACTCAAAGTTTTCTCCAAAAAGTGCACTTTAGGACGTGTCAATATGAGACTGTCCGGATGTCTTTCTTGTTAATTTAACCTATTGATGTGCTGTTAAAGTGACCCGGGCTGCATTTAACAACATGCACAGACAGCGCCTGGTTAGTCGTTTTGAAATCGACATTTGCAGTAACACAGATGGGGTAAAAGGTTGCAGTGCAAGCAGAGAGGGATCAAAACATACAAGGAGGTGAAACAGAGAGATGGAATGTGACAAAAAGAGATTAGTTACAAGTGACGCTTATGAACTTATGAAGGGAAAAGGACAAGAAACAAAAGGGCAAGGCACTGAAACGAAGCCGGAAAGATCATGACAGAGCAGTTAAAAGCACAGTTTAAGAGGTTAGAGAGAGACGAAAGCAAACAGGCTATCACATGAGCATGAGTTAGAGCTCACCTTTGAAGACTGGGCATATTTTCCACACTGTAGCTGCCCCTTCCCTGTTGTACTGGCCCAAGGCAAGTTCCATGTAGAACAATGGCATCCCCGCAATGACCAGGAACAGAATGTAGGGGATCAGAAAAGCACCTGGGAGGAAGAAAAAGTAGGTTTCATGCATTTTGACAAGATTTCATTTTCCTCCCTGCATGTGACATGTATTTTCTCTACAGTAAAAGGATGTCGGAGGGTAGCTGCTAATTATGGACGTGAGTGCTAGACAAAACAAAAAACCCAAATTAGAAGAGGAAAAGAAAGTGTTGGTAGGGGGTCTTGACAATGTTGGACAAACAATCCACCATGACATACAAGCAGGAAGGCTCGCAGCTATTTTCATGCTGTGCCTCTGTCGCACTCTCACACACCAACAAGGAAATGACTCTTCATAATTCAATTGTTCTTGACATTGTCCATCACAAATGACACATTATCTACAGTAATGAATACACTTTGCTTCGGGCCATCGTGATTGACAGGCTGGTGGTGGAGTTGACCCTTGCTGGCCCTACTGAACACAACATGTTGATTTTTCAGCACGTGAATAGACTCACTGGAGCATCGGGGACAGAGCACACCTTCCAGTGAGCACTGTGTTGTCATGTGTGATGAAGAAAAACAACACTATGTTTCAAGCAGTCCTTTGTACCTTTTTCTGTAACATCACCGCACCCAAAGCCACAGTTTAGAAAGCACTGCAAGTCATCAACACATTACTCATGCTTTTGTTTAAACTTACGCCTAAACACTAAAGAGACAGACACTTTTGTTTTGATGGACCCTGCAAACAAGCCCAGCAGTAAATTTCAATCACAGGAAAGAAGGTCTTCATTTGACACATACTCGTAAAAGATAAGAAAGTCACCGACAATAACATTGTTGGTTAGTTTTAGAGTTAAGTGGACGGAAACATGTGCATGCCCCTGTCAGAAGAGACATTTTCTGCACCATTTAAACATAAAGACTAATATATACACTGAACTAAGACCAGGACAAGTTTTAATATAACAGGTTAAGATGTCTATTTTTCTATAAGCCGTTTCTCTATTTGTTTGAAAGGAATTATGTTACGTTAATGGCTTAATCTAACCGATCCAACAATGTCTCATCTGCACTTCCACTTTAATAGTTTAAGGATGGCTTATTACAATTCTTTACAACTAAGACTTCTAAAGATACCCAAAAATACATTTAGGTATTTGATGTTTTACAAAGCTTACATTTTTATGAACACACCTTAATGAAATGAGCTAAATTCTCTTTACCTGAAATGCACACAGGGCAATAAGTAAATAAGTAACTAAAAATAAAGATCAAATTTGAACACCCTTTTTTCCAGATCTGAGTCCTATAGGCAAAACTATTGCTGCAGTGTCTGCTAAACTAAATCAAAAGTGCTTGTCACCTGACCCCACATTAAGAGACTCTACATGACAAGAACATCATACAAATACTTGTACTCTCTTGTGACTTTGTTACTATGAGGATTTACAGCCTTGCGGTGCGTTTTAACAACAGGGACTACTCTAAACTATGTTGGTAAAGCATGCTCTTAATACAGATGTTACAGTATCTACTCACCCCCTCCGTTTTTATAGCACAAGTAAGGAAATCTCCAAACATTGGCCAGGTCCACTGCGAAGCCAATCACTGACAGGAGAAAGTCTATTTTCTTGCCCCAAGTTTCTCGGGTCTCGTCGGATCCAGGCGGACCTGCGTGGTGGCCGGGGGTTGGGATGATGGAGGAACTGGTGTACTGAACGCCATTCTGGTCCTTCACCAGTATCAGTTCTACCTCCTTTTTCTCCACATTGCACTGTTTCAGCGGGGCCACCGACGAGAGCTTGTGTTCTGGTAGAACCTGGATATTCATCTTCTCTGCGGTGTGAACGAAGCCCACGCTGGCCCGGTGCTGTCACGGCCCCCTGCGGGTTCTGGCGGAGCTGCTGGTCGGAGTCGGTACGCTTGGATAAGGACGCCAATCCCGCGGACAAAAACCGGACAAGCGAGTGCTCTCCACCGAAACTACAGCTGACACCTCCGCGTACATGGGCTGGAGAGGAGGGAAAAGAAACACAGTTTGGAGAGGTTTGGTGTTTGCGCGTAAAGTTTCAGTTCAGTTACGCACAGCGAGAAATACAGGTTACGACTGCCAGGGGGAATAGGTGACATTATTCATCGTGTAACAGGCAGACCTAATGCCCGTGCCCTGCTATTTCCCGCACAACTTTGAGAGAAAACAATGTAACTGTAGTTTGAGAAACAGCAAGAGCAGGCATCAAAGTGAAAGACGCTTCCCCCCCTGCGTCACCGCGCGCTCTGAGCGCACCGTGTCCCTAACAGTCTACCCAATCAATTACCTTAAACATTACGCGTAATTACAATGCAGACGATTAATGGTTATTTGAATATATCACCGTTACAAAGCAATGCTCAGGTCTGCGACTCAAAGACTATCCCTACGTACTTGGTAAAGCTATGGACACCACGCCATGACCCGATGCTGCTGTTGTCCAGATGCATCTGAGGGAAGACTGCCCATTCTGAAGGAACTATAAGACTCGCCTTCTTCAGCACAGACGATATAAAATGCGAGCTCTTAAATCGGTTTCCTCTCTCTCTTCCACGTGATATGTCATAATTGAACACTTTCTCTCCAGTTTGATGTCAACTTGGCATGATGGTTTTATCTTCTATTTTTGATTTAGTTTTTTTTTTTTTTTTTTTTTTTTTTGCTGAGCTCAGGTTCCCATAAGCTTGAGCATCTGACTTCTCAGCTAAAATGAGTCTGGATGCTTAAATGCTTAGGATGTATGCCTGACTGGGCTATAATGATGTCTTTCTTGTCTTTAAATTTAATATTCAGTTTGGAATTTTTTTATGTTGTCAGCTAGAGGTTATTTTTTATTAAGAATTATTTTCATTTCGTTTAGAGAAGTTCAGAGAGCAGGATAATGTCTTTTCTTTTCAAACCTGCACTTGGAGTCAACAGTTTAAGATCTACCTTCAGCTTTATAGTGGTGCTCGGATTTCGCAGACAACAAAACTTTTTAATGTTTGAATTGAGACTTTATCTGTTTCTTCTCTGTACCAAACAGATTAAATTACAGTTTTCTAAGAAGCCATAAAAGCATTGTGTTCTATTCGTAATTTAATTGTACAGCGGTTTTTGCCAGTGGCAATGATTTCTATTAGATATGGTTGATCAGTTCATCCCATTAAAGTCAATGAATGTCCTCTTTGCTCCCCAGAGCTTGTTTTATAGAAGCCTAATAGGGCTGGTTTTGGGCATTTTGTCTTTGATGATTGAATAACTGCAGTGATGGTAAAGCAAAGGAACAGGTAACAAGAAAGGATAATGTGTTATTACTGTTGTTCTCTCTGGAATTACTTCTATTCTTCTGCACTTTGTTTTGTATTTTCAGGTTTCTTTAACCAAGAATGGCCAAATGTTGTGTGTTGATATCATGATTGCGGTTGACAGGGGGAGTGTTTCAGCATAGTTTCATGACAAAAGTCACATCTGCAGGGCCTCTGAAGTGATGTAAAGCAGGTGCATGCAGCGGGCAACATTTCACAGAAAGAAAATAACCATTTTGACATAATCTTGAATCTTGACAGTTTCTTATCCCCCCCCCCCCCAAAAAAAAAAAAAAAAAAAAAAGTGCTTGAAGCAAAAAGCTATCGCTCCTCACCTTTTACCTCAGTCATTCTTGCTCTCTGCAAACATTTCTCAAGAGGTCTCTTTTCTTTCCTGAGGTCCAGGCTCTTCCAAGTTGACCTTCGAGTTAAGAAGCTAATGAAATGAGACACAGCAGTCACATTACGACCCACTTTGGTTATTTTCAAAGCAAATATCTTTCATCCGTGTCCTTTTCTTATGAACTTGTGTAAACATGCACTGCTTCCTCTTAACAGTACCTTACATGAACACTCGACCAACAGTAACCCTCCATACACGCTGCATCATAACCTTTCACCCACCTTCTCCGAGTGTTTATGTGACCTCACAGCTTCAATCTGAGCAAAGCCTTCTAACTCTGCCATTAGTGTCAACCCGACTTCACAACAAGGCTTTATGACACATTTAACAGCACAACTTAACTGCTACCTTGTGGATTACGCTGTAAACATGTGACCCGGGACTCCGAAAAACTCGAGTTGTGCTTCAAAGATGTGTTTTCTCACACGGAGCTTATTTTTCTTTCAAATAAAAATAGCCTGTTTTTTCATTGCTTTGGCTTAAACCAGAAGGTCACTGGCTGCATTATAATCAAGTCCAGGTAAAAGCATTGAATGGGCTTTGTTTTGTTCCGCACCGTATTAAAAGTCTCTGGTTTAAATCTCTCCTAGCCTCACAAAAGGAGGAGTGTCATTTGGCTTCACCCTCTGGGCTTTACAAGTATCTGCGGAGATTTAAACCCTTCAGCAATGTTAAGTCTTATTCCCTACATGTTGTATACATTCACTGAGTAGAAATAGCATGGCGGCTCGGTCCTGCAAAACAGAACTTTTTATAGCATTTCGCAGAACATCTGGGTAATGTCGTGTGCCACCAAAAAGTGCAGGCTAGTAAAATGCACTCCTTAGCAGCAGCAGCAGCACCTTATCTCGTGCTTCAGCCAACTCTTACTCTCCAGAATAATCCTGTAAGAATGTGGTGCCATTGTCCTCATACTGCTTACAATAATAACCAGTTATTTTGTCAGTCTCCTTCATCTCTATATCAAAGACTTTATCTTTCAGTGAGTCACACCCTTTCAGTCCCAGTGCGACTGGTGAATGAAGAACACAATAGGGGGTACAAGTGGAGTTTGAATGCGGGGTAGTAATGAAGGGGTACAGAAAGACGTGTGACAGCAGGAGGATTGGCATGATTTCTGTTTGAACTGTGAGAGTGCTTGAATTAAAAAGAATGTTTGATGGATTCAAAGTCTCACAGTAAGATCTAAACCAAAGATCAGACCTGGACTAGATCTGCCTCTCGCCGGAGACACATTTTTTTATCCAGTGTTGACATTTTCACTTTCTCTTACATAATTGTTGCATAACACACAGTTGCAGAAACATAAACACGGTAACACATCATAATTTCTACCCCTTTAGTCCAAGAAATATAAAGAGACATTTGGTGCATTGACTGGAAGTGTTCGGTGAGTCTCGCTCACGAGTGTTTTACACAACCTTAATATGACCCATCCTTGAAAGTTTCACAGGAAAAGTCTCTGCCCATCATCCAAAAACAAGCTGGAACCGAATCAAACGCAAAGATGTGAGATAAACACCCACAATACAGTCGAAGGAAACAAACCTGTGGTGCCTTGGACCATGCATGGTTTATACGGTTCCCCAAAAGTTTGCCCTTACCAGGACCTTGACTGTTTCTGTAAACCATCACACAGGAAATGAAGAACAATCACTTTCCTGAGAGAATAATAGCAGAGAAAAAATCAACAAGGTGTCATCTGGTGCGATAAGGAAACATAACAATGAGGTTTGGAGGAACTCCCCAAGGTGCTGGAGGAGACAGCTTGCCAGGCCTGAGCCAGCAGAAGTCAAGGGTGGTGCAAGACGTGTGGGTCTGTGGGTGTGTGATAGTGAATGTGTAAGAATCCACACTGCTTACATCTATTTCACAGTTTAATGATTGTTTTAACACTGAGCAGCTGGACAAAACTAAAATCCGTTCTGCGTAACATCCAAAAATAGCGGGTCCTTCCTTTGGAAAAAATAAAGCTGCAGGAAATTTATATTACAAAAGTATGGCATCTTCTTTTCTGTGATTTAGCCAAACAGAGCATCAGTTGCGTAAAGAGTAAAGTTCTTGTTTTATTTATCGCTTCTCTAACCTTTAGCTTAATATGAATTCATGCTGCTCTCAATGTTTAGGCCATACGTCCATGTTCGTCACTAGACAAAAGGGGTCACCAGAGTGTATACACACCCAGGTATCCTGTTGTTATAGGCAGGAAAATCTATTCTATAGGCGCATTGAGCCAAAATAGCACTGAATTCTTCCCCTCGCATAACATTTATGAAATATATTTGTGGCAAGGAAACAGAATTACTATTCACTTTTGTTGCGTGAATGCAGTGGCGATCGGTCTTGTTTTGTTTTTGGTGGCGTGTCAGAATAAGTCTGTGCGTAGCGTATTTTTAGAGCTCCAAAACTGTTTTCGTGGTGCTGAAAGGTGAAACGTTAACTCGGATAAGAAATTTGGCCCAGTAAATAGAGTATTTGCCCTCTCCGAGTCAAAGGCATCGACACTCTATAATAGGTAAAACACCCTTAATGTTCCCCAAATAACATGGCTGACAGGTGTGCTGGAAGCTATCGAGGACTCATCTCTATTTTGCCTGAGAAAGCTGGTTTACCTGGTTAAACCGAGGCACCCAGTGTGTCACATTGATTTAACAATGAGACTTGTCACTTCTGACCTTTACTTTCAGCCTGGCACGGTGAGCCCCTCATCTATACGAAGCCTATGTCCAAGCTCGGGTCCTCAAAAGCAGGCTGCTCACTCACTCAGGTCCCGAGGAGACAAAATTCGATTAGCAGCACATATCTCCCGCAATCTACTGCGACAGGATCAGCCCGCAGGCAGGCCTGAAATGGATACAGCAATATACAACAGCCATGTAGAGTGAAGAGGTGGACTGAGGGATGTGGGACCAAGGGAAGAGAGTCAGAGCTGTGGGTAGGGATGGAGTCGCACTGCAAGCGTGGAAACAATGTGATTTAATTGATTCTATGTCATCTCATCAATTTTGATTAAAATGAAATGAGCATCTGCACGTTTAAAAGGTTAAAACAAATTGAAGGGGGAAATAACAGCTGGTAATCACAGTTTGTCTAACAGCGGGCTTTTAATGAAGCGACCTCGGCTCTCCATCATTCATTTCAGTCTCCTCTGTGTGGAAGGAGCCAACACCTCTCTCACATGTGTGTATAGAAGGCCGCGTATGAGTGTAGTAGAGCACATTACCTCAGTTGATTTTAGGAAAGCACGCCTCATGAAGTTTGTATTGGCATCATTTCTATCTGACATATGAACTTTTAGATAAGAAAAATGGATTAAAACATAATCGATTTCTGGTCCTACTAAGTCGATAACCTTGTCACAAAACGGCTACATTTTAGTTAATAAAAATGACCATAGCTAATTAAAAAAATGTGTATTTTGTAAATTGTTTTATCTTTCAAAAATTCAGAAGATAGGAGAGCAGAAAAAGTAAGATAACAAAGACAAACATTCACATTATGGAGAATCCTTTACATTCTGTGTTCATCACACAAACTTAAATTTTTCTACCCCAAATGTCTTCATTTATACATCATATCTTACCAAAGAATTAAAACCTGTTTATTAACAATGATAATAATATTCACTCAGTATTGCATTAGTTATGACACACAGCTATCAGATGGTGCTAACACCCTCTGTGTTTGTGCAATAATAACAATAAATATTTAAAAATTATGGGAAGAACTTTAAGTTATCTTCATTCTGTGATTAAAATGAAATAGAGAAAGCTTATATAACTTACTGCTTCTTGTAACCCCTGTTAAAGTGTTTTACTTCACACTATCTAATGTAACTGTTATTTGAATATCACATAAAATAAACTAAAATAAACCCAACATGACATTACATTAATAGATAAATCCTGAAATGCAAAATTCAAGAAGAATGGATGTCTGCTATATAAGAAGTCCCTACAAAGGAGGATATTAGTTACATCTGTGTATCCCATTTCCCTTAAACCTCATTGTAGCACAGCTCCGAGTCTAATTTGAATGACAGGCCAAAATGACAAAAACCTTAAGAGTTGCTGGAAATGTAAAAGGTGACTGCTGCCCTCTGGTGGGGAACAAGAGAAACAGCTCTACAGTCAGTGGCCTCATTTTAAAAACCATCCTGGAAAGTTGTTACTAATTTGCATACTGATGAATCTAACAAAACAACACAAGAGTTCAAATCGTGTTCTTGATTTATTTTACAAAGCAAATTCTGCAGTGTTAACAAAAAAAGGGGGAAAAAAATCACATAATTGCAATGCACATGGCTAAATAATAAGAGTGCTGCTTGTTAATCTGAAAGCATACCCCGCTGGAATATACTGTTGTGAAGCAGCACTGTTGGCTTTTTGCTCACAAATTGCCCTATTTTCAGTGGTTCATTTGTTTTAGTAAACTTAAAACTGTGCAGACGTGTTGCTGTCTCAGCAACAACGGTCTTCAGTAGAAATGCAAATAGATACACATGCAAAGCAAACCTCTGGCTAATTATACAGCCGTCTTACAAGGTCTGTGTCCCTGAGCGCTGGAAAAAAGTGTAATGCGCAGCATGTATGCTCTTCGTAGACATAGTTTTAATACAGAACATCTGTGGGTTGCCAGATAGGAAAGATCTTCATAAAGCTTACTGTACACTAATTAACTGCAACACAGAAGCACGAGGACTGTTTGTTTATATTTAAAAAGGTGTTGGTTTGGCTGTTTTTCTTTTTTTTCACTCACTTACAGAAGACCACAAACACAAAAGAGAGAGAGAGAAATACACAAAGCTATGTTCATTTCTGTCCAAGCAAGGGTAGGCTCAGGGCACCGAGAAAGATGTATCCAAGGCAGAAACATGGTGAGGCAGTTTACAACAATATGGATAAAATATTGAGCATCATAAAACACTGTCACTGACAATAGAAATGTAAATATTGCAGGATTTTTACAATTAAAACACTGATGGATGCCTGTGGGAGTTCTGATATTTTTCATCATGTGATCATCAGCTATTTGTTTTTATTTTTGTGGACGCAAACACACACACACACGATCAAGAGAATTTAAGGATAAAAAAAAAGAACATGTCTTGTGCAGTATAGCTTGGGAAGATATTCTTTAAATCTCTATAAGGCACTAAAATTGAATGGTAGCACTCTAAAAACCATCTATAAAAAGGCAAGCACATGACCTACTATATGGCTCCACTGTGGCAGGTGACTTGATTTTGCTAAAAGTCATTGGAGGGTAGATGACACTTTTGCATTCCCCCTCTCAGTGCAGTAAATTCAGTAGTCCGTCTCTAGTAGGAGTCTGGGAGATTTCACTGTCACCTTCAGTCTTCAGTCGTCTTTTTTATCAGAGGTGCTGTCTTCTTGGTTTTCCTCTGAACTAGCCTGACCGGACAATTGGAGATCACCTGGGCAGGCCTCCTGGATCGCTTGGTATCTCTGTAGCTCCAGATACGTAGTGAAGAGCTTGGCGTACTCTGGATGCGTTGAGGCAAAGGCTTGAAATTCATCTGGCAAAAACACCCAAAAAAAACATTGTTTAGTGTGGGTAACATGTCTGTTTTTTTAGGATCAAAACACCAAAAATACAATTTCTTGGCCTCTGACTTTTGTATTAGTTGTACTCACTGAAGGTGATGAAACCAGAGCCGTCAGCATCAATTTCTTTGAAGAGCTTAGCCATGTTTAGATCTGACACACCCAGAGCTGAGCGCAGCAGAGCAGTGAACTCCTCTCGGGTGATTTTCTCGTCCTCATCTGTATCAAACAGCTGCATGAAAGAGCACAAAAACAGACCTACATAGTTACCACTGTTTATTTTACTGGAGAAAAAAAAGAGTTGTTTAGAGTGTGAAACTATGTAGGTGGATCAAAAAACGATCATTTATATTGAGGGAAATTTGTTTGTGCCAAAGGAGACAAAATTAACTTTTTAGTAACATTACACACAAAAGAACTGTTTGCCTCAGATCAAATTTGTCCTTATGGCCGCCAAAATGACTCCATGTTTCCACAACAGGCACACATTGTTAACTTGACATTATCCAAGCCCCTCTGAAGGCTGCCTCTGTTCCTCCTACAGCGAAGCTTCTGTCTGTATGCAGTGCTTTACAATCAACTAGAGGAAGGACTGTTTAGACATGTGCAGTGTTTTTTTTATTCTTGCAAAGTGCTTCTGATTTAATGTTCTCACACAGAAATGTATTGGGATCACGTTTTAAAAAAAAGCGTTAAATGTTCTATTTTGAATTATATTTGGGTGGATGTTAGGATCACATTTTTGGTAGTCAGAATACAGAGCTGTATTTTCTCTGACTTTCTGAGCGGCAGAGAAATATCTGAATATTTACGTCATACCTTGAAGGCCATTAGAAGAACATCTTCTGTGTTTGCCGGTCGACACAAGATGGTCACACCAATGACATACTCTCTGAAGTCTATGGTGCCGTCTCCGTTCTGGACAGAGTCAAAGTGAGAGCAATAAAAATACTTGAGTGCAGAAGATTGTGACAGATAACTCCTCTCTTTAAAGTGTAGTCATTTGCTCTAGATGGAGTATGAAAACTTGATATGAAGAGCATAAAAGCAGATTTAAACAAACGACAATTCTTAACTGCTGGTGAATTGAAGCATACAGTTTCTGATGAGGGGAGAATACTTTCGGATTTGGATGTTTCAGGCTGTTTTATGCTTTTAGTCCTCTCCTCCCACACAAACCTCGAGCTCACATACCAGGGAGGGAGGCCAAACTAACTTGATCATAGCTTCTCTTCCTTCAGGCTGAATAAATCCTGAATCTGCACCATGCACCCCTGCCAAATTTACTTTCAGTGGTACATACGATCTCCAAATAAACAATTTCCCTAACTATCAATTTAATTCTGTAAATTGTATAAAAAGATTGCTTCTCATTATGTTACTAACTAATGTATTTATGGTGCACTTCCTACTGGATGAGTCAGGCACAAGGAGAACGTCTGTTGTCAGTTATATTCATCTGTCAAAGTTGTTCTGTTTACACAAATCGTAAATATTTGAAAAAATCGTTCCTCACTCTGTCAAATAGTGCAAAGAGCTCCTCCAAAGCTGGGCTGATGGGGAGCTTCAAGAATCTGGCAAACTCCTCGATGGAAATCCTCCCCCCTTTGCAAGAGCTGGCCATGGCTGCGAAGCTCTCCAGCTCTTTCCTCACATTATCCCACTTCAGACTGAGGGAGCAGAGCACAAAGAGTCAGATTTAGTGTTGTTATTAATCTCCGCAGCAGATACCAATAACAGACATAAGTGAAGTGTGCCTACTTGAGTTTACGGCTTATTTTGGTGAACTCCACCAGCCCTGCCTCCATGGGCAGTGTTAGCTCGCCAGCTGAAATCATCAGGCGGCAGTCCTCATACGTGTGATCTGTCACTGGAACACCCAAAGCTCTGGAAGTAGACAGTTTGCATGAATAGTACTCTGTGAATTTGCTTACGATGCTTTTAGAGGGCTAAAAAAACATGTCCAGGAGGAAATGCAAATGTAGGGCAGTTCAGATGAGTGCAATATCCAGACTTAATGTACAACAAAGTTCCAAAAGAGCCAGAAAGAAATTCAAAACTCTTGGCTACATTTAATCTTCTGCCATTAAACTAAAATCGACACTCTCCATAAACTTCTGTATTTATTTAAAATATATATATACTTATGCATTTCTCTAACACTTCAGTTGTACAGTATGCTGCAAAAATGCACCCCCATGTTTTAACACACTAACCGAGCCATAGTGTCACGCACTCTGCTAGCAAAGAGTGCAGGGGTTTTCCTCTCCTCCTCTGTGGGGATATGTGGTGGCAAGAACTGAAGAAACCAAACAAGCAAACAGATGAGAGGCTTTAAAAGCTTCATATTTAACTGTCTGTGCTTTGAAAAGAGGATAGCATTGATAATGATAAATAATGATCTACATGATATCATGTGTCTATGCCTTTATTTTCAAATTGACTAAAAAAAACACAATAACAGTTTGAAGTACTCTACCAACATGTAGGATGTTCACCGAGTGACTTTACCTCGATCTCTACTGTGGTGTACAGCTGGCTAAGAGTCAAAAGCAGCAGTGTCCTCCTAAGAAACACACAAGCAGAACAATTAGCTCAATAGGTTGATTTAGTTGCAAAAGTTTTAGAGATGGCACTCATGATGCTGTAGTATATTTGGATTTACTTTATAGTCGGTGCAAAGAAGCAGCAGACATGAGAAACCAGAGGAGCATACTGTTTAAAGCATACTTACGAACTGAAGCCCTGCCAAGTCCAAGACACTGTGTCCTGAAAAAACCAAGAGATTGCAAAGACCTTCATGAAACATTTACAGTAAGAAGGTGTTGTATGTATAGACGTATATACATGTCACTGTGCTATGAGGTTCATCTTCCAGTGTTGCGCCCAGGCTAAAAAATGTGCAGTTCATGTTGAATCCATGAAACATCTAGATTGGATTGGATTTAAAGTCCAACTCCGATTGCCTTTTTTTTTTTTACTACTTAAAAGTGTTCTCTGTGGTCTTTAAATTGTGATAATGGAGTTTTCAGCCAAAATGAGTAAATGACCAAAGTTTTCAATGGCTTTTCTTCTGCAGAGCTCCAGTAGCTCATTAGCATTTCTCCTCTGAGTCGTGGGCGAAGACGGTGCTGCTCTGCACACTTGACTTCATGCTAGCTTGCAGCCTAACATTGCTGGTGTAATAGAAGTAGAGGGTTACACAGGAACTATTCAGCTCTCTGACACTAATGTCTATGGGGACATGACGAAAGTTAAAATCATAATTAGTTTTCTTACAAGCAACGCCATACGCTCATGCACACGCTTGTTCCGCGATTGTCCTCTCTATTTCTGCGAGTGTGGCCTGCATAGCGGGGCTTTAGGGGCAGAGCTTGGATTTGCTACGTAGGAAATCTCTCCGTTTCTGAACCTGCCATTTGGGTCTGCCAGAGATTCACAGCGATTTGAATGAAGAAATACTCAGAAATTCTCATGATACATCCTGTAGCATCAGAAAAAAGCCATATGAACATGCAGACAACAAGAAAAACATGATTTTTATCGGAGTGGATCTTTAATGAAGAACCACATGAGGATGTATCTGATCTCTTGTTCTGCCTGCTTATCAATTTTTGTCTCTTATTAGAGTGCAGTATTTCCTCTGTTGAGAACAATCTCTCTCAGAAAGCAAAGTTAAAATAAAAAAAGCTTCACTCACCAGTTTGTTGGGATACCTCATAAGCACAGGCTGCACAGGGACCCCAGGGATAAAGGCACCTGGAGGATGTGAACAGCAATACTTCATGAATCATGTAGACGGCTCTTCATCATAAAAAACAAATGGAAGACAAACAAAACATCTCTATTCTATCTAAAAATGAATTATGAACATCCCCACATTATTCTCTGAGTCTCTATTTTTCTGAGTTTTAATCACTTTGGTGCATAACAGAGGCAATTAAAATAGCACTAATGTTCTGCTGCATTTCTCACCTTGTTTAAACGTGATTAAACATGAACGATTTGTGCATGTTCCTTCTGGAAATATCAGGACCTGAGAAGCAAAATCTCATTAGTAAATGTCAAAAATGATCAACTCTGTCAATTTTGGATTACCAAGGCATAATAATGTGAGCATTTTGTCTCATTTTCTCAAACAGGAACGTAAGCACGTGATTAATATTTTTGTTTTATATGTTCTGCTCATATAGGAAATCTTGAGACCAAACTAACACCCAGAGATGAAGGTTTGGAGTTTTCTAGGCTGACAAGCATAGAGTTTTCTGTGTAGCAATAATCCAGGGTGTTACCAGCAGAGTATTAGTTAGTCTTTGATGGGGATTTTTTGCCATTGTTGGGACAGACCTGTGGCCATCTGCCTCCTGACTTGGCTCTGCTGTCAATCTCTTGGATTGTGTTCTTCCTGGAGTCTGGGTCCTTTCTGGACACAAGCACTGGCTGAAGACAGCGCACAAATCCTACAGAGAAAGAAGGAGGGAAAACACTCTTTACTGCACAAACCTAAAAGAAAAACACTTCTTGACAATTTACAAAGATTTCTTCCATGCACAGATTGTTCTGTAGCTTGGGTTGATTAAGTATTATAAGCTGAATATAACGTGACAATCTTCAAATGCTTAGTGGTGTGAGAAATAAATTAAACGGAAAAACACAGTTCACACTTTGGTGTCCAAATTCACACATGTACACTTGTGGTTGAGAAAGCAGGAAGACACACATCCATATACACTGATCTTTATCACTACACTCACACAACAGAGCAAAGGGAAAGAGTCTTACTGCCAAAGATGGGTGTAGCCAAGTTCTCGACCCGAGAGACAGTGGAGGGCAGTCCAGCAACAATGCACACAATCCCATCAAAAAAGGTCGAGTGAGGGGCCACAGCCAGGATGGGGGCCTCACTACTGCTGACCTGTTTACCTTTGACCACTACTCTGAAGCCCATGCAGAAGTAGTAGGCCCTCCCCAAGGCAGCCATCACTCTCCGACACATGAACCTGAGGGTAGCCAGAATTTTACAGAGTACTGTGTGAGAGGTCTAAATGACATTTACATCAAGTCTTCAAGAACTGTTTTGAATGTATTAATGACATTTGCATGTTTGGTTAGCGTTTAATTTTCACCAAAAGTAATACTTGGGAGGACTAAATGGAAGTGTTTTAAAACAGGAAGAGTTACAGCATTTGTTCTCACACCTTCCTGCCCCCATAGAGTTGCAAACAAGTTCTCCTTTCCCGATTACTTCCTCATCCTCAAGATTTGTAGAAAGTCACAGTGTCGACTAAATACAGAGGTGTTTCATTTCTGTTTTTTTCTGACCCCTCTGACACCAGTTCAGAACCTACCGGTCTCTTAGTTTTATTTCTGAGCTAAGTGTGGCTTCTCACTCTAAAACTGAGCAGGACTTGCAACAAATGTGACACCCTCAGGAGGAACTGAGGAGCTGTGTAAAAGTTCAAGGTCTATCAAAGTTTGAGGATCTACTGTGCAAGCCTCTAGTACTATGAAAATGAACAAATACTTATTTACCAGCAGTACATTTCTACTTTTTTGTAAGTTGGTCCAAAGTATTCTTACTCCAACAGTCCTGAAAATGGGCTAGTTCCCAGCAAACCAGTGAACAGGTGAACTTGACACACATTTGAAAGATAAGCTCTCTTTTTTTTTCCATCTCATACACCGTGTATGGGCATGGTAATATAAGGGATATGTTGCAAGGTGATAGGAGTTCTACTGTTATCTGTGAAACTGTGCATGCAGCTGCTATTCATTGAAGATTCATTGTGTTTAAAATTGTAATACATGAATCACAGTGTATTGCATAATATGATGTCAACTTGCATAACAAACTGTGCAAGATCAAGATGACAAGATCATACTTTCTGACAATTGTCACAAGAGGATGACAATTGTTTTGGCTATTTATAAGTGATAAATCACATTATAGTTCCTTTTATTGAAGCTGTTTTTTTTATTTTAAACAATGACTCTTCCTTTTCTAAGAATTGTGCTTGAGTAATGCTTGCAGTACTGATATGATCTGAGGAGGGGTAATTTGGTTGCGGTGCAAACCTCTGCACATTCTTCAAGTTATGTCAGGAATTGTTATTTTGAGAATATGCTGCCTTTGCTTTGTGCCACCGCCCAGTCTGAAGAACCAGGAAACACACTGCCCCTGCTGCATCTGGCTTTCACAAAATTGCTTTAATAGGGTGAAACTCTTATTATTTCTGTTCAGTTTTAGTGTAGCCCATCAAGTGAAAGTCAGTGAAAGATGTCACTGCAGACTTTTTTTTTTTTTTAAATGAAATCTGGTCGTATCTGGTGAAGACTGAGTTGCAGTGTGATGGTGTGTATGTAATTACCGTCTCCACCCTCTCATTGGCTCCACTGCTCCTTTCAGAGGATACTTGAAGGTTATGATAACAGACACTGGCCATGTCACCATGAGAACTAGGGACAGGAGGATGGCTCGAACTGGGACCAGGAAGATTCCCAGGAGGACACACTGCATGAGGAAGGGTGCACACTCATCAACACACACACCATTATGAGAAACCAGGCCTTTACCATACAGTGAAGTAGTCTGCCTGTCAGGGTGAACAGCACCCTTTGCTGCTGCTGCTGCTGCTGCTGCTGACGCTCCTCAGAGCAGAAATACGCACGACTCTGAAAATCCACATCACTGGGAGGCTTTTTCTGGAAACTACACAACGGTTCTCATTGTTTGGGTTGCACATAACGAGTCTGTGCAAGCCGATTGACAAAGCCTCGGTGCAAGAGATTATATAGGCCGTGGTTGCACAGCAGCAGCCTGTGTGTTTGTGTGTGTGCGTCTGTGTGTGTATGTGTAATCTCACACCAGCTCTAACACTGAGTGTGTTTGAGCCGTGCCGCTCACAGATATGTCTAACAACAACGTCACCCCTTTAAAGCTCGCCTTAACATGACCACTGGAGCCAAACAGCATACTCACTTTGATTATAGCTGCTTTGGTGAGTTTGGTGTCTTGAACAAACGGGTTGATGACCGCAGGCAGCAGCAGGGATTGTTGCCTCGGCAGGCTGAACACTCGCTGTGGCGGCATTGCAGTCCAGTGAGAGAGAGACACAGAGAGCACACGGGGAAGTTATCTAGACGAGGCGTCGTTATGTTATCATCTCACTTCCTCAACAGGAACCCTGCTTTCTCATTTCGTTTTCCCATATCCGACCATCAAACGAGCGACCACGGACTCAAGCACGAGCGGTTCCGGTGACTGGCGTCCTAAGCCCCGCCTCCAAACGTGGATACCGCAGAGTTCATTTCAGATCACTGTGTGCTTTTCAACCCAGCGAGCAGATTTTGCTTTTACTGTCGCTGAGTCCTTGTCGGAAACGTTTGCAGGATACAATGAAATCGTTATATCTTTTTGTGATAATAAATTAGACGAAAGGAGAAGCCACAGTGGGCAGTCAGTGAGAGCGCATGCAGTCAATTTGTGGAAATCAGATCAAATTGTAGGATGAAGATCATAATATCAATCACTGCAGAACATACTGGAAGCGGTGCACAAGCAATAGATAATATTCAGTCAGTAATGGTTGTAAAATGTGTCCAGGTCCACAAGATGGCGCAGTTTCCTTTAGAAAAATTCACTCGATCTTGCTCCAAAATAAAGTTTTTGAAGTTTACTTTGCAGCAGTAGGGACTATTTGTTCTGGCAGTACAGTAAAATGCACATCTGTAGCTGGTATACACTACTCACACATGTATTTTCATTTTATTTTGGATTGTTTCATAACTCCTCTTGACTGCTTTTTATGAGACATGGCAATATTTTTTTCACTGTGTTCTCACAGCCTCAACACAAAAATATTGAATCAAATGTTCCATGAAACATGAGGTGAACATAATACACTTTTTAACTATCCGGTGATATAAAAGTAGTCTAACTGTGCTTGTAAGCAGCCAGTCACATTTGAGGTTTTAACAGAAAACTAAATGCCCCGATTTAGTATTTTTTTAAGAGTATATGACACTAACAGGAGCATTATGCTGACATTAGGTTTATATAATCCAAACATTGATAATCTTCAGCTCTTAGATATATTAACCATATCAGATCTTTACTTTAAAAGATATCCAAACCATGTTGGTTTCCAACATTAAATAATTTAACCCTCATGTACCACTAGCAGGTGGTTTATGGCTCCATCCTAAACCATCCGATCCTTTATCAGCCCACTGCTTGAATGCAATTGGACTTCATGAGTCACAGATCCACATCATATTGACCCTCTTTATTTATGACAGTAACAAAGTGCTCAAGCATTAAAAACAACAGAAAATACATGATCTGTATTGTTAGAACCCAAGAGAGAAAACAGAGTATAAAAATATTAAACAATACAACTGTGGTACTCTTGCCATGACTCCATCATGCAGCAAACCAATACAGCCTCTAGAGGCAACCTGTGCCTTAAATCTTTCTGTACCAAAAGTGAAGGGAAATAGAGCCTGGAGCTGCCAGGAAAATGCCGTGGTCTCCATATTGGGCTGTTCCCTTGTAGTCTATAGTCCTATACAAAGTGCTAACCAAATGAAGAATAACGAGTGCCTGCAAGTACTAATTCTGACATCCAGAAGATATGAATATAAAATGTGTATATAAAGGACTATATGCAAAAAGCAATCTCTAAAGCACCATTTTCGGTCAAATGCATTGTGCAAAGTCATTCTTTCAAATGTATTGCACAACAATAAGAATATTACTTAAAAAATGATACATTTATAAAACTGCACTTAGTACAATGGAGAAAAAAGTCACTCTAAATCAGCATGATTACCTCATGTGGTTTAAAACAGCCTTTCAAAATAAAATGTGCATAAAATGGCAATATCTCACAGCACAGTACAGCACTGCGTTTAATGCAGTGTCGACATACCTGATGTCTAAGTTATTAAACAACAATTTAAAAAAAAACTATAAAACAATTAAACGGGGCATACATTTTGTAATAAATCTGCATCAGCCTAACAAATACAAAGTCAATAACACACAGTAAAATAGCAAATCTCCAGTTGCCTATGTTCAGCCTGCGTAAAAGGTCCCAAGGTGCCTTTCTATAAAACTGGAGGCTGGTTAGACAGTCTGACAGGGACATGTCTCCCACAGAAATGTGCAGAGTTGCCAAGAAACCTTAAATTGTGTTTGGTACCATGGCAATGTCCTCATGAGGCCAGATGCGATTGCAGGAAAAGCCAGTCGTGTAAGATATTTGGAAATGCTCAACAACCCAGCCAGTCTTTTGTGATTTCTCCCAACTTGACAATCTTCAAGCTGCTGTCTTCCAGTTTGAAATAGTGGTTACCTTTGAAGAAGTAGCTGTAATCTGTGAAAGACAAGCACAGGGTGTTAAAAACATGCTGAAGTAAATTTTTTATTTGAAATTATTTGTGTAAAACAGCTAATGTTTTAATGTACTGCAATCAAAGCAACATAGTAGAACATCCCTTCAAGCTCTACTAAAGCTAACGCTTGGCCTCTTTATGAATCTTACTAATCAGGAAGCTTACAGAGCACCTCTGTAGAGCAGCACAGACTTTCTTTATATCAATATGTTTGTTCACTTTGTGGTGACGCGGCCATGTTTTGCTTACAGTAAGGTGTGCATGTTAGAAGAGTTGTGATGGAAAAATACATGGTTGCTTGATATAGAGAAAAAATTCATTAATACTTCTAGTGTAAGTCTGACAGTCACCATTTCTGATGCGTTTTTACCTGTTTTACACACAGGTTTACAATCTCAGCTAGATCACCTAAAACTCAAAAGTGGAAGAATTAATCCAGTGTGCAGTGAAGCTCACCTTTTGTAAAACTCACAGTGGTCAGATGGTGTTTGACTCTTTTGACAGCTGCGTCCCTCATTTCTATGTGTGGCTTTAAAACAGCGTCTTCTGTCATGCACTTTCATGTTGGTATTAGGTGTTTCTAAAATTTTCTCTTTCTCATCATCACTGTAAAGGCTTAGGTCATTACAGAGGACAGTCCACTTAGACTGTCCTCTGTGCACCCACAGCTTGAATTCAGTTTGCAGACGTAATGACACTGCATTTGTGTGTGATCTGAGGGTTTAGCTTTAGCCACAGGTTTTAAAAGCTCAGAGTGATGACGGATCCAGTGGTTGTGAAGGTTTGTTGTAGTATTTTAATGTGGCCCCACAGAGCTTACCCTCGACTTGACTGCTGTTGACTTCTTTTGGTCCTAGTCTTACAGTCTTACATGAAAACCCAAAATGCATCCAAACATCAGCTTTTAATGTTGCAGGCACCGATGCATTGATGAATCAGGAATGCTAGTCTGACCAGAGAAAGCTCAAACATGGAGCACCACAACCAGCAGAAAATCCTCTCTTCCTGAGATTATCGTCAGACTAAAATGAAGCTGTGGGCTGAGGAGGCTTTCTAATGCCTGTTTTGTCTCAATTCTTTGATTTAAAATCTAACAATATGATTGTGGCATATTAATGCAGAAATTATTTAAAGACACACAAGCAGAAGGATTTATGACAATGACTGCCCATCAGTCTTTTAACCTTTGTGACTAGATTAGAATCTTACTATTTTTAACAAATGCATTAGGGGATGAGGGTGTTAAGTCGCTAAAAGAAAGTAGACACTGTCACACTGGCTGGTCAGCACTAGAATTACTAGTAGATTTAAGGAGAAACAACATTTTTTTTTGTAGGTCTGACAAACTCAAATGCAAAGAGTCGTATGTGATATGTTGTGTCTATGCTGCCGCACAACTACCCGCCATCTGTAGCTACAGTTGATGACGACTGCCATATTACTTTAACGCCCTACCATCCTGATGTAAGCAAACACAGGTGACAGATGTGGAGCAGTGTGGTTTGTCTGTATTCTGATGTAGAAAAATTGAGATACAGTTGTACGTAGGCTGTGTCTGTTAACCTCATCAAAACGATGTGTAAAGAGCACAGTCATGTGTTTGTTACCTGCTGAAAGGATCTAAGGCATGTGGTGCTAGCTCTGCTAATATAAGCCACATTTGTTAAAGGTCCCCTATTATGGCATTTTTCATCAAGTTTAAATCAGCCCCAGAGATCCCACAATAGTAAATCTGAAGTTTGTTGTCTAAAACACCAGTTTATTTGTGGATATCAGCCAGCCTGTCCCCCCTCTTTTTGAGCTCCACTGAGAACGGGCTGATTCTGCGCCTGTATCTTTAAATGATAATGAGCTGCGTGTAACCACGCCCCTCTCTGGAAGGGGCTGCGGCTTTACCATGTGCTAATGTTTACAGCCTGTGCGGTGTGATGGCTCATAGAATCGCTGTGGTTCAACCCTACCAATTTGACCCAGAGTCTGACCCAGAGGGAGAGTCAAACTCTGCGGCTGCAACAGGACGTTTCTGAATCGTTGGTTACAAATATTATGTGTCTTTATATTTATGTGTTTATTCTGTTAGTGTGTTATGTTACACTGCTAAGTGGGTTAGCTTTTCTGACAGCTACGTGCCCGCTATCTCGCCGTTACTTGGAGCTCTATTGGCGAATACCCAATATTTTGAAAAGTGGAATGTTATAGTTATCTCTCGTGACTAACGCCGTTTGGCATCTGTTCCTCTGTAATTTCCCCCACTTCATGCAAAAAGGCAGACAGAATGATAGGATAGGACAGACGAAATGCTCCGTCCGTTTCCGTCTTCTAGGAGGTAGCTTCTGCGGTTATGTCGTCATAACCGTACAGCTTTCCATTTGCCTGTTTGCGCTCGTTTTCAGAAAGGAGAAGAAAGCAAGAGAGGGAGAGGATGAAATCTTTCATGTCAGAGGGGGGCAGCTTTTAAGGGATGCATATTATTGGTAGAAAGCCACCCAAAAGTGGATTTTTCATAATAGGGGACCTTTAAATCAATTTGACACTGTTTACCCACACTCTGTGATCCCAAAGCTGCATGTATTCTCCTATTATACAGCTTATGATGAGTTTTACAATTTTACGTAAACAAACAAGAATTTGAGCTTCCCACCCTGACTATGACCTGAGTAAATGGTCAGTGTGTGTGGTGGTGACATTGAATATACAAGGTATTTGCTTATTTGGATTATCATTGAGTTTGTAAGCAGTAGCCCAAACCACCATTGTGCCAAAGTACAGCCCTACAAGGCTGCTTTAAGGGCTGTGGACTTGTCTGAACTGTATTTTTGTGATAATTTTCTTGAAACCAGAACTATAACTAATGGTATTTTATGGAAAACAGTTCCATGGAATATCACTGATGATCTCCATCAAAAACCACCCCTCTAACCTCAGTTGCTGCCCTTTAGTTTTCTGGCAGGTCTGGCTCATACATAATAAACTTGTGTTGCCTGCTTCTTCTAACATTTTCTTTTCTTAAAACTATACCAAGCCTCAAAACCCACAATTATGTAAGTAAATAAAGAAAAAAAAGGAGAGATTTATTACCAATTCCATTGAGACTGAAGGCAGAGTCTATGTCGTCTGGGATGCCATTCCAGGAATCAGCAATAAGTTTAGGGAAGCCAGGGTCCATTCTCTGACTTTCTTCATCGTATCTGTACAAATTGTGGGGATAGTTTGTATAACTCGCTAACACACAAACATATACACCGTTCACACATTTCCATGGCAATAAAACAGTTAGTTGTCAACACAGTAAATTCTCTTGTTGTGCAAGGGCTTTGCAGAGCAGTTGTGGTTAACAGAGCTGCTTGAGATCCCTACGAAATGCTAATTAAATCCAGATGTAAATGGGTACTGCAATAGGAGGTGATGACATCAACATTTCAAAAAAGGTGAATATGAGCTTTGCTGATTCTCACCTCCAGAATTTGTCCCCAGAAAACAGGTAAGTCTTCCTGTTCTTTCTGAAGTTGAAGGCAGCATCGACTTGCTGAAGGTCAGTGGGGAGCTCAATGCTGGAGAGCCTCTTGGGATAACCTCTCTCGAGTTGATCAGCTTTGTAGATCCACATCTCATTACCTGTGAGGTAAAAAGTAAAAAAAAATACCGAATTATGAATATAAAGGCATTGGGGACACATTGTGTTGGAAAAAAGTAATTATTTTAGCATAGAACGGTCTGATTGAGATGGAAATCCATTATCCTCAAAATCTATTGACCACATTTATTTCCACATTGGTGTGAGATCATCTTTTCTTATTTAGGGCCCAATAGCCTGACCAGCTCTGCTGTTAATGTGCTCAAAACTGACAAATGCACATATTATATTAGTATTCAGGAAGGTCGTCATAATCATAAAATGCAAAGAATGCACCATAAAACCACTAATAACTATGGTGGAGTATCACAAGAGTCCCAAGAGTTTGTACCGCACACTACACAGTGCTCAGCCAACATTCCTGCTTCTCCTAATGTTTCAGTTTGCAGAAAAGCAAGACTGTTAAAAGAGGCATCCAGATGGTAAAATAGAACTGTCAGTGTCTCTCATCACCATGGATGTACTGGATGATATAAACAGAGTGCGTAGTTTATGTAAAATGACATCACTATACAGAAAGCTATAAATCAGACTTTTCTTCAGCTCTTTATTTCTGCATACCTGCGAAGAAAACGGTCTTTTCCTCCACTGGGTTTTCATAGACAGCATCTATCTTGGCAGGGAGGTCCGGCCAGTAGGTGGCCACAAGCATTGGGCCGCTGGGTTTGCTCCTGAAGTTTACTGACCTGAACAGGAACCTGGCAGAGACAGAGTGAGGGAGTGAGCCATCGTAAGCTTGATGAGCCGGGGATGAAATGAGAGTGAGAGTGAAAGAGGGGCAGAGGGGAATAATGAGGAGGAGGTGGGGGAGTATGAGTGTGTAGAGGTTTTAGTTTTAGTGCAAGTGCTTCGCTGGCCCAGCAAGCCACAATGGCCTGATTCATGAGCATCTGGTTCTCGTTAGGGCTAAGGCTGCCGACGCCAACGGAACAAGACCTATCTTGCCCGGATTTCCAATACACAGCTGCACAACAACAGCAGCTTCCCAAACTCTTTTCCACTGACCTATTTTTTAAAATGAAAAATGTTTGCCAATTGCAAGAATGAGTAATGATAAAAGAAGACCAGACTAAAAATGTGCTGGCATACACAAGAACATACAAATCTAAATTATTGTGTTTATTTGTCACTGGAAATAATGTTTATAAATGTATAATTTAAAGCTCCTGTTATGACTTTTTAACTAGTTATGAAGCAAACTACCAGTGACGCTTTTTGATGACCCACAAAAGAAGTTAAAAAAGACCAACAGCAGGGAGACAGACACTCTCAATGTTGTAATTTTTAGTGTCTGTAACTGCTGGAAGGGGGTAGGACACAGATCACAGGACTGACAGCACGCAGAACAGCCCTTTTGTACATTTTACTCAGCAGCTATCAGAGTGAGTGACACATTTAAATATTGAAAGATGGCTGAATGGTAGTTTTTGTGTTCAAAACGCCACTTGCTTGGCACAAGACAAAATTAGCAAAGCGATAAGAGGTATGACTTTGTCCACAGGGGCTGCCAAAATCAAAACAAAGAGAAAGTTACTCACAGGAGCTTTAAGCAGTGTTCCTGAAAGGTTGATATAATTTTAATAAACAAAATGAATTAAGTAATTCATTGATTAAAACAAAAACATCAAACTACTTTCCAAAGACTTGCCAAGAATTAAATTGATTAGATTTAGTTCAAATTGTACATGTAGGGAATCCATAAATCATGCATTGGTTGTTTTTAAGATAATGTCATAAATGTGTGACATTGCAGGCTGGTGTTTAAGGTCTTTCCGGCATTACATAATGTCATTCTTAAAAAAATAGCTTTAGATTTTCACCACATACCCCACTTTAGATACATATCCAATTTGTTCATATGTTTACATTCAAAATTTCGTGCAGCAAAGTTTTCTTACTTCAGTCTGCTCACTCATGACTGTCTCTATACTGTTACTGCAACATTAATTTACCGCTACAGCTAACGGAAAATGTCCCACTGTGGCCACAAAGTTCACACATAAAAAGTGTTCGACTGGGGAAAACAAAGGGTGTCTTTCACAGAACTCAGCCAATGGGAGATGTAATGTTGTTTCACAGTGGTTTCTATGACTCTTGAGGGCTCATCAAAAACGAGTTTACAAATCAGCTGAGTCTCGGTCGTTTTCAGCTGCAGATGCATAAGATACTCTTTTGTTGCATTTCTTAGAAAGTGTTAGAGCAGTATCAAATTTTAATTTCCTTGAAGGACTTCCCAAAAGGATAAATAAAGTTGTATCTTAATCAAACCTGAAGTTATCTTGAACCACTGGTTTTTACCAAATCAACCATGACAGAGGGATAACAACCAAGAGCTTCTACTGCGCTAGATGTTGAAAAAGCCTCCATTGGATGCATGCTAGCATATGAGCAGTTAGATTTGGGTTGCTGGCAAAACACCTAGTCAGAAAATTTGCCAAACTGTTTCTATGAGACAGAATAAAACTGCCTTTTACTTAAGCCTCCAGACAGACAAAGTTTTCTGCTGAGCCTGGTGAGTTTCACAAGCATTACTCATTGTTAAGGTTTGTCCTACATCAAGAAATACGCTGACTCAGCTGAATGAGGAGGTTCCAGCTTTTAAAATGGGAGTTTAGGCTCTAGAGGCCAGACGGCACCGCTTTTTCTCTGAAGCAATATGGAACATGTCTTGTGTTAGAGCACTGTGGCTGAAAACTTAACATGACATGCAGGAAACTTTTTAAGTGTTGTTGAAGTCTGAACAGCAGGGGCTTGTTAAAACTAAGACATGTTTTGTTGTTTTTGTTGTATGGTCCCTTGCAACAATTCCTTCGTATCAATTCTGGGTCATTTTGTTTGTCAGTCATAATAACCCCATGAAGCATTGTATTGTAATGAAAAGCACCTTTAAAACACAGTAGACTGTTACACACAGGCAGGCATGATGTAAATGGCCTTAAAATAAGCCTAATAAAAAAAAAAGTCTTCAAACTTGAAGCTAGTAGAGTTTGAAGACTTATATACAAGATTTCTCTGAAGTGCCCCACCTGACACTAATAAGAGCAGAGAAAAAGTATCACAAGCCAAGTGTGTCTGTGAACACTGCAGATGTGTTGAGGAGTCACTGCAAGGTAAAACTCAAGTCTTTATAAAATCCAGATTTGTGAGCAGGGCTAAGCCATGTTTCTCCCAGAGTCTGTAACACAAGGTTCCCTGAGAGGAAAACCAGGCTAACTGAAAGACTACACTCTCTGGTGCGTAGGTATGCTGGCCTGTTTGTTTTGGACGCTTTACCAAAAATGGCTGTGATGGGTATACAGCTCTGTACGACTTAAAATTGTAGGCAGTTGATGTTTCAGCACAGCTACAGCTTCTAACTCATCATAACTACCATCATTTGATTTCTCCTGCATTTTTCTTTTAGCTGCATTATTGTTTTTGTACACAGTGACTCTCAGGAAAAATAGTCTAACAAACTTCAGCTGCTGTAATGAACGTGTCCATCTTTTTACGGGAAAAAAACACTCTGACTCACAAAGACTGCTGACTAAACCACAGCCCTTCATGAAACTCCTCTCCTGCGCGGGGTCAGCCAGTAGACACTGTGAGCTTACAAAACGCAAGATTCACTGGCGCCGGTGGAGGAGAGGACGGTAATCTGTGTTTAGGACTGATGACTGGTTTTGTTGTCACTGCATGAGTACACCAGTTGTTTGTTTCCCCCTCTCACTAATTGTCACATCATGGAACAAGTACTTAAGACCAGCATCTTCAAGGGGCCCAAGACTCAATAACCAAAGAGGAACGTCATCTCAACCACTTTATGTTTATAGGGAAATTACCTGGGAATCTAGTTTTGTAGGCTACAGTACCTTTTGTTCTCAAAACTCATAATTTCATATGTAGATAATCTGGTATGCTGGGGCATTGTTCCTCTAGATTATAGACAGGCTTCTGATATCAGACTTTGGCAGTGGTTACAAGTTTCAACAGAACCAAACATTGCAGCCAGGTAATTCGAACATCATGGTTGCAAATGTTGATTTGGGATGGAATTTCTGTCAGTGCTACAACCTCATTTTGTCCACAAGGTTGTATGTGCAAACTTCCAGAAGTCTGGTTTTGGTCTTAACAGTATTCAGGCTTTCTGTTTTATTTGTTTTTTTTTATTACCTGTCCTTAAAGAAGAAGGTCTCTCCTCGGATCTGTGCCACAGCATCAAAGATAACCGGCTCTTGACAGATATCCATTGGAGTCACTGGACCCTGGGTGGGAGATACAGGCTGGTCCGTTGACGCACCTGTCACAGAAAATAGTTCAAATAAGAAAAACACTTTTCTTTTGTTCTAGATAAGAGTTTTAATCCAAATCCCTTTCTAGGAAACTAGCCACACATGACTTTTATTCCCACCGTAGAGTTCTTGGATGCCTTTGATGTCGTCCTGGGAAAGTCTGAAGTTTTTAGTGAAAGTGTAAATGGGGGCCATCAGTGCTCCGGGGTCTTGGGAGTGCTCCAAGCCAAGAGCATGACCAAACTCATGGGCTGCCACCAAGAACAGACTGTAGCCTGTAAACACAAATCAAAATTGAGTTACTACACTTGAGTAAAAAGCAAAAACTCAAGGAAAGATAGTAGTAGGGGTCAACCAGTCACAGTGTCACATGTCATACTGTCATGTTATGTTGACCCAATCAAGCAAAGTGGTGCAAGAAAATAGAAAAATAAATAGGGAAAGACATACTAGCAGCTGAGTCAAAGTAGCACAAATTCATTACTTTTTATGTGTAAAATAAATGTCAAAACAGAAATCAACCAAATCCTGAACATCTGCCCCAATATAGGCCTTGGCCAATTATTGGTCTACCCCTTGATGGTACTTAAATGAAATACGAGACAAACCAATACTTAGTGATTACTCGTCCTCTGTGGCAGATTCAACATCAATAACTTTTATTAAATACTATTCATACCTTGGTCAGGACAGAAACCCCATTTACGGTCATCATCGTAGCTCTTGGTGGAAGCGCACCACATCTTGCCGTCGCTGCGACCAGATGAGGTGCAGGCATCATAGGAGTCTCCCAGAAAGGTAAAGGGGAAGACACAGGGGCTTCCCTCTGCGTTTCCTCCCACTGTCGACATGGCTGTAGGGGGTGACAAAAATTCAAATGATAAGACATGCAATTAAACAACTTCATTTTACTGTCTTATGAACTCATTCAAATGCCAAAACATTTCCCCAGAACAGATGGGTTTGTATTAAGTGGTGAAGTGAGCACAGACGATGCTGGAAACGGCATCATGAAAGCACTGGCATAACTCACATGACATCAATAACTAATCCACTGGGCTCTAAACCAAAAAGTATCCACCCAAATTGTTTTTCTTTTAAAGACAGATTATTTTCTATTTGGCAAGACCAGTACTGTGCTGTTTACTTTCAAAAAGAAAAAAAATTCATAATTTCCTATTCAGCACAGGCTTACGCAAAAGACTTTACAACAAGCTACATTCCTTATCAATTCAAACCAGATGAAACCTCCAGTGGTCGTACCTCTCTGTCTATCTTACTGTCTCTCTCCTTCTCCTTTTCACCACCTCCCCTACCTCCACTAAAACCAGTCCCACTGACAGAATGGAAAATTAGTCCTGCCACTGCACATTAAAATACTTTCACAGCCTTTCAGCAGACTGCAAGCAACACAGAAAAAGCCCAGCTGGAGCATTCCTGTAGACCAGCACACAGCAGGCAGGGCACAATACACTGCACTGCAAAACAAACACTGCCAGTACAGTCCTCTGTAGTATTCACATGTTGGAGAATCTTGGCTCAGAAGATATGGAAATCCCCATTTTACGAAAAGCATTCAACTTAAGACCCATCAGATGATGATTCTCACCAGTTTCAGGGCAGAACCCAAAGGACTTGTCCCTGTCGTAGTCCTCAGTGGTGGCGCACCAGCGATAGCCATCATCTCTGCCTTCAGTGGTGCATGAGTCGTACTTCTCGCCCTGGAAGGTGAAGGGGAATTTACATGCAGCACCATCTCCATTTCCACCCAGAGTGAAGAGCACTGTAAAACAAAAAGCAACAGAAAAGTCGTGTCTAAGCCAATAACAGAATATTCTGATGCAAACAAAGATAAGCTCAACTCCCTTCATTTTTAGCAAAAGAAGCTATGGTCTTCTTAACCCCCAAATAACAAAGTATGACAGAAAGAAATTAATAATCAACATGCACAAGTAACAGGAAATGTTTTCTCTCTCCAGTCAATACAACTATTAAAAAACAGACAGCCCCAACAATTTAGTACATGTGTACTTTGGCACTTCATTGTATAGGCTTGCGCTCATGTTCGTACTATGGACAACAACATAACACAGATCAACAAAATGCTTCACAAGCCCAGTTTTCTAAAATGGGGCAATGAGTTGGAAAAGAAATATTCCATAATCCACTCCAAACAAAAAACAACACTTTCCTGGCATATTTTATAACCTACTTTATTTCCTTCCAAAATCAGAAGAACAGATTCAGATATAAGTGGATTCTGATATGAATTATTGTTTTTCACTCTGGCCCGGAAATGCTTCAGTTCAACAACATGCAAGTAGGACATGACATTAATAATCCGAGGTCAGATCTGGGACAAAAGTTATTATTATACGCTTCTTGTATCTAACAGACAATGGGAAACTTTTTTTAAGATAACTCAATTACCAACTTACGTTCATGGGGGCAGAAGCCATATTTGCCATCCTCATCAAAGTTGTAGGTGGTCGAGCACCACAGGAAGCCGTCGTCGCGGCCCTGAGATGTACAGCTGTTGTATTCAGTGCCCATAAACGAGAAGGGGAATTTGCAGAACTCTCCGTCAGCGTTGCCAAACTTCACCTTTACCACTGTTAAAAAGATCATATTAAGATGATTAAGACAGACACATTTCCACTACAAACCCTTTTTATGTTATTGCACTAATGCACAGTAACATGGAAATTAATAATCACACCTATGAGGCTTCTTTGCATCATAGAAAAGGGAAATGTATCAAAGGATTAGGTGAAATATTTCATTTCCTATATTTTACATTTATATATGCTACATGAGTAAAAATAAGCGATATATATGAGTCTTTATACAATGCTTTAGTTTTCTTGTAAATTCAGTATCACCATTACCTTGGCCATCTCCCAGCGTCCATTGCTCATCATCATCAAAGTGGGAGTCTCCACCAATGCCTGGGCCTGGAGCAAAAGCATGAGCCAAGAGGCCATCTTTCCCATCAAAGGGGTAACCATCTCCATGCTCTGAAGAAAACATAACATATATTAACATATATTTATTATGAATATTAAGATATTCATTTCTGTTTCTAAGAGGTAGGTCTCCCATCTTGTGAAGTGGCTGCTTTTTGTTTGTGTTCCTCTATAATTATCAGATTCTTTCTCAACTGGGTCAGCTATGGCTAGACAAAATATTATGACACTGTGAGTAAATATCAAGTAGCTGATTTAGTTGGTTTAAGTGGAATTACCCTCGTGAAGAATAACTACTCTTTTATTATAAATATAGCCTGGCAGAATGCGCAGTCACTGTAATAATATGTGGTTTGTTGCTCCTTCAACCTCAGTAAACAAAGCAGTGAACGTCTGTCCAACTGTTGCCTGACTTGAGTTTGATTTATTCTCTTTGCAGTGGTTTAACTTCATTTCATACATTAGTAACCAGAATCCTTTAAAGATCCTGCTGTTAGAAAAACTACTTTTGATTTTCAGGTATCTCACTGTATACCTGCTTGAAAGGTCAACATATAACTTAACTAATACAACTACATGGGGTTGTACTGTTATATTGTACGGTGTGTTGTTAAAGTATTTATACGTTTCATACCATTGCGCCCAAAATTAATCATGATGTCAGCCTCTCCGTCCATGAGGCGGGTGAATGTAAGTGGGGTGACGTCACTCCAGACTTTGAAGGCTCTGAAGAAAGCATCGTTTATGACTTCCTCATCCAGATCGGGAGTGTATCCCAGTATTCTTGGGGGGGAAACAGAGAGTCAGTTTTCAGTCCCAAACAAAAAAAAGTAAATGGAAAGAATGAATATGATCGCAGGTGTTAGTAATATAGGATTTTTTAATACATAGGTTTATGGAAAAATCAAAGTAAGTAGTTCAAACGACAGTCTAAAAATTATCTGTTGAAAACAACCTCTGAATCAGTGCTCAGACTCAAACCCTGTTACATGCCTGACTGCACAGTCCTTTCTTAAAAAAAAAATAATAAAAAAATCTAAGGTCTCTTGGTTGTTATTGTCTTTGGCTGACTGTCTCCCTTATGAACACACGAGCAGACGAGATGGAATGATCAACACACACAAAATTGCTGATATAAATAAACCAACTCTACATTGTTGTAAACCTCAAACAGAAGGAAAACAAAGGACCTGACACACACTGTGCAGGAATGCTGGGGTAAGCAGGACACAAGATGCAAGCGCCCAGTAGTGACTGTGAGGATGGGGGTGGGGTGGACTGGAGGTTGAAGGGGGGATCAGGCGGGGCCAAGCTGTGGTCCATGTCTCAAAGCAAACACACTGTGGCTTTGTATTTATACTTTTGTGCTTCATCTCTCACTACTTGGGGATTTACAGTAAAACTTGTTGACTGTACTTACTCATATATTCGAAGAAGTATTGCACAACATTTGTGGTTTGATTTATGGGCAGTAGTAGTCAAGTTTTTTCAACTTTTTCTGTGATCTGCCCAGACTGTATCATGTCCAGGTCAATGTTTCTTCTCTGTTAAGTTGCCCTTTTTAAGATCATGTAGGTAAATCAAAAATCTCCTGATGTATCGCTAATGAGTTGAACTTAGAGTCCAAATGAAAGGTCACTCATTCTCATTATCACAAATGCATCTCAACTGAACTGCAGGACGTTTCTGTAGACAAGGTAATATTCAGTCTCTGACCTGTAAGTTATATCATTCTTCTGCCACATCGGCTTCCTGTGGAAGAAGTTGTAGTTGGCCACATCTGGTACACCGCAGCGAGGCTTCTTCATGATCTCCACAGTTTTGGCATCAATCTCTCCAGTTTCTTGCAGAGAGAAGAACTTTTGCATTTTCTTCAGGGTGTCTTTAAGCACCATAAGGTTACATCTGTCTTGTGGACATCCATAAAACTTATTCAGATAGTGCTAAAAGGAGAGAAAAAAGTGATAAAAGCAGTTTGACATAATTAGATTGTGCATTCCTATAAAACTAGTGCTATCATATAATGACAATTCCTTCTAAACTTCTACTTTGTTAAGACAACCTGTTGATTCTCAGCAGACTGACCCAATAGTTTTCTTGGAAAACGAGCCAATTAACTTACCAGAGCAACTTCTTTGTCTGTTTTGGGAGTAGTGTCGTCTCCTGGAAACCTGATAATAGGCGAAGGGGCAGCATATGTAGCTTGAAAAGCGACGAACTGAAACACGAACACTTTGAGAACAATCCGACGAAAACTAAATATCGTCGGAAAGCCCATTTTCCCAGTTAAAAAAATGAAGCTATAGGTGCTGTGAATGCGGTTCGCTCTGGTTTGCAGTCTTTTCAGTCCGTCCGCTTGTGTTGCCTCTGCTCCTCTGCAGGATTTTTTTCTCCTTAACGGGACATCCTGCACCTCGGCACTATGAACTTTCCCAGTTCTGCTTGCACATGCACTTTTTCCCCACAGCGGTCTGCGCAGGCTCCAGGTTGTGAGAGAGGAGCGGTTGTGGGGCCAAGTTAAAACACGATCATAAATTCATCCTCCTCCATAGATTTTATCTATGATTTCTTATTCCACAGAAACCTCAGCTAGAGGGACAGGTTGGAAACCATGGGGATAATTACAGTTCACGAGTGACACCTGTTGAAAGGCTGAAGTCTATGTGGGTCAAGTTTTTCCCACTCAGAATTCATCATTTTGTACGAAAAGCGATTTATACATTAAGTTTGATTTGACTGGATTTGATAGTTGTCTGATTATTGTATCTAAGCAATACATAGACTAGAGACATTGATACCTATCTTCATTCGTCTCTTAAAAATGTGATTGAAAACCTTTCTTTCCATTTGTGATGACATCTCTGTAGGCTACCATGATGAAGATATTTGACATCTGCTGCTTGTGTGATTTGGTTCTATGTTTGGGTCCTACAAACAGTGTCAAGTAGACTTGGCATCAAGTCATGAAGCTCAATTAAGCCAAATGTGAAATCAAATGTTTTCACAATAACGTCCATTGAGGCGGACTGTGAAGGAGAGGCTGTGATGAAAATAAGTGACTGTCTGCACTGAATGTCAGCTTATGCTTGCATGAAGTTTAGCTAGCTAGTAGGAGCTGAGATGGGTTTAGTGGTAACTGGTATGAGCTGTGATTTTTTTTTTTTAAATCATTTTGTTCATTTTTTGCTGAATAACAAATACCCCAAGTAGCTAAGAGTTGCAGTGGGGGATCTTTTCTTTGCCTTGATTTTGGCGCCCCCTGTGGACCAAACATCACCTCTTTTTTCCTCGCTGATCTTGCCCAGTACATGTGATAATTGTGTTTTCTGATTTAAGAAATAGCTTCCTGGCTCTCTATCAGTCAGTTATTTCACTTACTGCAAATCCTTCTGAGGAAAATGTCAAGAGAGTCTGTTTATCAGGTGGACTGCATATGTTATATCCATAGACTATTGATACATCCCAGAAACAACCCCCAAAATCCTGTTTTTTTTCTGTAGTAAGCCAAATATCATGTGCTAGTACTGTAGTTCATAAAAACTGATGGTAAACAACGAACTCGGCTGCAACAAATGGTTGTCTTCTCTAGGTGTTAACTTTTCCTTTTAATCAGGAATACAAAAGATATCAAAAGCACAGTATGGACGTGACTTAATTATAACCCCATTCAAATCAGTAAAATCCTTTTCCCAGTAGTTACCCATCAAAGTTTTACAAAACATTACGCATTATAATTCACTCAGGAGCATGTAGGTTGAAGAAATTAGTCCAACAGGGTTAGCCTTGTTTCTCTCCCTAAGATTACATATTTTACACAAGCAAAAACGTAATCATTTTACCATTCGATTGACATAGAGGACAATAAACTATTAACTTTTGATGTAATTATAGAGGAGGTCAGTATACTAGTCAGTTAGTGGAGACATACAGAAACCACCACTTGTAGTCAGGCCAAATGTTATTTAAAGTGGTATATTGACATCTGGTGGTAGGATGTGAAAAAGTCACCTCAATCACATTTAACTCAAACCTCAAACCTGCAACACAATATGAACACCTCCCTTTTTTGTCTTCAGTTATTTTATTTTGTATTTTTTTACACTATATGATAGATCAGTGGATACAACAAACAATACAGTGTCTATTAATTACTCTTCTGTTTGTGTAGCTCTATGACAGTTCTTACCATGAGGGAGAATCTGTCAAACTGAGGGGACTCCTAACTGCTAACTGCCAAGAGTGCATAGATATTTGCACCACAATTAATTCAACTTCACTGCGTAGAAATGTAGGTGTTATTACAATATCCAGAATGTAATGCAAATGCAGTGAGGATCTTTGCACGCCTAACCAAACTTGGCTTTCTATTGTTTAATGATATTTCTAGTTATTTTACTCAGTGTACGACTCTGTTGTTTCTAATGCTATGTAAATATTCTCTTTTCAAAATTCAAAAGGTACTGTAAGGAGTTTTCAGCTGATTTTTTGACAATGACTCACATACTCATGCCTCTACATCAGAACCACAGTCAGAATAACCAGGTCATTACACTTGCTCTTGAAAACACAACTATTGATAGAAGAAAAATAAAAGTAGGGATAAAATTAGAATAAATAAGAAATTGCAACAATTAAAAAAAAAGTGCAGAATATTAGAAATAGAGTTATTTACAAAAAGTCAGAGTGTTTTAAAAAAAGCTATGTACAAGCACAAAGAGTAGGATGTCATGTATACAATACCAATTGCACTGTAGGATATTGCACAATGTAATATACAGTTTAACAGACTATTGCACAGCATAAACAATGTATTATCAGAATTGCACTCTTAGATTACTGTAGTTTTGACTGGTTTGACTGGTAAGAGCGACTTCTTGTGACGCTCTGTGGTGCATTTAGGGTGAATGAGTCTATCACTGGATACATCCGGATACCTTGATGGGTGACATTAAACCAGTCTTGACAGTCTCCTCTCATTGTGCCTTTCATGTAACTCCTGCAACAACAACTTGTACAGAGTAGTGGGCTTTGAAAGAAAGTAGAATAGGATGATTTTATTGATTTATTTATCGCTTTTTCAGTGTTTTTGTTTTACTAATTCCAGGTAGACTCTGAATGAGGTCTAACATGTGCCGCCACACCTTTTCAGAGAATCAGAGAAATTGTACTGAACAGGTTGGTGCGTGTTGCAGCAAAGGGCTTCCAGCATCACTGCCCTCTGGTGGCTGAAACACTCCTAGCATCCTCTCTGCTCTGAGACCTAAGGAGTCAGTCTTCTTTACTGACTCATAGTCTAGGAGATTTAGGATTTAGTCTAACTCCCTTTGACATCTCTTTGTTTCCGCTCTCATATGCTGTTCACGGTAATCCACTATGACTCTTTAATAGAGAAAAGCTGAATGACTTTTTTTGCAAAGACATCTGACAGATGGATAGCTCACAAACAGGATTTTGTGGTCTATCTAGCAAAGCAATTTCCCTTCCCTTTAGCCAGAGTACAGTTAATTTTTCATAGCAGGGGTTGCTGTTGCTGGTTGCAGAGTGAATTTAACATCCATTTGCCAACAATATCCAGGGCCTGTCACTTTGGGGCTGGAGCTTTATTTCATGCACTGATACATGCTGCCATCTCCTTCGACTGACACACTCGCGGTGATCTCTAGCAGAGCTGGGGAACAGAATGGCTACCCATTAAATGTACATGGGCCTGCCTCTCCAAATATAGAAAACGCTGAGATGTGAAAAGTTGAGCCACAGCTACAGTAATTGAATGCCTTTGTGCATATGAATGCAATTTTGCCGAGGAAAGTGGCATAAAGAGATTGTGCAGATAAGCTTTGATTTGCATGTAAATTGTTTTCTTTTTTTTTCCTTGCCTCCCTTGAATGCTTAAGCATCGTCTGGATGGGAGCACCTCACAGTGTGTTTGTTTGTTTTGATGAAACACTGCTTTTTAACAAAATGTGGCTTGTTGCTGTTGATTGCGCATCTCCTCCAATTGTAATGTTTACTGCTGAGATTTAAACAGAGTCCTTGTTCTATGCACTGTCAGACACAAGAAGCGCTGATGTCTACTATTAGGTTTATTTTATTTGTATGAACTATAACAGCATATAGATAGAGACTCAGATGGTCAGCTTCCTCACTGGCGTTTTCTTTTTGGTTTAAATATCTTGAAGGATTTCTGCACTTACACACGCACCTTAATGCAACACTGCAATCTGCTAGCTCTTGTCCTACACCCTTCAAACTCATGTCATTAATTATGAGGATGAGTGGCTCCGTCCATCACGCCAGCATGGCCTCCTCTTGCGACTGGGAATGGGACATCCTGGATGTAGAGGCCAGTTGTATCATGGCTCTCCAGCTGGCTGTGGATCTTCTGAACCACTGATTGACCCCAGTCCAGCTGAACAGACCGCAGCGCTGGATGTCACCCCTCTCCTCCCTCACTGGCTCTTGCGAGGACCTAGACAGATTCTCTGATGGGTCATCAAACCAAACTGCCCGTATGGCTGGCGAGCACCAAGGTCATGAATGACAAATATCACAGTCCCACTCCTTCGCTCCTCTCCTCTCAGTCCAACTTTGAGCTGCTCTCGGTGCTTCAGGGGATACTGTGTGTAATGTTCAGCGTGCCTGAAAACACTGTTAGCCTGGGTGTGTATCTAATTTTGACACTGAGTGGTTTAGAATCAGTCTATTGGCATTGTTTGTTTTATGCGCTATGCAGGAGTAATTAAGCAATGGTTGTTGAGTGAATGAATGCAGCAACAGCCCTGTCAATAAATCTGTTTCAAGATAACTTAATTTGGCTAAGCACTGTGTTACAGAACACGGTGACACATATTATATCACTCGGTTTGAAACATTCAGATGATGAATTATTGAGCATAAATCCATTATCTTGAACATATTTTATTTATGAATGCACCAAGACACTGGAGGACTTTAACACTGCAGGGTAATTATTGTTCCACATTGTGTCACCACTCTTCTCTCCGATGCAACTGCCAGCGCAAACTGCAATGAATCAAAGAAGTGCGAGATTTTGATTGACATTTGGTGTGTGCACAAGGCCCAAAGCGACATTAGCTGAATTGCTTTATTTAATGCTTTCTCGCTCATTCTGTTTCTCTTTTAGCGCGCCTTGTAAACACTGATGCAATAATGCATTCCATTATACGGAGGAGAGGAGATGAGTGTCTCTCGTGGCTCCTCTCCATCTCAATAATAGGTCAACAGCTGTATTTAAAAAATTAATCACATTCTTGGCAGTTGCAAAGGTTAGCCGCAGCACTCTGAGATGCAATATTGGAAGCTCAGATCAGCAGCAAATCTCGGCGGGGATGAGGAAGAGTTGCCTTTGATGAGTACAGCATGTAAATGATTTGTGTGTGTTTATAGGACACGGGGCTGGCCCTGCCTCACTCCAAGACAGCGGCGTCGGCACCACTCTGTGGCAGAGGCTGGCAACAGCAGATGGAAACAA